TACGGTTCTCGGCCTTCTCGGATTAGCTGCACCAGCTCCGGTGAGTACTTCCAATTTATTAATTATATAAGAACAATGTCAAAAGTCAAAGATAGAGCCACGTACAAGGAATCCCCGTTCTTGGATTCTGAAGATACGCGAAACTTCACCTTCGGCAGGCTGTATCGCGCAAACGGTTGGATCTACGGTTTTCTCGTTGAAATTTTTAAGGATCCCGTAACGCAGAAACTCAAAATGGTCCATAGAAGAGGCTGGCACAGATAGAATTGCCATAGGGCCACGCAGAACTATTGTTAAAACCTGTCAGGAACTATAGAACTCCTCGACAACTTTTGAAAAAACCCTATTGTTGAAACATTATCTTCGGCTTTTTAAATAATTCTCAAGGAGTTCTATAGTTCCTTATAGGTTTTAACAATCGTTCTGCTACGCAACATCGTTAAAATATGTATTAAATATGCTGGTGGCATCATACGCTTCAGTGCAGGCAGACATGAGTTGCTTGCTTTTGTCATATTAAACTTACCGCGCTTACATTGTGCGATTGAATTTAGGATTGCAAAGAAAAAAAGTATTTAGGCTATATCAGATGAGCTGTCTCGTTCTAAGTGTTGCTTTGGGAACCAGCGATAAGTAGCGGAGGACTCTGCCCGGCAAGCTACATGTTCGTGATCGCGGTTAATTCGGCCACGACGGGATCCGCATTATCGACGGAGACTATGATCACGTAACTCTACTTTCGGACTCGCCGCTGGGATTCAGCGCCATGCTTTTGGTATCGCCTAAAACCGTAGCGTTGTGCATCTCCCTACTCATCTCTGTTTCAGGCGTTACCAAAAGCATGGCGCTGAATCGCAGTAGCGAGTCCGAAAGTAGAGTTTTGTGATCATCGCCTCCGTCGATAATGCGGATCCCGTCGTGGCCAAGCTAAACGTGAACACGAACGCGTAGCTTGGTGGACAGAGGTTCTCCGCTACTTACCCCTGCTTCCTAACGCAACCCTTAGAGCGAGACCGGGAACTATAGAACTTCTCAAGAACTATTGAAAAAACCTACTGTTAAAATATTTTAAAGACATTTTTAAGAAAGTAGGGTGCCAACAAGAGACCCGTGTAGCACCTCATTTTTTACTAAATATTATTGGATCTTGATTTACTTTCAAAATTTATTCAAAATATAAAACTGAGACTAAATCAAAATCTCGCAGAATATACGGAGCAGATAAAAATTGAATTGAAATTGTACAATATCGAAAATAAATAATGCTCAAATTGACATATTAATAAATTAGGTGTTTAGAACATTAAAATAATTAATTAAATCAATAAAGTAAAATACGAACACTTAGAAATCAGAAATCTTGGCCAAGCATATTTAGAAGTACTGGAAGTTGCCTAAAATTGTGTGCGCGCAAAGTCGTCGCGCAGGACTCGGCAAGTGAGTAAAGCGCGGCAGCGCGCGGACTCGGAGGAGGCACCCAAAAGGAAAGGAAGAAAGGAACTGCGGTGTATAGGTTAAGACTTCACAAAGTCTCCAATTGCAGTCTTCTGTAAGGAGATATTATAAATAGCTCACGGAAATATTCATATATTACACATTCTAATGAATGCCTCTGAAGATTTTAATCATAGCAAAGAAATAATTATGTATCTAAAATCGCATATACAATTTATGTTATGCGTACTAATAATATTTACATCAATAAGACGGGCACTTCGCAAACGGTAAAACAATCGACTAGTTACAATTGCTTATACATTACAGGGTCAAATAAATATAATATTAATAACTATAATTAATAAACTACATAGCCCTTTTTCTTGTACTAACAGCCCGCAAGCGTTATCGTGGAAAGTTCAGTTTACGAGAAACTTTATCATAATAAATAAAAATACATTCAATCTATACTAAACGCTATGTCTTTTATATATGACGGTGAGCCACGTGACGCGGGATTTAATTGCTTAAATTGATTTGACTAGACGCAGTGAAAAAACAGTAAGCACGAGCCTTTCTGATTGTCTAAACTATAACGAACGTGATTCATAATAGCGTATTCTCGTTCATAACTAAAAGAAATACTTGCTGCCACTTGAGCGTATATAAATACGTACATTGCATTCGCGCAACATCTGTATACTAAGTGTCCTCCAATTTTACTTATACGAACACATTTGCTTAAGCTATTGTTTTCTCTCGTAAGAAAAGAAAAATAATATTTCCTAAGTCTCGTGTACGTAACTATTAATGAAGGCCACAAGCTGGTTGTCACGTTAGACAATACCGTTATATAATTGATATTTAATTTGGCGCAATTCGAATTCAAATCTCGGATATTAATTGAATTTGACTATTAGATACTGCTCTCAGCTTTAAAATTGGGATATTAAGAAGTTCTAGCAATTTTTTATGTATTGTCTTAATATTAGGTGACGATCTAAGGTTCTTAGATTTATATTTAATTCATTGGATGATTCGGAGAATAAATAAGTGGAGTGACGTCCCATCCGTCGATATCCTCCGTGGACTGTGCACTGCGTCGAGTAGCGTTTAGCATCAGTGAACTATGTCTAGGACTGCTAGGTGCTGATCTACAGATGACTTGGCCATTAAACTGCCGCCATTTCAAGTTCCTCATCTTCATAGATTCCTGGAGAATCGGTGCAGTTGCTGCTAGGTGATTTTCATCGTCATCGGGAACATCTATTTGAAGGTGTGACGATTTTGATCCTGGTACAAGATCACAGAGCTTCTCTACGCAAGGACAGGAATTGCTAGACGTCCTGGTAGCATCAATAGAATTTATTTTACCGGAGGATGTCAGTTTTCCTTTACAAGGACTATTGTCTGCTATGGATTCCAACGGACTTCCACTTTGACTACTCTTTTGGTCCAAGTGATCAGAACTGGCGAATCGCAGACGCTTTGGAGACTCGCTGGAACAGCGTAAAAACGTCGTCCTGGTTAGAGACTTATTCTTCAGTGAACTCCTGGGTACTAGAGGATCAGCCGCTGATAATTTTTTTTGAGGATCTGTACGTCGTGCTATGCGATCCTGTGTACGTTTCTCTCGAAGAACTGGATCTTCGCCAATTAGCCAATACGTAGTACGATCTCCTTTTCCTTTCATTGAGACTATACCACGTTCGATCAAGGTGAAACCACCCAATTCATCCAAGAGCTTCTTGGTCTCTGCACTGCAGTGGATCTTCAAGGCTGTTTAGAATTTTGGTAAATGAAATAATTACAAGTGAACACTCTTTGTTTTTAAATCAAAGCTACTTACGCAGACCTGTGGATTCCATACGACTAGCTGTGTTTACTGTGTCACCGAATAGACAATAACGTGGCATCTTTAATCCTACGACTCCAGCACATACAGGACCTTTTTTTTTAAACCATAATATAATAATTATTCTATAATAAGAATACAATAAAACTTAACTATACTGAATATCTCACCGGAATGAATGCCAATTCTTAATTGAAGCTTCTCCAAAGGTCTGTGTCTAATAGTAAACTGTTTGATAGCATTCAAAAGGCACAAAGACATACTGGCTATTTCTGCAGCATGTTGAATACCATTTCGAACAGGTAAGCCACTGACCTAAAGTAAAAATATATAATCAAGCAAGATACATTAAATTATCAATAATGATAAATGAACACCAAACGTTAAACTTACAACCATATAAGCATCGCCAATAGTCTCCACTTTGTACACGTCATTGTTCTCAACAGTAGAATCGAAACACGTATACAAATCGTTTAAGAAATCGACAACCTGCAGCGGCGTACTTTCTGCGGACATGGACGTGAACCCAACGATATCACTGAAGTAGATAGTAACGCAATCAAAACTTTCCGCTTCCACCTTATGACCCCTTTTTAATTGTTCAGCAACGTAACGCGGTAGCATCTCGTACAGCAATGCATCTATAATGATTAATATCATAGGATATAATAAAATAATATAACAGAGAGATCACTGATTAATTGAATAAATAAAAATTATATTAATTACCCGTCTTCTTCTTCTCTTCGGTTAACTGATCAGTTCTCTCATCCACAAGAGCTTCCAAGTTATTAGCATACTTCTCCATCATAGCCATCATATTATCAAATATATTTGGTTTCCTATTGAATCAATCAAATTAAAACCTGACACTGTGATCGATGCTCACTAATCATCAATATAAACTTACATTCCCTTCCTCAATGGTCTCAATTTATTTCTAATGACTTTGAAGTCCGGCCTATCCTCAGGATCCTCAGACCAGCATTCGATAAGGCAATCACGTACAAAATCAAAACAGTTCTCCAGCTGATCTAACGGTGGTCTGTACGGAGGTTCAGCGGTGATGATCTCCCGTGTGATCACTCTCTGGAGAATTTCAGGAGCGGACAATTGGGTAACACCGAACGGTCCATGACGTCCTTGCAGCTCGTAAAGTACAATGGCGAAAGAGTACACGTCGCCTTTCTGATAATCTCTCGGCGACGGTTCGATGGTACGTTGAGAACGAAGTAATTCTGGTGCACGGTATAACAATCCTGGAAACCCGTACCAACCGTAGAAATCGAATAGTTATCGTGAATGGACGCGTGGGAGAGTTCAATGGTTTTTGTCTACAGCAACAAAGAAAAAAGAAAACAAGTCCTTGGAACCGATCACGTTAAAAAGTTTTCTTATGGATTCCATAGAGACCATTGTCATTTTTTATAGTAAAAACTTTGACAATTCCCTTGGACTCGAATCAAGATACTGAATTGACTAGTTTTTTTTTTTTGGTAGATTAATGACATTACTTTTTCTTTTTATAACAAACTAGTTTTCGTTACCTTGATATTTCTTCATTATATCCTCAGGATCGCATTCGGCGTCTCTTTTAAACTCGCGCAGACCAAAATCCGTGAGTTTCACGACCCATCGTGAATCTACCAGGCAGTTTGATGTACTCAGGGAGCCATGATACTTGATGACGGATTCGTGAAGGTAAATCATGCCCTGAAATTAATGAATACGTTACTTTATACGACCGGGCAGTGGATAGAAAATGATACGGATGCTGCGAGTCGTTGAAAACATACTCTTATGATATCGCCAACCAGAGAAGCCATAAACATATTGTCCAGTTTGATATCCTCGTTCTCAAGAATGTCCTGTTAAAATTTAAATTAGCAATAACAATGGAAAGTAGAATATATAGAGAAATATGGGTACAATGAATATATTCAGGAAGTATCTATCTGAAGTGATACCTTGAGACTTCCTCGTGCACAGTACTCTACGACGATGCATATATTAGGAGGATCCGTACAAGCACCGATAAAAGCATTCAGATTGTCATGACGTAAATCCCTTAACTGAAATTTAAAAAAAAATTCACAAATTTTGCATTTTATTGTATATACAGTTTGAGCACGATTATAATGGAGAGCTTACTATTTTTAATTCCTTCTTCATCTCACGGGTGATCTCTATAGATTTCTTTCGGATCTTCTTCACGGCAAATATTCTACCCTTGTAAACACCCACTTGAGTATAAATCATTGAGTATCTGAAGTCAGCATCCGGATTTGAGCTCAGAGATACTTGACTCGTTCTAACGACAGGCTGGGAATTCGTCTTCAAAAAAAAAGAATCATTGATGGATAATGATTAAACATTACTTGGGATTGAAAGCTCAGTAGAATTATACCTTGGCATTATTTTTCGAGACGTTCTCTTGACTAGGTTGATCCTTTTGCTCCTTTATTTGGATATCCTTGTAATTGACTTTCCATAAAAGTGAGTCAAGTTCCTGTTCGTATTTCCAGTTCCTGTAGAGCACCAGGACCACGGCCGTAAGGACCAATAACAGTCCTCCAGTAATTCCACCGACGATTTCTCCCGTGTGCGCTAGCGAATCGAAAGCTTGCGACTTAATCGTGGTATAAATTGTAAGCTCAGGATTCTAAGGGAAGCCACGAAGAGCTTAGCCTGGTTAGAATTACTTCGGGAAAGCTGAAGATAGTCTACCAATAAGTATACCTATATATATATTTGTATATAAACTTACAGAAACAGCAATGTACTGACAATTGATTAAAGAGTACAGTATAAAATTGCTATACAACTTTTTAAGTCTTAGAGTCATGCAAAAGCTTGAACTTCGTTCAAACCGATTTTTTTATTTTGGTGGGCAGCCTTAAGATTTTCCAAAATATCATCAAGTTGCGGTTACGTAGCAGTCATGAATTTCATGATTTTTCTCGCTCGTTTTATTTATGGTCGTGACTACTGGAATGTTGCCAAGCTCGAAAGCTCTCAGTCGATTACCAGGCCATCGGTTTTACCTTCATAACAAATAGTACTTTTAATACTCACTACGGCACTTTTCGCCATGGTAACCACAGTGAGGTTCAGCAATGGGAGGACCACTTCCAATCCAGGAAATATTTTTAGTCAATTGAAGCTTCTGCAAGCACATGACATAAGATTCAGAATTATTTGTCATATTCTTAAATAAAGTTCTTTTGGTCACTTGGATCATTACAGGCAGACTCGTGCTTCGTTCCTTGCCCACGAAGTAGCCTATGGGATAAAGTCCATGGCCTTTTGGGGGATGATTGTCCAGAGCAATAACGGTATAATTTCCTTCAGCATCTCCGTTTTCGTCCATGTACACCATGTAACTGCAAGAAACCCATAAAACATCCGTAATAAACGAAGTGTACCATTAATCAGAATATGAGCCAGGTTGAAACCAAAAACTCGACTCTTCCTTATCAATCCCATAAAACCTACCCCATGGCGCTGTAATAGTGAACACCACGAAGTGCCGCAACCATTTCACGTCCATTTCTTGGATCACGTCTTTCATCCAGTGCTTGAAGCAGAGTCCTCACATAGAGATGTACCGCGTCATGTAGATAAGCAGTCTCTGGCACGATCTGCCTTATAACCCAATAGATTGATAAATAAATAAATTAATTCAACGAAAGAAAAACCCGTCTAAGATAATTAAATATAAAGTAATACTTAAAAAAAAATTTGTCAACGTATTTTCTAATATTTCTTTAGTCACCTGAACAATACCTCCAGCATCGGCAAGTGGATTGGTAAAATTGAAAGGTGGCATCTCCCGGTAATGATTAACCAATCTGGTAAAATTTTGAAAATTCTTAGGTGCAGATGCGACTATACTGAAGTAACTACGAAAGGCACGCAGTACCCAGTGATCCATATTCTTTCGCAACAAACCACGTAGATACTTGTGAGGTTTATCTTCGTCGTACTGTTCAATGTCCACCCCGACCACCCAGTACTCTCCTATAAGAAAAGACAATGTTAAAAGATAAATTTTAAACAATATCAATCAACTTTTAAAATTATTAAAACTTTCACAATAATTCTTACCCTGATCCAGGAGGTGCTTCTCGTCGAGAGCCATGAGTAATCCCATGTGCTCATAATAATTTCCCAGGATCACGTATACTGCAACAGAAAGTGAATAGATGCCGATGCGGGTGATCGTAATGCGAAGTAACAAGTGTTACCATCATCAAGGAATCGACTGGAATGCGGGTTTGTTCGGCTCAATTACGAAACTGTACCTAATCGAAAACTATGCAGGCTGTTTAATTGACTTTCTCGTAGACGAGGGATATTCGGCGATAATCCCTATAAACTATATATATCCCCACGTTAAACCTGAACAAATAATAAATTCTAGTCCCCATTATTAAACCAGGTATACCCACTTCGTGTCTCCAGGTAAGTCTCCTGCACGTGCTTGTGAAACGGATTGTTCATGTAATTAACATGATACGGTTCGTCCCAGCAGCGTAAAAAATTTACGTCAATCCCAGCAGCTTCTAAAGACGACAAAATCGTTTTGGCTACCGTAGGCATCCTGTTGAATTCGAACTGACTGGAATTCATATACATGAACGTTACCTAGAAAGCAAAAATTCGTGTATCCTTAATACCACTCTTTTCGTTAACATTTCGCCCTGGGCTTTATTTTTTATGTAATACCATAGAGCGATTAATAAGGGTAATTACTTTGGTCCAGTTGAAGGCTAATAGCACGGAAACGACAGATTTCGAGATCTGCGTGTCCGGAGGCCGTGTTCTCGCGAAAGTAGGGAACTCTCTCTTGTCCGACGTTTCATGATGGGTACAAAACTATAAAAAGAAAAGAAAAAAGATAATTGAAGGGTATTCTTTAAAATGGTCGAGAATATCATAAGGGTGTATACTGAGCAAATATCTTGACTGGTTTATTAGAGAAATTAATTGGAAGAGTCTACCAAGACGTTATTAAACAATGCAAAAGGTAACTAGATAACGCAATGACATTTAAACAAATACTAGATATGCAACCTTGTTTCCAGGTTGATTTATAAATTAACAGGAATTACGTTCTATAGTTAAATTAGATTTATTCCGTATAGTGTATATGCATATGAACTGTATAGTATGCCAGTGTGCACAATATCAAGGCGATTTCCTTCTTCCGGTCAAAAAATTCTGATAAGTCTGGTTCTCTGATTGTATCTCACCAAGCACGCTGCCCTGACCAGGAAATTGTTGTGGATAAAGGAATGGCTACTGAGCACGAGCCAGAAGCAATACTGTGAATTTAGCAGCTAAATGTTTTAGGTTAAGTACGTTAATCATTTTGAATCTAAGAAATCCTTAGTGAATTTCTAAGTAGTTACTTATGACTGTATTAGGAAGAAGGATGGATATGGATTTTCACTGACTCACATAAGAGATCATGGGAATGTTGAAAGCAGCAGCCATACGACCTTCGTGAACGCAAGTCTCCTGGGGTCCTATATAAGCACTAATGTTCCTGGTCCAGAGATTAGCTGTAACCAGGATGCTGGTATCCTCCTCGCCGTAGGTCTCAGCCACGAGAAAGTCCAGCTTGTGCCCACGTCTGGCAAGTTCACCGGCGTTGACCTGGAATCAAGGGAAACCCAAGAATTTTACGACCCTTGGACCGTTATCACGTTTCTACTGACTGTTATGCTCTTATGCAGGCTAAGAAAGGTCTGCGGTATTTACTTGCTATATGGAACACGATAATAAAGATACCAGGCTGCTATTTACTTCTTGTATAATTATCAAAAGTCATTATATTTATTTCTCAAAGAATGTGGATAATTGGACTCTGTTTAATACATTTGGTACCAATGAACTTGTGATTTTTTTTTTGATTGCATCTTTCCCACATGACGTTTATGGGAATTTTATTCCATGAAAGCCATATGCCAAGCATGAATATCAGTATGCCTTGCGGTCATCAGCCTAATGGTTCCAAGTATCAGTTTTCAAGAGAGCAACCATCTTCTTCTTATTATTATACTTCTTCTTTGTAACAAGGAATTGACTTGATTGTCGCTTTCATTCTATGGGAATGAATGGAAGTTCAGTGCATCATCTTGAGAGTTGTATACTTTTCCCAAAGTACAATAGATACTCGCTCTTCTGCATAGATGCCTTTCATGATACTCCTTACAATAAAGTAAAAGACAAGTCACAATTTTGTTGATGTACACAAAGTCCAGTATAGATAAAGAAGCTCACAACCGGTTTTTATGGTTTGCTAATACTAATAAGTGCTAAATTCAAACAGTATATGATATATAGTGTGTTATTTAAATTCCCATTAACATATTATATCCATCATACTATCTCCTATGATAATATCTCTCCCAATACACAATTTTGCACTAGGTGCCCAAGAAGACTGTATTAACGTTACCTCCTTAACGGCGAGCGTGATGGCACCAGAAATTCGATATCCTGGTCTTTGATATTCAAAGTCTCCAGGTCGTCTCTTCGACCCGGTAATGTATCCTAGTGTGAAGGTTTCAGCAATTGCTAAGAGGATGCTGTCAGGCATCAAGATGGGAATAGCCACCAGTAGGAGACAGACCCTCTCCAGTTGTACCAGAAGCATTACCGTGTGCCAAACTGAAAACTATTAGAGCATATAAAAATATACGAACAAAAAACTCAATAAGTATATCCATTAAATTATTGATTAATGAGACGATCGAAATCAGCTGGTTGCAAGAGGGTACCCAGGAACGTCGAATAAGACTTCCGGGTTCCGGTAATGGATAAAACCGATAAAAGCCACGGGGTAGCACTAAGTCCAAAAGAAAACCTAGAGAGTCCCGCAACTCGATGTGCGAAATAGTTTTCCTGTGGAAATTTCCAAGCCATTTCTTCCGGTGGAGAATTCATCGTTTTTTTTTACTCTTTTTCTCAAATCTCAGTGTCTCTTCTCCTTTGTCTTGCATTGGTCTTTTCACCCTCGGAGACGCGAACGATTCCTCGTCTCCTCTTGGTATTATTAATAATACGCTCTTAGGTCTATTTTCATGGTACGTCAAAGCGTCGAGGTCGTCAGACAGCCTTTAAATATATGATCAGAACTTACGTAATCCTGCCGACTGAGCAGTAGTAAGAGAAAGATGTCTACGAATTAAGAGTCTTCTTGATAATTGCTTTCTCCCGTACGTCAAAATCACTTAACGCGATCTCAATAGCTAAATTGACAAAATCTCATGCAGAATCGCACCTGACCATGGATTCATTTAACACTGTTTAGATATACGTAACGTAAAAAGAAATTCGCTTTGCATTGCAGATAATCCGAGGACGCGTTCCAGAAAATATGCGTGACTCTAACCGGATGTCCATTAAAATGCAAGCACTGACTTATCATAAGCAAGATAACAGTATAGAAGGTGTATGTTGGGTATGGAGAAATGTTAAAAACATAAAAATATCCAAATATAGAATCGATTGATCGAGAGTCATTAGGTTAGAAAAGCAATCAAATGAATTTATATTCCATAAATTGTCAATCAATGTATTTCCGGTATAGGAAATATTTACATAACAGTATCACATAGGAATACGTTCACAGGATTTCATTGGATGGGCTCTAACGGTTTGTAGAAAAAATTATCCTCGTGAAGAGTTATTTCAAGGAAGAGAGTAAGAGAGAGACGCGTATAACACGTAAACCCTATCCATTCGAAGAGAAAGAAATATCGAAGAACTTGAAGGCGACGCTACGAGCGTCTCGCAAAATGTGGGACGTCGTGCGTTGTTACGACAGACGCGTAGAGCGATAATTCGTTTGAGATAACCTGTCTGAGGAATTCCGCAGAATGTATTAAGTTTCGAAGGCTCGCAAAAGGGAATCGTCGTCAATAAGAAATGAGAGCGTGACTGCGTTGTCGCTTATTAAGAATCGCCTAAAGGCTGATAGACGAATTGAAATACCTGATCAATTTACATTGAACACGACGGCCTGTCTGAGTCAGTTTAAAACTAACACTCATCGATCCGTGAATTTAGCTGAGACGGGGACCGAACTACCGTGAATATAAATTACGTGCTAAAGACGAGAAAAAATCATTAAGGATCCGTGATACTTCAGGCTGCTCCATTATGACTTCCTTGATATTATTATTCTTCTTTTATTCTCGTAAAACGACCAGGATCCTTTTCATCGAAGTTGACTGTGCAGCCAGTGATGCAGAAATAGACGACTTTATCCAAGCCAGTTTCCAATTCTCATTTCATTCCATTTCGTTTTCTATTCTTCAGTGAAATTTATGATCTGGAAATGATCGTCCGATGAAAGGAGAGATATATATTCGTCGAGGTGCAGATCGATTTGTAATTAACCAATTTAATTAAGGCTAGATTATTTCCAAGATTAGCGCAAGTTCACGCACCCGTAAAGCTTCCTGATAAGTTTCAGCCTTGGCCGAGCTTTTGGTGGGACACTTTTTCAACTTCTCTCTCTCTCTCTCTCGCACTCGTTGGAGATATTCAAATTATAATGATAAGAGTCTAAGATTCGTTGGCAAATCATTAATTCACATGGAATTGCTAATGTCAAAGTTCCTTTTTGGGCAATAACGTTAACTTGCACGCGACTCAGCTTGACTTTACTTTCTTATATGGAGTCCACGTGGCACTGGCGTTACTATCATCAAAGCGTATCAAGAATCATTGATACTTAAAGTCAGTCTTAAAAAAGACAAACGAGTTTGTACGATAGTTGTCCAAAATAAAAAAAGTCTTTCCTGCTCCAATAAAATAAATCTTCGTAGGCGACTTCATTTCCATTCTTCTATTTTTTGTTTTATCCGCGTGAGATCCCTGAGAATAAAAAACGATAAATAAGTCTATATTTATAATTGAAAAGCAAATGGTGTAACCGATATATATCAGTATGAACACTATAGACAGGTGGTACAGTAGAGAAAGATCAAGTGTCAAGCAGACTGCGAACGTTATCTTCATCTGACAATGCAGATGAAAATATTTTGACATTAGTAACCAATAGTCACACGGCATATATAGGGTGATCCACTATATAAATCCTGATAAGTAAAATTAGAATCGTTATTAGGGCGCCTTTCTAAGCTCAAGTTTCTGATTCCTTAAGGCCATAGTGGTATTGGGGGTCCCACTCAAGTAAATGCCCTCTATTACATATGTACAGCGTGTCGTGGACACGAGGCCTATATTTAGACGATACTCGAGTGCTAGGTACACACAGTAGCCATGGGTACACAAATATTGCCAGTGCGTGAGAATCTTTTCCAAGGTTTTGCGCGATGGGCTATAAAAAAAGCCACAGACAGACATGCCGGACAAAAGTAATTGGGAATCAAGAGTAAAAGAATTACCATAAGCATAACGAAGTAGACGGGACAGAGTAAATCGACTGTGAGAGCGTATGATATGTACGATGGGAGTTCTGATGAAATTTTCAAAGAGGATTTAAGAAAAAGTACGAAATTTTACTATACTTATGACGAAAGCACTTTCCTCGATGAAACCGACAAATCCTTCTTACTATTCCCATATTTTTCCCCACTGGTACGTCGCTTTGTATAGGGTCAGTAAGGGATGAGTATTTTCCCACGGATCCGCAAGCTGGTAACAGAGAGAGAGGAGAGAGAGAGAGAGAGAGAGAGAGAGAGAGAGAAAAGTATCGTTCATGGATATTGTGAAAGTACTCACTGATCGGATAAGGATCTATTCCATTGCCTAACATCGACACGGTAATACAGTAATAAGGTGATATTACGTGATAGGATAATGTCTGTCGTATAAATTCACCAGCAGTTACAGTACAAGAGTACGTTATGTTTGCTACTGACATTAATTTCTGTTAATTAGAGTTCATTAAGATGAATCGTCGCAATTTACAAGATCCGATTTCGTGTTGTCCCATGTAACTTTTAAGGCTCTCTTGACGTTCCAATTGGACCGGCTTGTCCTATAGTTTGATGGTCAAAAACCAATCTGGTAACTTTTCACTAAATTGTACAACTGGTGTTTCCACATATGTGAATTCTTGAATGAAACATGATCGAATAAATATATTCGTTACCTTCTGTATGATATTTATAAAAGAAAAAGAAGCTCACCGAATATCCAGTTTACGTTGTATCCTCGTCAACAATCTGTCATTCGTATTGATTAACACTTCACCACTGATATTGAATGACGTTTGAATTTCAGTAAATAATCACCGTCTGGTTTAAAGCGTTTCATTCTACTCCACAGTTCTTTGACACTGCCATATTTTACTAGTAACTGCCGACGACTCTCAGGGACTGAAAATAAAATTTTCAAATTGCCTCGTCAATTCAACGAATCGCGCGCTAACGACCTAATATATTTATGACGAGCAACTGTAAAATTCAGCAAATTCCAAGGATGGTACGGAAAGCAAAATTCGTAGTAAATGGTGGCGCCAGAACGATTCATTCACAAACTTCACTTATGAAGCGAACACGTGGTGTTATTTATATAGACAGTAACTACTGTACAAAACTTCAGTAATCAAATTGAAAATGATAAATTAACTAACAGTATTGAAACACAGTTAAAGTATAACAATCAACCTGTAAAATATATTACAGTGAAAATCGCATGCGGAGGGTTGTCAGGTGCAGAGCGACACGAAGACCGAACAGTAGTGAACGGCGTGCGCGGCCAGACTGCCATCAGTTGAACAGATCATCAGAGTTTTCATGGCGCTCTAAGTCCAGGCGCATGTTCGCTGCAAATAGTGGGGTTGAAAATAATTTTTTTTCATGACAATTAATCAATTGCTATTTACCTAATAAATCCAGCTAGCCATCACTTTTTAGCACGTTCCACAATAATAAGATACCTGTATAAGATAAGTATAGTGAGAATAAAAATAATAATAAATAACTTCTCTAAGTACTTAAGTATAGTTACCTAAATATTTCACAGTTGTTAAATAAAGATCCATGATACATTTAGTTGACGACTCCCCAGAATATTACGTAGGATGACTAAGCATCCAAGTTTCTCTTGATGTATGTAAATCCCCAGAACGTTCAAGATCTCTGCTTTGAAGTGTCAGCCGTACCAAGAGTTGTCAATCTGATTATCTCACTTATGATCATCCAGAAAGTGAGAGACCTAAGCTGTAACTGAGATTGAAATAAAAGAAATCGGTTCACGTCAAGCGTGTGCGATCTGTCTGAGCGACCAAAGTACAAAGAACTTGGCAGCATCCGTTCACCAGCCTCGAAAATTATTACCTTTAGCTTGTACTAGGTGGTCCAGTGACTGATAATGATTGCTATCCTGGCCACGGTAATGAATCATAGATTAAAACAGGATCTCACTCGTTCTCCATGCTTCCTTTTTTTCTCCTCTACGAGCTCCGCGCTCGTTACACAGACAATATGCCGCTGTCGTTTTATTGTTATCTGCATAGTAGTAATATCTGGACAATAAAGTGATTAATGGCCAACAATAACAGACAACTCTGTAAGAGGATTCGTACGTGATCATACACAAGTATGTATCCTGAGCAAAGGTATCAATATACATCACACGATTGGACTTTGACGAATTTACATGTGATGAAATCGCTGAAGAGTGATTGCTATCTACATCGTTATTACCGCATTGTCATTGACATTAACATTATCGTTACAACCAGGACTGGCATAATGAATCAGGAGTACCGCATTGAGTAGGCAGACAACCATTGAGTTAGGTTGGTAGCTTGCTTGGTAGGTAGGTATTATACTCTCTTGGTAACCAGGGTGGAGAAACTATCGACGTGAGAAGAAATGCGAGGGTAATTGCCGGTGTGCGGTAACCAGGGTACGTTCGCTTAAGCGATAGTCTAACGCGAAGCCTTCGACGTGCGGTAATTATAGTAATTACCCTGGGTAACGCGTGAGGTAAGTAAATGCTTATATGTCGAGTTTGGTCGGAGCCTCGGGCAAAATTTTCGTGTAACGTGGATTTTCTGGCATTCCATTGCGTTCCTTTACATTCTCTCCGTCCGGTCGTTCCATCAGGATTGACGACAGAAACCAGTTATCATTAGCAGAGACGTATTGAAAATCCGTCAGCAGGTTCATTTCGTTGGTAATTACACTGTGGATACTATGTATTATCAATAAGTATGGTGTATACTGTCTTGTCTGAAATAAATATATGGTATCGTACTGTAAAAAATTCTGAAGAACGTATACGTAAATTGTGAGTAATTACAGATTATCTCGTTTGAATAATTATTTAATTCTTATAGGTTATGTTAATATTGATTTTTATACCTTCGTATTTACCATCGTCTGAATATTAGGTATATATGTACATACAAATGCATGAGTGTTAATTCGCATTAAATCAATGAGCTTAAAGCCAGTGCATCAATAATGTAAAAGCACCTGTTGAACTATCCGGGTTAAAATCCATCAGGTGCAAAATTCCATCGGGTCAGCAGTGTGTCGCCCACGGCGACCTGTGGCATCCGCTCTAATAGAGCCTGTTAATAACGATCCAGCGCTTTAATAGAAATCTAGGGAAAGAGAAGTCTGTGTGCTCGGTCAATAGGGCTACACTTTACGGCCTTTGCACAAAGGATATTGCCTGGCGGTTCTCGATACGGAATTAAAAGCCCTCTCGCTTTCGATCTCCTATCCTTCGTTACATTCCTCTTCTGTTGATATATCTATATTCAGTTCATGCTGTATAACAGTATCTGACAGCCCTTTGAAAATGCCAGTGACGATATTGCGTCCACGGACAATAATCAGCTGAAAGCTAATTGCGTCTGCAAATAATACCAAAGGAGATCATGGAGTATGCATTTGGAGCAGTTTTGATCTTCCTTAAGAGGTTATCAGGGAAAATGCGGTTTCACAAATTGCAATTTCAAGATTCGGGTATAACCATTTCACGTTGTACTTAACCCAGTTATGCAACTACGAGGAGCAATTCCGTTTGGAATTAAGCCGCGTATGCGAGGACTGATGGAATTGCTTGTATACACACTTGAATGCACACGAGGATCAGATCGATTTCTGAAGAGGATGAAAAATCATTAAAACCTGGGAATACAGAATTTCTGTTTTCTATCGCGTCAATGCTCGTGACACTTTCGTGAGATTTGGGTAGCGGGTGAAATTTATTCTAGGTTATACGCTGACATCGCTTGGATCAGGGTTGATACGTAACAATCGAGTATTATAGGTTAAGGTAGGTACTTGCTTTAAGGCTGCACGAAATTGCCCACAGCTGCGCGTAACTGCAGCCACGATAAGTGTTCACTTGAGAAAGAGATGGGAACGATCGCGTAAAAAGGTGACAGAATGGGGACTTACCGTTGACGACTGATCGATCGCCAGTACTCGCTGTGCAATGGGAATGGGCCACAGTGTAAAAATGTATCCGACATGAAAAGTTGCATAAGAATCACCAGCTCCAGTAGTATCGCATATAACCGATATCGATGTGGAACGTAAACCATAAATCTACCGAAAGAAAGAAAATAGAAAAGATGAAAAAAAAAAGTATAAAAAGAATTCTGCATTCCCATTTGACCCAATAACTTTAAATCGGGACAGCTGTCAGTTTACTTACACCGTATACATTGCATGTACGTTCGTTGTGACCGTACAAAGTTGCATACGAGGGAAATCTTGAAAGCACACGTGAAATTGTAAGCATAGATGTAACACATAAATAACGATCGAACATAACCCAACTCACGTATCCCGTACGAATGCAATAAATGCATTTGCAACTTCTACGGGAAAGTAGGGAACACCCGATTAACCGTCTTCTACTCTTTTGCAACGGTTGGAACGACTACGATGAAGATTATAATCATGATGACAATCTTTACTTGAGTCAGAATAAAAGTTCGCTTCCCTCGTGTTATTCGAAAGTTCCATGAAACTTGTTACCGACGTGGTTGCACGCCCAACAAGGTGATGCGCCCGTGATGTCGCCACAGGCACAGAAGGAGAGCTGCATAAGGACTGGGAACTGGAAGAATGTGGTACGGGAAATTGAGACTGATTTTCATTCAGGCCGCGATATGTTGCACGCACGGTAACGTAAGAGAGTCGACAACGTACTTAAAAGATAGGTAGAGTCAGAATACGAAGTCAGTGAATTTGTAAAGCAGGTAGGGATGCAGATACGTAGAGAGGTTTTAGTAAGTGAGATAATTATAATATTTAGATCCAGAGTAGATTATTACGCTAGATTTAAATATTCGAACTTGCGGAAGGGTATATAGTCACCGATTTATTTCTGTGCTTCTTTTAGCCGGTAGTAACATTTAAATATACATAGAAAATTATAATTTTATATAGTCCATATATCGTTAATATCTCCCCCCAATAAAGAAAATCCTGATACACTTTCTTCATCCTAATGTACGACGAGGTAAAACAAAAATAAAACCGTGCATTCAGAATGCAGGCACCGTTCATATATTTATACATATATATTTATATGTATATCATACCTGTATGTATTATGTATAATATATTATATTTAGAGAGAGAAAGAGAGAGATAGTTCCTTCCTCCTCCTCGTGTATACATATACGCAATTTTATGTATATATTTAATTATATAATATATATCTTACATCCACTAGAAGTGTTGTTATTTGTTCATTTAGTTTTACCAGGATTTTCCACCATTGTGGAATTCCTATCTGTTTGTGAGCATCACCGAAATCCAATAACGTGTCGTCAATTCTTTCGACGACAATTTGTATCGTGTCAAAATTCAAATTCCACGTGTTTTCCCGCTCTTCCGCTTTGCTCCCTTTTCAATATTGAATTTCACTCGTTACGGTGTACCCTGATCCGTAGCACCTGCTGTCAATGTGACTTTCTTACAAAAGTACTTTTTTTTTCAAAGATCCCGCCCGTACAAGTACCACAAGGGTATTGCGAAAATTCAATAAAAAACACTCGGAGAATATTATACGGATCGTTTCGTACAGGTACATTCAAACTTCCCGCGAAAAAATCGAATACTCGTGGCTCCACTTTATTTCTCCGGAGCGTTACGAAAAATTTAAAACACACTTTATCCTCGACAATGACAACTATACAAATGTATCCAACATACACACAGGATTTGGGAAGTATCTTATTAGTGGCACTAGTGAGTGGTTAAGGTTTAAGAAAAAATCGTGGACATTTAGAGAAAAAAAAAAAAGAAAGATGAACCGTCAACCAATTCCACTTGCCACACTCTAGAATTGCTCTAGGTTTTAAAATACTATCGTCCTACTGTAACGTGTGTCATTTGGTTTATTTTTTTCTTTTTCATTTGTTTCACCAACCCCCGAAAATGTATTCTAACCTCTTTTTCTCCCTCGATTTTCCGTGCACACAAAAACAAACGGATCGATTCTCGTTACGGCTGAGGACTCCAGAAAATGCTTGTCCAGCCAGTTTTTCCTGCTGTACTTTTTTTTCCATCCCCTATTATTTGCTACACACCAACCCCCAAACTCTGGTCAACCGACGCTTTTGATTCTAGCAACGAGCAGTCACGAGAAACGATCCGACAGACGCAAAATGGTTGATGAGTAGTTTTTTTTTTTTTTTCCTTTCGAACGAATAGCTAACGTGGCAGCGACAGGCCCGTCGCTTTTACGAGCTTGTCGATAAATATGTATTACAATCGATATTGACTTAATTCTAATATGTATATCTATATCTAAAAAAAGTATAGATCCTATCCTTTCGATAATCACATCTAGAGCTTCTTCTTGTTCTTTTTTTTTTTTTTTAATTTTTTAACTTACATCTCGCTACAAAGTCACAGCGGTTAATTAACATTTTTACTTCCATCTAGACCTCGCGACAATTTCACTTGAAGCGCCATTACAGTGCTTCATCTTGACTTTTTTTCTACCTTTTACCTGCTTTCAATGTTTTTATTTTATTTTGTTCACTAGATATACCCCCCACGAATTCATTCCCACGGGGATATGGAATCATCAATTTTTCAAATTGATGATGGACGTGTGTAGAGGGAAAAAAATTGGAAGGCAAAGAAGAAAGAAAGAAAATGAATACTTGAACACAGTGGTATTCCAGTAGTAAAAGTGTCAAAGAAGACAAAAAAAAGGGTCTAGTTACTTTTTCCCTATCCCAATATTCCAATTGATTCCTAGTTACCGTAAAAAATGTAGTTGCGATATCCCCCGACGTCCGTAGTTACATGAGGATTCCTTCAGGCCAAACGGATTGTCACTACGAATCGAGTTTGCTGTAAAAAAGGAACAAATAAAAAAAAATGGTCCAACCCGAAGTAGACATGTGAATGTATCAGGTATGCGGGACATATAATCGACGCGAATCTCCCTGTCGTATAAATTTGAATAATGTGACGAAAATTTGGTAGGGTGGAAGAGAAAGAAAAATGGTCTCCCCTATATTCAAGCCGCATTCTCAATCAATAAGAAACGCGAGAACTGTCATTATCTGCTAATACAATGTCGAACGGTGACGCGATGGAAATTGAATTTATCGAAATCGTCACGATATCGACTTAGAAAACGGTTCTTCTCCCCGATTCCATCTTCAACTTACTTCAGGCAAGTAAAGACGATCGAATCGCGACACGACGAAAAAACGGCAAATTGATTTCACGTGGGAATTGTCTTGTACAACGGCAGCCTACTATTGCGTGTGACGTAACGCGCGCTTTAATGCAAACGATTTAAATTCCGCGCGTCTCCGGCCAGTCACGTAAAGAACGCGGAAAACCATACAAACTACGGCACTCGGAACATTCTCCATCTTTACGTTTTCAAGGTATGAGAATCGGCATGGCCTGAATTTCTCCTTTCTTTGTTAATCTCTCTCTTTCTCTTTTTCTCCCTTTGTCATTTCTCAAATTCTCAAGAGTCTCTTACCTGCGCATAGGTTAGGTATAGACAACCTCTCGTATTCCTTACCTCTACCTACTTTCAGGCGCCTATAACGAAATACGAGGTAACACGATAAAAATCGTGACTTTCCTAAGATAACAATGAGGTCGTATAGAACGATTGGCACCAGATTAAAAAAATATTTTTACTCGAATATTATAAAAGTATTGGATTCAGCGAAAAATAAATACTGGCACTTAGCACCCTGACGAGAGCGCAGAGCCAATAGGGATAAAGGAGAAGAAGAAGTTTACAATTACTTAAAGCTTGTGAGAGCAAATAAATAAAAAAAGATACAAAGGCTTCTGTGTATTGCTTTAACTCAGTAATCGAGCACTAATCGTTCTAAGCGAATCCACTTGGACTCATTAGGGTAAACTGCATCTACTACATTGTTACCGTTCGTTGCAATTTTGTTCTTGCTGTATATATACACATATATATATATATATATCTTTAGTCTTCATATTTTGCCGCCTCGATTTCGTATTTCCTCTTTGTCGGATTTCTCCTTCGTGTGGCCTAGTCGCAGCCTGTGATGGATATGATTAGTGCGATGGTCCGTCTTGGGCCAAGTATTTAGTATTGGGTAAGGTACTTCCTAGTAGTACATTGTTATACTGACGACAATAACAAGTACGGACATCAGACATACAAGTACATCAACAGTACTGTAAGAGAGAGACACATAAACAATTCCTCCCGTTACGTACGTGGCTGCCCGACCTAATATCAATCGAATACAGCAAAGAGTGAGTTACGCAAAGTACTTGTGAGTACTTATTAATGGGAACGTCTTTGACATTATTTTCAATTGATCTTAGCATACCTTAATTTATCTTATCTTAGTTAAACCTTACGTCGCATTACGGTACGTCCCTTTCGAAATGTCCTCTTATTAGAGTGAACAATTAAGGAAGCATTCTATTGGCTTGTATTATCGACAAATCGACCTTGATCGGTATTCATTGTGCCATTGTGAACATGGAAGAATTTACTTTACTTGTAAGAATAACGAATTTCGTCACAATATTACTTGCCAACAAGTACTATGCCATTGCGAACATAAGGCACAATGCAATACGATTTTACATGGCTTATTTTAAAAGTTAGTGCATTCAAAATGGAGATACAAAATTTCATGACTCAATTTAGAAAAATGGTCTACGTAGAGGCAACGTGGATTTAACAGCACAATGAAAATAAGTACCCATAAGGTGCGACTATCCAATAAAGATTACTTCAAAGTAATGTCAAAGACGTTCCTGACCAGCCAGCTGGGTATTTTTTTCTTTCGCCATTAATATAATACAAAAGTATATACACGCTAATGTAATTTGAAAAAAAAAGAAAGAAAGAAAAAATCCTGACGCTCACGATTCTTGGTGCCTGTCCTTATCCTTGTACGGAGCAAGGATTCAGACCTGGGTAAGAAGCGTGAGCTGGGTCCCGTTTCTCAGAGGATCCTTATTCTGGTCCCTAGAGTCACTCGAGACGGTGATGTTAGACCTGGAGGTCATAGTTACAGCCGTAGTCGAAGTCTTGCTAATCAGAAATCCACGTTCCCCATCCTCATCCTCGAGATCAGCCCTGGAGTGTCCACTGGGCATCTTACCAGGTTGACTCTTTTCAGCGGCAGCCTTGTTCCTCCTGGGGAAGACACTGTTCTCGATGTGAAGTGTAGCGTTGATATCCTTACCAGCTGCACAGGTGCACGCCTTGAGGAAGCTCTTCTTGAAGTTGTCGCTGAGGAAGGCGTACAGTATAGGATTCATGGCGCTATTCGAATAGCTAAGGAATCCAGCTAGAAGGAAGCTGGTGATGCTGACCCCAGTTTGACATTCCTTAGGCGGCGTGTAGATCAGTGCCACCTGGGTCAGCCAGTATGGCAGCCAGCAGAATACATAAACGGCGATCACGGTCAGGACGAGTCTGGTCACCTTGCGATGAGATCGCTTCTTCTCCTTAGACTTGTTCTTTGGTCCCACGGTCTTCAGTTTGCGTATCACCAGGAAGTAGAAGATGAAGATCAGCACGAGGGGAATCGCGAAGCCCAGGACGAATGTGTAGAGAGTGAATGTTGTCTGGCCGCCATGATCGTCGGGCCAGTATATATTACAGCTCACAGAACCATCAGGCTTCTCCATTGCGTTTGCATAGAGAAACACCGGTGTCATGAAGACCGCGCTGGCGGCCCACGCGATCAGACTCACCACCCTCGAGATGAACGGCGTCCTCATCTTTGGTGAACTTATAGGATGACACACTGCCACGTAACGATCGGCACTCATTATGAAGAGGAATATACTGCTGGTGAATTGATTCACGCTCGTAGTAGTCATATAGGCTTTGCACATTATCTTACCGAACGTCCAGGAACGCAAGCTAATGGTAGTCACCAGAAATGGAATCCCAATGAGGAAGCACTCGTCGGCTATGGCCAGATTCACGATATACATATTGGTGACGGTTTGCATTTTTGAAAAGCGCAGTACCACATAGATCACAAGAGTATTACCTAGTAATCCCACGATGCACACCAGGGAGTATAGAACCTGGGTGATTAATGAGACCGTCGGCAAGTCCTGCCCGCAGCTCGGAATCATCGAGTCATTTTGACTGATGTTCTGAGCCCCGTCGATCAAGGATGAGTTCATCGTTACTGATAGGTCCATTGTGAACTTTCGATAGACTCTGAAGCTTCGGAGGAACTCTCGATTATATCCTTATTCCCTGCTCATCCGTCTGAAGTTCATCAGCATTTTTTTTTTTTTTGCAAAATTACTACCCTGGTTCAAAATCCGATTATCTTTCTGGCTGTCTCTTCTTGATTCTGTAGCCTGCTTCTTACAGCTGCTTATCCATCGCCTCTCGAACTTTCAAAGCTTATTTACCGCAAATAGCCCATACGCTATAAAGACATTATCCACTCAATGCTCTTTCTCTATTTATTCTTCAATTGGCAATAACCCACAGTTATTCTCCTCGTTGGTAGGACTTTTCTCAGATTTTTCATTAACCATTTACCCTCGTCGATCTCAATCTCCATTAATCTTCTTCCTTTCCTCTTCTCAGTACTTGTTAAGCCGTTAACTTTCCTCCCTCAAATATACACGCTTGGTTAAAGTATCGATGTAATCCAGCCAATGAATATCTTCGAATACACTTGAGACGACGAAGAAGACGTTGAAAACAATGAGGACGTGCCGCCGCCCATCCAACAGGCGTATTGGATATTCATCGGTGATTGGAAGCCAGCAGTTACAATAACTTCAGTCCAGAAAATCAGTCGTCCGGATTTCAATAACACCTGGAACACAGAAACACGAGGTATATTAATATAAATGACATATCGTATAAACCTATACGTATTAGCTTAGCTTAGGACACGATACAAAATCCAAGATCAAATTCATTCTATCGAAATTTCCAATCAATAATCCAACCAACGAACCCATTCTTAAAACTGCTTTCAATAATGAACGTGACGTAGATACCTGAAGCGTATATCTATCTATTAGTGGCATCACTTGACGATCCTTCATCGTCATCGGCCAACCTGAACGGCATTGTTTAACGTGATTGTTTAACGGCAGCTTCAATTAGTGCACTAATGTGCAAACCGTTCGAGCGACAAGTGTGATGGATGCCCGTGCGTTACCATACGTCAAGGATCGATACACAAATGCTGAGTCAAGTATTAAAAAAACAGCCTTCAAACAATTTGGCACACGTACTGAAAAATCTGATTAATTATCAATTTCAAATACACCAATCAGATTTGACAGCTACAATGCTACCGGTTAGCCAACAATGCTTAATATAACTTATAGTAATCCCATGACAGCTGTCAGACGTTCGAAGCAAATAGCTCTGTATACCAGAGCATTGTTATAACATTAGAATAAGCCACACTGAAGCATATCAGAATGTATATAAGATTTGCGAAAAATCTAACAGGAGGACTCAGTTCTACCAGAAGCGATTGAGTAGAGTATACGAGCTAACTTCCAAGTATGACGACAGTTTTAAAGTGGAAGAGCACTGATGACTTTATAAGTTTCCCAGGAAGATAATCGACGAAGGGTGTGACCAGATGAAGCTTGATAACGATGGCTCGGAGAGTGAGAAGAAATAAGTCAAGTGAGAATTCCTCAATTCTAAAGAAGACTCTTCTGGTTACCATGAGGCATATCCTTGTGTCGAGAAGTAAGGTGGACAGAGTCTGAAAAAAGTTGAGGGTTAGAGACAGTTATTGAAAAGGAGAAGTAGAAGTGGTAAAAAGAAGAAATTTTTTATGGCAACGATCCTCAGACCGTAAATGGAAAGAAGAAAGGTATACCTCAGGCCGAAGATCATCGTCATGGACATCATTTTGGGTGAGCTCGTAAATTTCCAAGTACAAAATTCCAGAATGGCGAGGAACGTCGGGAGAGACGTTGGTAAATAAATAAAGTCGAAATCAAATGATAAATCAAGTGGGCTCTATTTTCGCTCGTGTAACTAAACACGTTGGCAGATGATGAAGTAGTACTAATAAATTAGCCAGTGTAAGCAGCGTTGATTGTTTAACAGCGAGGAACGCTAATATTATGAGAGAAAGAACGGTAAGCGATGATTGCCAAAAGCAATTGGGATTATTCTCAGTGTCTGTCTTTGTTCGTACGTCACGCCCATGTGTACATACACGCAATATAATATACAATAGGTATACATAATACAGTGAAGGAACTTATAGGGTAATAAAAAGGAAAGCATCAAAGGAACTGACTGTTAACTCAGTGTATAGTACGATATTGATCCCGGTAAACACAAAGTAACATTAACGTATCGAAAATGTTAAAAATTGCTACTGAAGTACGAAACAGTAATGAAACGTCTCATGTATGTAACTGTTACATCCCTGAGTGGGACATTCTAACATTGCCGATGAGTAAATATTACTGTGTTTGCTGGAATAAGTGGGATACGTGTGAAACGAGCGGAAGATTCATAAAAAAAATTATCACGTCCCAGTGATAATATCTAATATGTCCATTACATGTATCTAAATGAGAAAATGGTGAGTGTGACAGATAAGAACCCAGTGTCAGGTAAACGAGGCTATGTCGAGCCAAAGGGGAACGCGAATAGTTATAGCCCTGTATGTTATCTAAATCTATTAAATGTTCATCAGGGCCACCGTTAAATATTGATGAAACGCGCCGGAGTACAAAAAAGAGAGAGAGAGAGAGAGAGAGAGAGAGAGAGAGAGAGAGAGAGAGAGAGAGAGAGAGGAACAAAATCGAGATAACGTTAGCGTTAACGCGTTAACCGTAACGTAAACAGACGCACGAAAATTCCATGAGTCGGTGGCGTTAGAAGTTTTCCTGTAGTCGGATGATGGAGGGAGAGGATTCTGTGGAAAAAAAGAAAAAAGAAATTTCAGGAATAATGTATCGGAGATGTACAGTAGGTCAGGATAAATAAAATCGTAACATACGTCGTTTGCGTGGTCGATCCACTATCAGAGGATAAACCAATGCATCGATTTGCTGATGAACGTACTTTCTTTGACATTGTTCTCTCTCTCTTTCTCTCTCTCTCTCTCTCTCTCTCTCTCTCTCTCTCACACTGAGACAATTCTCTTTATCTTCTCAGTGGGTACTGTGGAAGCGTCTGAGAATATTCTATATCTCTCTGCAGCATACATTTATCCTTGTCCTATCGGGAAACCGTCCTCAGGATCTTTCTCAGTCTGAATCCAGGACGTGTCTCATGAATTACTTAGAGTTCCCAGGGGCAACGTCGTTCAGGTAGATAAGTAGGTAGATTCCATTCCAGCGAACAGTTGCACGTTATAGTACCTATAGGGTCTTGAAGGGTTTAGAAAGTCGTAGAAAACCATCCCAGCTATATCGTCACCGCAGCCACGTGCGATACCTCCCCCCCTGTCTATATATATATATATATATATATATTGTTGTTTCCCCTGAGCACACAGGTTAAGCCACACGCATACTCTCTCTATAACTACGGACTAATGACGTGAAAATTTCGCGGATGAGAGAGTTCCATGAAAAACAGCCTGAAGCTCGTTCGCTCTTCAAAGTGTCCTTTTATCGAGAACACAGGGTTTCTGATTTTGAAAGTAGACTATAGGACCATCTAATGGGGATCCTTGATTAACGCACAACGATCCCGCAGAGGAAGCCCCTGAAATAAAATAAAATCAATAAATCCAGAAAACTCCAACATAACCACAATACTCTAGCTATCCTGAACAAGGTACCCCCGGTCCAGTCCTATCAATATTCTATTAAAACCGTAAATAGGAAGACCATAAAGCACTACCCATGACGTCCGATCAATGAGGATTCGATTGCAAATACACTGGTCAATATCCAATAAATATGTATATCTCCGTGGACGACAGGTTATGTAGGTTAGGTCATACTCGATTTCTCATGAAGATTCCCTGGCTGTTTTAATCTCGCTATATTGGCACCACACTGGGTCAAACTTCAGATAAAAGGGATGCTACCGAGTAAGCCTGTGCTGCAGTGTGCAGAGAATATTGGCTCGTGTTAAACGGGTCTAAAGGACGTTCTCGAATTAACACGCTCGCTCGCGGTTAACCTTCGAGCGGAAGTACTTGCAATTACTCAGTGTGATCGTGCTAATCGTAATTAACCTTACGCTACGTAATTAACGCGGCCAGTAAATTGTATAACGGATGAAAATCTATCTATGAATATATCTATAGATTATCCACTAGTCTTGACAGGCAGAGTTTGTTCTGTGTCTACTAGGTATAGCGCATTGACAATCTATACACGTGGTACATATTGACATCATTATTCTTGTACCGTGCTTGCACCCTCTTATGCATTGTCGCAATATTCGCTAGATAGCGTGACAGTAATCGTCCGCTGTTCTATGAAACAATTATGGTAATCGAGTAAAAGTACCGGAGTCCCAACGTGAATGGAATTATGTGGGATACGTGGCGATGATTGTGTTCAGATATACGAGGTCTATTAACTAAGTATCGACCAAGTACAATTGCTGGTTAGTCGATTTCCATGTACATTGACGTGCAAGTAAGGAAAGTTACATTTTTGATCTGTAGCTGTACCGAAGAAAATAATGCAAGACGTTCAAGAGAGACATCTGCGGGAAGTTTTCTGAAAACAAAATTCTACGTGCGCATGATAAAACAGTAAGTTAGAATAGGAGAAGCAGCCGCGATATTATTTACCAATCGATTGGTCTAACCTAAAAACGTAGATTGGTAGTACAAGACAGATTTCCGATTTCACGTGAAATCCAAATTTATTTGACAGCCGTCCGCGATCGTTAATAACGAGCGTCTGGGCGATTTCGGGTAAATAAAATAAACGTAGGGAAAGAAATCAATTGCAAAAACCGTTAGGGGATCGGCTGGTGGGAGAAAGGAATAAAAAAAAATGAGCACCGCCTTTAATTTTAACAGGCGTGGGTAATCAAACGCTTTACGACTGTTGAAACGAAAGGAAAACGGGGAACGAAAGAGAGATGGCGCATGCCCAACCGACTTCTTTTACTTAAACCTTAACCTCAAACACCAGTCTAAAGCTTAAATCTTCGAATCCTGCTACTTTACATCTAGTACATTGGTCGACACCCCTTGACAACGGATAAAAACGTTAACGACACCAAATTCGACGTCGTTATTCGGATTTCCTTTTTCCCGCATTTTATTTACAATGATCGGTTGCGCACAGTTAACGGCGGGGAGGCGATGACGAGGACACGACAACGTCACGAGCAGGAGTACAAATTTTGGCTGATTGCGAGAGTAAGGCTGTAAAATGGCCGCGAGTCGCTTGGTCTTCTAGTCTCATCCTTTGTTTCTCTCCCCTTTTCTTTTATATGCTTTTATTTCCCTGCTGTTTTTCTATCCCTTACTCACTCTTTTTTTTACGAGGGATCAGCAACAATGTATCACAGAAACTAATTAGGCTTGGCGAATTAAGGGTTGGCCCTCGTTAAGAGAGAAAACTCTCGTCTTAATGGACGATCTTTTACTCGCGTCGGTAAAGCGGGTCCCTTGAGTTTATGGAATAAAGCAAAGGAAAAAAAAAGAAAGAAAACGACGAAGGGATAAATCGACTCGAACCTTTCGTTTATAAAATAATTTTCATAATCAAATTGTCTCGGGATAGTCGTCGGCGGACGAGATCAACCTACCCCTTTTTTTTCTTTCTTTTTTCTTTTTTTTTTCCTTTTTCGATCGTTAATACACGTCCATTTAATATGCTGATTAATTAAAATTTTATACCATGACGCAGATACGATCCTCGCGCTATCACAAATATATATACACACACACACACACCTCTGGCTCTTATATATATCCTTATATACTATTGTACATACGCGTAACTCTATATACGCGTATATATTTATAATTTATGTATTCTTCTCTGATGAGATTTTTTCGTGCCGCATTACATTCGCACTCGGCCACACGTTATATGCAAAACAGTATTACAGCATTGCTCGAATAATTCCAATAGTCAATAATCGTTGTGGAATTCGAATTAATTGAAGAAGCTTAACAAGAATCGTAAATAACGACCTGATAAATAACATATATATATATATATATGTCCTAGTGCCAGCGGAAATTCAGTTTCATAACGCTTTTATGATGCATAAAAGTATTACAGGACTATACGTACAGTGGTGACCTCTATAATTTTGCAATAACATTACACGCAGCCATATGCTATCTATTTTATACGCATAACGTACGGCCAAGAATTAGATAATAGATACAAAGAGCGCTACCCATCTTACAGATAAAAATTACGCTCTATATAATTCAATAAACAAAGACAAATCAGGGCTTTCACTGTAATCTCCCGTAGAATTCGACGATCGTGTCTTCCTCTCTGCGGAGGCGCAATTTCGCTTTACGATAACGCATTAAACTTTCAAGCGGAATAAATTAAAAGGGTCGTATATTTCCGAGCAATGCGCAATAACCAGGCAAATAGGTACAGCGTGCCATTTCAGATTGGTACACGTACACTATACATATATACATACATAAGGACGCGTATGTATAAGCAAACCAGCATAATGTATCTAATGTAAGAACAAACGAAAACGTATACAGAGCTTTTAAGCGAGATTAAGACAGGGGCAAAGTTCCTTTAAAAAATGGACTCGTTAAAGTCCTCCGAATCTTCTTGATGGTGAACGGGTTTACGTAGAGACTAGTTAAACGATCATGGGATACCAATATAGAAGTCTTCACGAGGATAAGGTTAGGCGTAAGTCAGCAGTCGTGAAATCCTTGGGAGGAAAAAAACAAGGATTTCACCTCCCACACGAGGAATCTCCATTGGCATCATCAGAGACTTTATATCGTGGGAACTCTGATAAATCTTATATCCGATGTAATTTCATAGGTCCTTATCACAGCAGCATTAACAAAGAGTCAATGACAGAGAATAATGCAATTATATTGCACATCTTGAGAAGCATTGGGACAACAAGTGGTACCTGGAATAAATATGAAATACGTAACGTGTCTCTGACAGAAGGTATACTTGATAAAAAAAAAAGAGTACTCAATATAAAAAGAAAAAATATTCAGTGCAACCTGGTATACCTGAATACATATGTACATGCGTGCGTCACGAACCAGCGATAAAAACCGACTGAATAAATCCACGTGTAAAGCCTGAAACTCTCTTTGCAATACAGAATTCAGTATTGCCATAAGCCAGAAGCATTGAAAAATGCTGTTTTGTTTGATAAACAATGGACACACGGAGAAGCCGACAATTGCTTTGTATTAGAAACAGATAATGGCAATAGCAAGGAATATGTAAACTGTACAAGAGAGTAAACGAGTTTTGATAATAAAAGAAATAAATTATCACTGCCCATACAACTGTACGGTTGTCTCTTTGTATTTTCCGTATTACTTGGTTTGCTAAGAAAAAAAAAACAATCGGACTTTATATATGTACCTTCTTTTGTTTATACGGTTGCTAGATACATCTGCTTTTGGTACCGGTGTCTACTTTTTATGTGTCTCTGTATGTTTGCTAGATATATCTGTTTTTGGTACCGGTGTCTACCTAGTCTACCTTTGCCTCCACCTCGTACCTCTACAGGATGTACGTAGACAAGATTGAGACAGTCGACAGTTAAGGTGCTACGTGTAACGTGTTTGGTGTGTTAGCGGATGGACAGTCAGTGGGGTTGGTTGGCTTGAACAGAGGGTGGAACGTTAGCTAGGGATATATGCAGGTCATGGCGCATGTCAAGCTGCGAGGGTGCGGCAGCCGGCAAAACGAGCAGGGCGGATCCTTTTGGTTGGCGATCGAACCCTCGTAAAAAGAAAATACCATTTCGAGGAAGAGTATCGCGAGACTGACGTGACTACCGCGAGAAAATCACGTGTCTGGCGAACGAGCGATTCACGTGACGGGATATTATAAATTGTTAAAGAGATCTTAGGTCGTGATGGCGCCGGCAAATTCTCACCAGGTAATACAGGGCGCACGAGGCCGTGTTCCACGTATGACAACAGTGTATACAGGAGTAACGTCTATGTCCGTACGAAGGATTTCGGCTTTTACACTGATCTTAAGTCTTATCAAAGGATCTTATAAGATTCGGCTAGTGTTTTTATTAATAATTAATTAATTTAATTCCGAGTGCAGTTTAAAAATTCATAGATACCATTAGATGTGCCTCTCGTGTACGTCATACGTATAAATTACTGAACGGTAGATCACTAATATATTCACAGAAGAGTGTGTGTTCGTAGAGATAATTTGAGAGATAAATATAAAAAGGGATATATATATATATATATGCACACGTATGTATACAGATGTCCAATCAATCCCAACAACCTGATGCATATTTATTTAATCCTTAACGTTCCATAGTAATCGAGATAATGCCCGTAATGGGAATTTCTCGTGTCGAGGGTGTCGCGCGATTCGCGGCTGATTTACCTTTTAGAATCGCTGGAAGTCTGGCCGAGTGGTTTTAACGCGTGTGAATTGGTTGCGCAGGGCACGCATTTCCAAAAGTGTCGCGGCTCGTGTTACACGGGATGATAAAGGTACCTACACTGATCGGAGATGAAATCGGGACTGAGTGACTGGGGACTGGGCGTCAGTGAGCGTCGCGACGGCAGCGCGTTGCTTCCCTACGGGGCGTCGCGACGCCTGCGCCCTTAAACCCTCCCATCCCAAATACATTCTCATCCCCGTTCTTATCCAATCTGCCCTTTGCCCCACGACCCCTTCGAGCGTCTATCCTTTCTACCTAACTATCTATCTGCCTAACTATAACGTATACGGTTCCTTGCTATTGCCAGGCGTAGGTACGCATTAAAGAAGAGACGCCGATTAAATTAAACGTCAGCTTTTCGCCATCTTTGCTTGTCCCCATCGGTATCATCTTCTCACCTCGCACCGCCCTTCTCGTTTCTTTGTCTTTATCATGAATATCTTCCTTGTTTTCCTTCTCCTCGTTCACTTCCATTCACTTCAATTCACTTGGATGGGTCCTTACTTTTCTCTCTCGCCATTCCCACCAGGAGTCGGCTCTTCTCGGCCGATCTCGTGACTTATCTCATGATCAGCAATTCCTTCCGCCGTGAAAACACTAGTGCATTCACCAAAGTGCTTTGTGCTTATCTGGATGATAAGAGGATTCACGCTTCTCTTCTCGTCCTCTTCTTTTATTTTTCTGTTTGATAAAGCATCTGAGTTCTCTACGAGAAAAAGGAAGAGAAAGGCTTTACCTGCAGGGCGAAAACATGCATTATCTCCAGGATCGTATGACGTTGGACGTTTCACGCTTCTCGGATGTTTGGGGAACATCAAATTTGCTGGAGGAGTAGCGTGAAGGAATCGAACAATGATTCTCTTAGAATTTTCCACTGAGCCACAAACTGCAAAGATAAATATAGATATATTAAATAATCGCATTATACGTGCACGTTCTGCCGTCTATTTAATAATTCTCCTAGGATACTTTAATTGTCCAGGAATTCCCCTATGTACAAAATTAAAGGAACGATGATAATACCAATGAAGAACATTTCTCTAGCCCCGTTTCTAATAACAAGAGTCTACTTTATAACCAGGTCGGGTATATACCCCAGTCTACCATCATTTGACAAATTAACTAGTTTTATTCTTTGATAGCCTTCATTCCGCCTAAGACAAAGCCAGGAAAAATTTCACTTCCTGTATCTACTGTCCTACCAATAGGTATCTCGTCCACTCATCCCAGTCGAGGTAGATTAAGTGAAGATTCGCAGCATGCGGGTAGACATTTGAAATTTGAAGAGACATTCATCAGTCTCCGTCAACGAACTTAATGTAGTGAGGCGGCAGGTCAATCGATACCACAGACAGTTTCAAATAGTCTCACCAATTAAGCCAATGCTGAAAACAAAGTAGTTAAAGAATAAAAAGAAAGAAAATTATCTCTCCAAGATATATTTACATGTGTCATGGTTGCTATTACCTCAGGACGAGTGGATTGTCATCAGGAACTGTAGTGCCTATAGTGTCGACTGGACGTGTCTCATGAGAAAACCGCAGGCCAAGCCTCCTTAACAATGTTGCGAAGCATAGCGATTCTGAATAATTCATAGTGGTAGTGCAAGAGTAGCGAAGCGGCCAGTTGCTGACGGGTTTCCCTTCCCGTGCTACATACTTCATGGCTGAATAATTCATCGGGATTGCCCATGGAAGAGGGCTACGCAGAGGTACACGACGGCACCATATTAATTGGCCTGTGTAGAATCGATCGGACGGCAGTCGATTAGATTTTACCGAAAGCCAAGCTCCATTCTCTCTCTATCTACCCTTCTATCTCCTTCTCAGTATCGTCGTGTCAAGTCACAGAGGAAGTAAAGTCGCCGGAGCTACACAGGACAGAAACTCTACTTCGCTCTTGACTCCACTTCATCTTCTCTCAATTCTTTTAACCCTCGACATCCAGCCACCCACGCACAGCCACTACCTCACTCTCTTCCAAGTCTGTAATGGTGGTCGAGCACGTCCCCTGTGATATTGGAACTCGGTTGTTTACTAGGCATCCGGTGTGTGACGATGAGCGGAAAAAGGGACAATATCCGGTCGTGGTTTATTTGCCAGAGACCTGTATTGGACTCTGCTTGACACTTAATACGAGAAAGCATCACCTATGCTAACAGATATCTAGATCTAAGGCTAGTGTCATATTTGTGTGAGAACAAAAGATATTTCCGGCTATATACGTACTGGTATATATATACGTATATATATATACGTACTGGTTTTGTACACTGTAATATATCGTATAACTGGCTTTGTGCAGAATGAGGAAATACTTTATTGCTGTACTCTTGGCAGAACGAGGATGTTCCCATGGAATTGGCTGAATTGATGCGGTGGCAGATGGTTTATCTTCTTTTTTTTATATATTATTCCTTTCTCTCGTATATCACGGGAGAGACCTTTACGACATTCGGCACTATTTACTGCCGGAGTTTCGATGAATTTCAAAGTTACTCGCTATGGTTAACGCTGCGTGTTGCAGTTAACGGATAATGGGAATTGGCCGATGGCGACATCTAGCGACATATAGTTGCAACCGTATGGGGATACAGTGAAGCTGTATAACAATGGCGAATAATTAAAATTGAATATTATTGTTGCGCTAAACGGATACGTGCGAGAAGAATTCCCACGAGATATAACAGTGGGACGCACAAACTACTCTTTCACGCGATACGTTCCTACTGATTGATATATTTGTTATGAATATAATAAAGTTTGATATACCGCTGGTCGTACGTGACTTTACTCTACTAACCTGAATAACATATATCGAATAAATAATCTATCCGTTTCAGTCTGTAATAATTCCTATATATAATGGAAGGCAATGGATCGATAATTGTTTCCAGTCAATACTCCAACAAACGTGTTTTTCTCGGATAAACCTCGAGATTTCAGTATGCGATGACGCCAGCGACGACGAGACACCGGATATTCTTGAAACATGGCGGAATAAATTCAAAGAACGAGAAGTTATATTGAAAATTTATAGAAATGAATCAGGCAAACCGCAAGGAGGTACGTTAATTAATTAAAGTCCTAATTCAATTTGTAGAAACGAAATTCCTTTTATTTCTAGTGGGCTACGCCAAGAATAGAGCCGTAAAACATTCTACTGGGGAATTTCTTTGCTTTCAGGATGTGGTATTGTAAAATTTAAATTTTTAATTAGGATTAGATATTTCTCCAAGTTTTCTATTACTTATATATTTTTTGCTAGGATGATCGTATGCTACCCATAAGAATAGAGGCGCAGTATGCTATTGCAAAGGAACATAAGAATGCTGTTAGTATTTTATGAATATTTTTCAGTTACCGCGCGTTGAATTTTATTCAATTATTTATTTTGGTTATAGATCGTTGGCGGACGATTTATAAGGGAACCGGAAAATTCAACATTACGATTTACGCGCTGGGCGAATCATTTAGAGCAAGAAAAACTCACTGAACAGATTTATACGTCGCACGGACCGACTGTTGTAATGCCTACATGGTTTTTACACAGAAACGTTTTTGATAGGTGGGTTTTAGTTATTACTAAAATTACAAACTGCTGAATTTGAGGAAATACATTCTTTTAGAATTGGAGGATTTTCTGAGGAAGGTCACGGAACGCCTGAAGACTTGATATTCTTTTATGCGCATCTTGACGCTAATGGAATTATATTGAGGACCGAAGAGCCTGTTGTTATTTATGTTTATCACACGGGAGCGACAACATTCTCTATAGAGGAGTAAATAGCTTGTAGTGGTGTAGTGTGTAAATATATTTATATGATGGATTATTTTTTTATAGGAAAACGATATGGGATTTGAGAATCAACAGGTTGCAAAATAAGGTTTTATCCAATTGGAAAACTTTTACGATTTGGAATGCTGGAAAACAAGGACGACGATTTTTTCATAGTTTGAAACCCGAATTTCAAGTAATTTTTTTTAACTAATTAGAGCGTCAGATATTCACTTGGTAACTTCTTATGTAAGTGTGAATGTAAGATATTATTTACAGAAAAAAGTCTTTGCTCTGTGTGATGTTGACAAAAATAAAATTGGTTCCAAGTACGAGCCATATGATCCTATTTTGAGAAAAGTGGGTAGAGCAATACCGATACTACATTATACTGAGGCAAAACCACCATTTGTTATATGCATTAAACTGGTGAGTAATTAATTAATTAATTAATTATTCTGCAACGAATAATAAACTATATTTATAGGACATGTCAAATGGTGAATTCGAAAGTAATTTAGGCTCTTTGAATTTACGGGAAGGACTGGATTTTGTACTTTTCAACTAAAGTACATGAAATACTCTTGTTGCTACTCAAAGATGTTAAATATATTATTTCAGTCACAGAGTGTTATATTTAGTAGACGGTAGAGAATGTTTTGCATGTTATTAAATAAATTACTTGCTGGTTATGAGACGAGGTTCAATAAGCTGATCATAGGCAAGTGTCACCGTATCCTCCAAAATCTTATTTTCTTCTTCAGGTAAGGTGAATTTCCCATCAGGTAATTCCAAGTGCTCCTTTCCCCCTACATATAAATATTTAAATTACAAAACCTGATCGTTATAAGCTAAACGTAAGTTCTATAAAAGAGTAACTTGCGTATGACTTTGAAGGTATACGAAGATGTTTCTTGCACATATTCCACAATCTCAGCAATAATGAACTCTGATACTTGTGGAGTATAATCGACACCCATTTTTAAAACCTATGAATAAATTATATTTTCAATAATAACTGTAAAAACTTTTGTTTTACCTTGTATACTCTGTATGCGAATAATTACTTTGAAGGCTACGATGTCATTCTTCTGTGGTTTGTCTGTTATAATAGCATATTTCTGAGGATCCAGCTCAGAATAATCTTCAGTCATGGTAGTTTTACCATTTGTTGAATTGTGCTTTGCTTCATTAGTCTTATCTGGGGTATTGTTACTCTTTTCAAGCTCTTTGGACATAGTCTCCTTTTTTGGCTCTGATACAACTTTCTTAGAGGAAAATGTCACAGGCGTAGAACTTTTTCCAAGTGCTAGGAGTGTAGAAAGATCTTTGGTATTTGATGATTGCGAGGGTAAATCTTTGGAAGGGTTTGGAGAGATTAAATCAATCACTGTAGTCACACTATGATCAGGTTGCAGTTCATGGATATCAAAGCGAATATGCTTCCCTGAAGAAATAATCGTAGAATTATTTGTTCTTGGTTTCTTTAGCCCATTTTCTTTAGGTTCAAAAGGTTGCAGAGGTATTGGCGTCTGTCGTTTAGTACGACGATGTCGTATTCTCTTTCGCTTATTAGCCATTGGTGTACCCTCCGAGACAATAAAATCTCCATTGCTATCAGTTGCTTTAGACTCTGTTGCACTCTCAAGTTCTGTGTCATCAATTACAGTATGGAACATTGTAGTATCTCTACCAGGAGCAGCAGGAGTAGAAGTATTAAAACTCTTATATGCACTCAAAGAAAATTTTCTTGTCGTAGAAGAAGTGTCAGACTCTTGCACACTCTTGAAGAGATCAACATCACTAACTCTTCTTGTTTGAAAGTTTCCATTGTCAAGCATCTTGTTCGATGTATTAACATCCTTCAATGCCTTTCGTTCTGGTACAGTTATTGATACTGGATTTGGTACAGTCACAGTACCACTGCACAATCCACTTCCAGGTACAACACTACCAATAGAAACAATATATTGTAACAATGAATACTATTAAAACAAAATCATGCGGGTGCACAAAAAAATTTTTCAAAAACAATAGACTAACAATACCATAAATGATCATTATACGTACATGACAACATCGTTTCCGTTAATAATTCGAATATCCTCAGTAGGCGGCAGATATTCTATCTTATTTATCAGTAAATGAAACGGTTCCTCGATGCCAAAGAGATTAATAATGTGCTGTTTTAAATGATTGATATACCATACTTTCGTCTCGTCAACAAACACTCGACTGCAAGCCCTCGCATCGGTAAAATACTTTGTCAAATCTACTACAATGGTGAAGCTGGAACGATTCATTTTATCAAATTACGTTTTATAATCAAGAAAGACAGTACACAATGTAACCTTGAATGAACCGGTATGAACTTCTAGAAAATCGCGCCATTACTAGTACAAATTCGTAATGGCGCTCGCATCGCATTTCGATAATCGAACGATATGAGATTCAAATTTCCCAAAAATCCATTCTCACCATTTATCTCATAAACTAGAAAAGCTCAAATAGATTTTAGCTCTCATAATTCTCAAAAATCTTAATTGATATCCAAGGAACAACCAAGTGCTCTAGAAATTCATTATATTTCTGTTTTCGGTCTTATACAAGCCGAGAATAACGCGAATGACAATGGCGTATAATGGGTTGCCTATTGTCAGGCGCTATACCAAATAATTTAAAAAAAATAAGAGTAAAAGGTCGAAAACATGAACAATGCTACCCAGATTTATTATCACATACATGTATGTATAATATATATATATATATATTCCTCGTAACGCGATAATACAAATTTGAAGAATTTACAATGACTCACTACTCTCTGTATGCTACTTACATCTAATATAGAAAGAAACGTGTTGCCAGCATTTGGTGTTATTTTTACACGGTCATTCACAAAAATTTTATGAAAATGCTTAACTTATAGGATCAAAGTTTTGAAAAACTTTAATTACACTCTCATTCCGATTACTTGTACAATTTATTTAGCGCAATTAATAAGCGCAATCGAATGCCGTGTAAAATTTCAGCCGCGTATCGTCTGATTACCCTAATTACAATCCATGTAAAACGTAGCCCAATACGGACTTAAAGTAATAGCGACTTTACATTTATCTTATTTAAAAATTCTTTATTTAAACACGCACTTCCGGGATTATTGGGCATCTCGCCTCGGTCATTCGAAATCGATGATGAGATAAGAGTGCACACAGTACTCGATTGCTTTCATTTTCTTAATAGTTTATACCAAAAACCAAGTAAAATTATTATTATAAGTTCAACAAGGTATTCGTCTAGTGAATATATGAATAATAGATATCGCTCAGGCGCAAAATTGACTATACGCGCGGAATTGATTTAAATATTCGGGAATTTTTCTTGGCTTGCGAAATCTAACGTGTACTATGCGTAAAAGATTTCGTATGGTAAATGCAAATCCCTCCTGGGACTATTCGTGTATAGATTAAATGTATAAATTATTAATGATTTACCTATTGAATTGGTCGTATTCCCTCATCGTATTGAGTTTTCGAATATTATGCATGTGCTTCTTTCTCTTTCTTTTGATCGCCCATCGTCTCCCGGACGCGTGCGCACCTTCGAATAATGTTAAATAAAATACGAACGTAAAATAAAGTGAAGAAATAAATTTCGTAACTGCCTAATGACTTTAAATTCTACAAAAATATCGTTACATAGATATTACGTATCACTAATCCTCGGCTACACACGAGTTCGAATGTCCTATGGTCACTCCGCTTTCGCAATAGGAAAAAAGATCCTCTCGCAAAAGTAAAATTGCACGGAGAAACGGGAGCGTACAAAAGGACGGCAGAGAAGATGAGAGAAAGATTTTTCGGGCAGTGCGAATTAACCCTGGAATATGAATAGATAGATAACAACTCGAAAAAATGTATCTGAAATCTCAGAACGTTTATCGTCAATCTGAATAATTCAATATGATTAGGTCGGACAAGAATTGATTTAATTATTAAGAATCTTCATCGTCATAGTATCCATACTGATTGTTATGTAAAGTGTAAAGTTTTCTCAATCCATCACACGTGACACGTGTAATTCGATGCACTTTCAGGAACCGTATTAACTATGACTATTCAATTGAAATATTCATACAATGTCGCAGATCTAATTCGCTCGACTAATTCTCATCCGATGATTATTTTCGGTATAGAAAAATCCGAGTGCGCATAAACGTATCTGATGCTTGAAATGGAAATACTTTTCTACGCCGCAGACAGAATCTAAGTATTACCTGCGCGGAGCGTATGCTACGGGATTATGGAATTTCCTAGGAACGCTTTGAACCCTTGGGAATTTTACGAGAGAATGCAGGAATTTCGCTTGGACTCGGAGCGTTCGCGAATCTGCTGAAGATGCTGCAGCTGCGCCGGAGATGGTACGTGGGCATTACTGCTACGCGAACTCATATACTGTGGTGGCGGTAAGGATTTCCTACGGCGACGAAGAGCTGGACTCAGGTTGTATTTTACCTTTGCCTGGACTAGTAACTCCTTGAAAACTTGTGCTATGTTAAGATTTTCCTTGGCGGAGACCTCCACATATCCATTTTCCCAATCCTTTGTCACTAACGTCCTGGTATTCTCCGAATCGACCTATTCAATCATTAATTCATTTTAATTAATATATTCCCAACGATATAATTCTCTATATATACAATTTACCTCCTGACATTCCTCCACCAGGTCCACCTTGTTACCTACGACGACGATGGGTACAACGCCCTTTGTGGCAAGAATCTTATCCTTTAGGGTCTTAACCTCCAGGAAGGTGCTGCTATCGTTTACGTCATACACCAAGATGAAAGCGTCTGCCGATTGAATTGATAGATCCCGCATAGCCGGGAATTCATATGATCCAGAGGTGTCAAGGATATCAAGGGTTAGCTGAATGCCGGAGACATTGAAGTCCCCATGATGCATCTCCTCAATGGTCCGCTTGTATTTTGGCGAGAAGGTCCCATAGAGGAATTGATTGATTATGGCGGATTTACCAACCTTGGCAGCACCCATTACTACAATCTTATGACGGACTGAACTCTCTGTCGCCTGTTTCCTGGCGCCATCCGACTCCGACAATCTTTCTGACCTAGAGGACATAAAACAAACATTCGTTTCCGGCAGCATACTGAAATATTACTTAGGTTTAATAAAATTAAAATCCTCTTCTCTCAATTACCTAGTATTCTTCGCGTTTCCACCCTCCTCCTGTCCTTCCTTAAGGGACGATGGCTGGAGACTGAAACGCCTACTGAATTGCCGTCGATTCTTCATCATCTCTACAGGAGAAGAAAAGCGAGTGACAATTTTATAACTTAATGCCAGAATCCGTTCATCCGCAAAACGAACTTCCATTCAAGAGCACAAAAAGAGAAGAGCGAAATAGAAATATAAATTGACCATTGTTTTCCAGATATTGTTCACAGTAGTGAATCCTTTTTAATTTGACTGCAAGATTATCTCTAAAGCGCAACTGCGATATTGCTCTAAAAAATCTCTAAAAATTTCAGACAGATCCAATGTACATATATACCCTGGACGAATAGAGGTGAAAGTAATGGTCATTTCTTTCACCTAAGAATGCCCAGTCTAACTAAAAGCAATTCCGAACAGTCGTGAAAACAAACCAGGCAATTCCAGACACATATGTGAGAGCAAAGAGCCATATTCACGGAATTGCCAGTGTTGCCCTTATTGCCTGAACCCTGGTGAGCGATCGGGACTTATTATCGGTCGTCCAGGTTACTCTCTGCCAGATTACTCCACGTTATTACACACTTAAGCTATGCTCTACCGAGGACCAATATTTGCTAGTGTCGAATACAGGTGATTTCGAGGGTTAACATTAGGCTAAATTGCGGTACGAAGCTTTGTAATTGCTAAAAGGATCCATAAGAACCTTCCAATATGATAATGAGAAATCCTATTTGAAACCATACTTAATTACCAGACTAATGCATTCTAATCAAACTGATTAATAACAATTCCCTGATAAGTAACATATGTCACTTATAAGGATATCTCAACAAAAGCTTACAATTAGGATTAGGACTGATCTAGGTCAATCTAAAAATTCTATCTGACACATTAAGTTAGTAACATATGGCAATAATTATTATTTCCAACCCTATAAACCTCTTATGAACTATTACAGCCAACAGTAATAAACTCAATTAATAACCGTCTTAATTACAATAACAAAATTTGTTTCAGCAATTCCACAGTCGTTTCAATCCAATCTCAATGCAAATTACTACAGACACATCAGATCCCACGAGCATTAATGTTACTCCCAGTTCAAGTACTAAAACCAAGACTGCACAGTCTACCAATTTGCTATTGGAACTCCAATGTAGAATGGCTTATTATACAGATTATTTATCTCGATAAAACCTCATTGTACCTTTACATGTAATATTATCCTATAAGCACAATATGCGCTGTTTGCTCGCGTAGTTACACCGTTCACAATTACCAACTCTGATTCTTTAACAAAGCAACTAAGACTAAAATAAAATTCCCGCTACTCGGTTTGCTGAATAAAACTGGAAACGAAACCTCTAACATTAAGAGGAAGCGGGTTATTTACGGCGATCGTTATTCGCAGAGTGGCCAGAATGCGGGTGATTAATCGAAAATAGAAATCGAAGAATGGTTCACTTGAAGAATCGAGGATGCGTCGACTTTATCGTTTTATAGGGACAATCATACAAGTTACATATCATATTGATATAACAAAGCCATTGTGAGCGTGCAATTCCAGATGGTAACATAATACTATGTTATAGAGTAAAATTTTTCTTATAATCAATAACTGCAGCATGCACTGATACCGAAGTGTAATTCTGCACTGTAATTGGATAAAGAGATTACACTCATGACAAAACTTTTAATCCCATAGAGAAATTCCTTTAACTATACTCCACGTGCATCTACGCGATACTAGCTGTAACTAAGAGATAGATAGTGGATTTTAGTTAGCGAACTGTATAGTACAAAGTTTGATTGAGAACTACATCAGCGTGGAAATAATTTAACGGATATTTTGGTAGATAATACATTGAGCCATTTGTTACTGCGCCTTGTATCATATAAATACAGTTATATATCATGTATACTATAATAGTATAGCCATATTTATAACGATTGTTGGATTAAATAATTTATCGTGTTTCGAGTTTGTTTCCTATACTCTGTGTAGAATATTGTAGTACGGTATATAAATTTATCACAGAAAATAATTAACCGGTTCACAGTGGGCTTAACGATAATATTCAATTAAAGGTATCTGCAAGCTCGCATTGACGAGTCAGCTAATGAAGTTAATTATATCATTAAAGAGAAGCAAGTCTTGCCATTTTCGTTGACGTTAAGTAAGAGAAATATAGAAATTGTGAGATTTATCAGGAAAAGCAGTTCTCCCAGGGTCGATGGAAAATTTGTCTCTTCAGGAAATTCCGGGATGAAATGCTTTCCTGGAAAAAGACAAACTGTAAAATCGATCAGGGTGTTACTATAGTGAGTGAGTACGATCGATAAGATTATCGTTCATCTCCACCTTTAAATAACACACTACCTCGTGAACGTTTACTTCATTAAGTCATTACAGGAATCGAATGGTGTCAGGGATATTTACCGAGTCCACGTAATTCCCATATACAAAAATTCAAAAGATTCCCACAGCAGACCCACGCAGCTGCCCTCGATTCTTGTATCTGGTCCAATGCCCTACATAAATTTTATAACAAAAAGAAAGTAAGATTCTTAAATATCAAATGGCAAACGTCCAATTGGATCGACCAGTAAAACAGGAAAAAAGAGTTTTGGCGTCTGCTATAGGTACCTACCAGGAGTGCGAGAAAGACAGGCTCATGGACACCTCGATACGTAAGACAAAGACAGTCTAGTACTGACTGAAAAGAAGAAAAGTAAATCCTTTGTCTCATACATTTCATTGTATCTTTCAATTATTCTGATTCTCGTTTATGGTATTATCATTATTATAGCACTAGAGTTCTCTGTATATATGTATTCATATGTAGACAGTAATGCTAAATTGTGCTTAATAGCGAATGAAGTCTTTGGAAAAATATTTTAAGGCTTCTCTCACACTGGCACAGTTTAGGTGACTGACTCCTGTGTACGTCGAACTGGAAGTCGTTCCAGGAGAACTGGAGCAACGGCACGGCGATAATAGTAAATTTCTTGTGCGATAGACAGCTTGCAGGAGTTCCTGGCTGGAGAGACTAGTCGCGAGCGTTATATATATATATATATGTGTGTGTGTGTGTGTGTGTGTGTGTGTGTGTACATAGAGCTTGCCATACTTGCGGAACCATGCACAGTATACCCATCCTATGTGTGAATGTGCGTGCTCAGACTCTATCGATGCATGTAAACTAGAGCAATGACCTGGAGAGTCAGTGGAACTTGGCCGGCTCCACGTTGTCGGCGAACCCCGAAAGCACGGATGCGGTATATGCACTTTGGAATTTTTCTCGACACGGACAACGCACCCGGGACATGTCCTCGTAACTCTTCTCGAAGGCGAGCAATTTTTTTCAAATCAATGCCCTCAGAAAACTCGGTCAATCCCCATGCGAAATTCATGCCCTGATACTTTGCTGTTTTACCATCACCGGAAGCTGCTACCCGGTTTTCTTCGTACATTTCTTACAGTCCTGAACTTCTGCATTCTTACGGCGCTCTGCTACCTATATGTATGCATATCCCAGCTGCTTAAGTACAGGCGAGTACGACCCTGCTTTACCAACAACCAAATAAAATCACGAAAATTAACCGACACGTGCCTCATTTACACTTTACTTCCCTTAACAACGCTAATATAAGAAAATTCACGTTGATTCATTGGCTCTATTCAACTTTAACGAATTACAGAAATAGAGGTTAGGTATGCATACGAGGTTCGTAGGGAAATATTCTATCTATTATTCATAGCAAACTCAGTTGTACCTGTCACGTTGAATTCAATGCACTTTGTGATTTTATCTGTACACGTTGATTCACCAATTGTTTCCTCGTATTCTCAAGGGAACACACAATCCGCCGAGCGAGAACCAAACAGTTGAGGTAACGCAACTACCGGATTCATTGTGGAAGTTTGACCCAGCGCATAGTGCACAGGTAACAGTTCACCTTCAGTCTGTGGGTTTGAAATTGCCCTGTTCTCACGGAAACAAGGAGTGAGATAAGGAGAGAATATGTGTAAGAGAAATAGAGAGAGAGAGAGGAGAGACTAGTTTACCAGAGAACAAGCAATTATCACCTTTTGCGTGAAGTAAGCGGATTGCCGGGATTACACAGGGTGTTGGATATCGCCAAGGTAGTAATATATGTATATACACCAGACAATGCTGTCGTAATAAATTGGTGCTATTAAGCTAATCGTAAGTAGTATCCAATTCATGTACGTTGAAGTCTCTTATACTTTTGTTCTTTGTTGCATATGTGCATATGTGCAGTGAATGAATATAAAACTATAAGGGTTATGTTGCGTTGTATGGCCAACCAAAGCACTGACTACATGTATTTTTGTTTGTGGCTCCGCGACGGACTGCGAGGAAAGCTTAACGACCTGCGAACCTTTGTCAGGACATTAGCATTGGAGAATTTAGGTTGACTCGCGTTAATTCATCGAAGGCGACGTATCACTTCCATGTGAATGATCTTAAGGGTCGTCGCTTAAGAATTCGTTATCGAATATATAATCAGACTTTCCGTGTTAAGAGGACTCGATTCATTTTACACTGTTTGTACAAACATTTCGGAATATTTTTGTCCTACATTATTCTTTAATTGTTGCTTGTCTTTTTTTTATTATTTATGTTTTACTTGTCGCCACGTCTTTTTGTATCTGTTTTTCTTCGAACAATCTGAAATTTCCCGGAAGAATTTAAAAATGGCGTCTTTAGATTCTCGTGGAAATTCCGCGGGAAGAATTTGTATTTGTGATAAAGTTAACTTTAAATAAATAACGAAGAGTGGCATGTTGATGGAATGTAAAATGAATTTCTTTAATGTAATTTGTCCAAACGTATTTTCTATTAGTCTTTTCCACATTTTTCTCTTTAGTAATTGAAATATTACTTTCCTCGGAGCCGACAACTTCATTTCCATGGCTATTTCCTAATAGGCCGAAAGCGAGGTCGAGCTGCGAATTGCAAATGAGATTGCAATCGTGATTAAGGTTCAATGAAGATCGACCTTTAGCTAGACACGTCCTTACGCATGTTACGCTATAGATACTGAGTAGGTACACAATATCTCCAATGGACACTATGTAAGCGTTAGTATATAAAGGCTTCAATGTTACATGACATGGTGAAAGAAAAATAACACGGTCAATAGAAAAATATTTCTAGGTCCTAGAGAAGCAACATCGGATATATAGGCGGTTCGAAAAAATATATGGTTTTCATCTTTCTGCGCAAAATTCTTTATCTAAATCCTTGCTGGACCAGCAAAAAAAAATATTGGAACATTGTCAGCTGTTCTGACACGAAAGGTCGAATCCTAAAGAAATGGAAAGAAAAAAAAATGACTAGACTTCTTCACACCTGTACGAGCCATTGGAACTTACGCCATTGAAATTTGCGCAGTGAAATAAAGCTGATAAACACAGATTACACGTAAGTAAACAAACATAGTAATCCTATCTTGCAAAGCAGTTAAGCGGGACTGATATCCGCGTAATTAAGAGATATCTATTGACTGTGTAAAAAAAAATGTCGATCACAAAAATATGGCAGTCAAATATATACACGCACATACTATATATATTTACTTTACGACGAAGCATTAATATTTGTATACTACAGTCATTACTAAAAGATCCAAAATGAAAATCCATGTATCTCGATATAATGAATTAATGTATTATTTGCACATTTACTCTCATAACACATAAGTAACCGTAATTAATTTAGTAGATAGACTTTCGCCCAGCAGCGTATTTCCCATTTTGGACTGAAAGTAAGTTTCGAGTGGCTAATCAAATTTAGACAGCTTAATATCGGGTGCCGTGATATTTCCAATGAAACGAAGGTAAGAGCTATAGAGAGGGAGAGGGAAAGGTAAAATACGAGGGAAAAGGCAAAGTGTAAAGAGAGAAAAGAAAAAAATAGAACAGATCGCGTAACAGGTGCGAGAAATAAATCGGTAGAGTAGAGAACGCCACCTTCGCTTTAGGGAGCCCCTCAGTCGTTAATACGCTTAACGCATTTATTCCTACTTGACTACCTCCGAGGGAAAGTTGGCGAAAATTCTCGGGATTTGACTTCGCAAACTGCCAGTTTGAATAATGATTCGCAAGACGTATTATAACTACTTTTTCAAACTGCCCGAAGGAAAATGTCCAAACGAGAGGGGTATCATTAGCACTTGAAAAACTTAAGGCTAACAAGTGTAGTCGTGAGAACATTTTATCTGGTAACGTTATCAGAAGACGTATAACGACTTTGTACACAGTAATAAAAAAATACGCATGTACATACAGGCGTTGGTAAAAACGTTAATAAAACTTTTTTGATTGCAGCTGTACAAAAAACAATAATGACCACCGTACTCAAATCTTGTCAATCAGATTTTCACTCCATCTTCACTTTACATGAAAAACGTGAGTCGCACAACATTCAATATATATTTCTATTCTCATGTAAAACATGTACGACTGCATTGATATGTTGATTTCTTATACAGGGAAGGGTATCCTGCCATTGAAGCCTCCTAGGTTAGGCTTGAGCATGAAAGTTTTTGCGATTGGCAGGAAGGTGCCACTTGGAGTGCCACGATAATTCTGCATATCTAATCATAAAAAAAAAACCTTTTCACGTCGTCCAGGGCCATGTTGCTTTATCATCGAGGTCTCGAGTGTTATGATAAGGGAGACGGGTTCGTGCTTTCCCGGAAAAGGCAAATCTGGCCCGGGTTAAATCCCTTAATAACTAGACATACTAACGCCAGGCTCTAAGGAGAATTACTTCTAACGCTTCTATAAAGCATCTCTGTGCCCTCAGAATACGTATAACGAATGTCCTTGTGGTAAGACTCTGGCTTCGCGCGATGAAGTTTTGTGAACTGCATATTTATAAAATACATTTCGTTGCCACAAAGGTGTGTACAGCGCCTATGGTAAGACAGTTATTTATTGGCGTAATCATTAACGCCGCTAAATAGCTCGACGATTAATTAACCAATTGTTTCCGGAGAACGTGTAATTAGACGCGTGCAGGCACGCTGACCCATCGAGCAATCAATAACTAATAGGGCTGCGCTGCATACGATCATTGAAGTCTTAGAAAAGGACGTAATGAATTACTTACAAGGTATGCATTAAAACATGAGACAGAACGTTAGAGTTTCATCCAGAAGATGGTAGAGGATGAAGAAAAAGGAGGTCGCAGAGATCTAACAGGATTTTTGGACGAATGTCAGTTTAAGAGGTGAGACTATGGAAAAGCTTTAAAAAAATGTGAAAATAATATTACCTTGCGGTATTTTAATTGTTTTAGGTGTGTCGCGCTTCTGTTCTCTCTCAAGATTGTGACTACTGTAACAAGGCGAATTTTAATGTCTACTACGACGTTTGGCTACTAAAACTTTCTGTATCTAAGAACACAGTCGCTTCTTCTGAAAGGCTTGCGACAGTAGAAAAGCAGCTGATAATTTAAACAGACGATATCTCTCCATCGTCAATGCGAATAACAATGCGTACTAGTTTATCGTGTACTGTATTGTAGGGTAACATTATAAGTTATTTAGAAGTAAAGTGCGTTAGCCGTAATCGTGATACGGGGCTAGGCACTAATATATAGTGAATACGGTTTCATTAGGTTCGGTATACTATTGTTAAAATTAATCAATTAAGTGCGATAGCGGTTCATTACCCCGAATGACTGTCCAGTCTGTAGACGTGTAATTTTGCTCCGACGAGCATATGCGGAATAGGTCATTGAAAAAATGAAAATCTCTTTAGTACGATTCATTAGAGTGTAATGGTACTTACTACTAATGGGGTAGGGTGGAGTAATGTATTGTTTTAATGAGAAATGGAATAAGTAAATACAATGTATCGCTGAGCGGATTACCGACCAGTCTCAATAGAAGCTTCTGACAATTCGTTGGAGTTTATCATACGGAAGATTGGACTTTAGGTTTGAGGGGTAATTAACTGTAAAATGTTACCTGGGGTACGTTACGTCTCTCTGCGACCCCGTAAATACATGACTTTACGAACACCTTCATACACACACCCTCTGGTCCTGTCTGACGCCGTGTAATTTTCCAGTTTTAAGTATAGTCTGCTTCGGCCCGGAAACTTTTTAACGCCCTCAAGTAAAAAACAAGAGCACAATAATAATCTGGCCCAAAGGTCATTGCCGTAGGGAAAATCTTTTGAAAAGTAGCTACACTATTGTGCCTGTAACTGGAATCGGAGCAAGATCAACGTTAACATCCAGCAGCCGTGCAATTCCTTCCTGCTAGGAGGAACACCTGACTTGAATGGTAGTGGGATGTACGACTGGGTATGAAAACGTGCAAAAAATTGTATAGAAGGAAAAAAAGAATACAAGCAGCCAGTTGGCTGAGGAATTTTTCGCAGAGCTCTCTGTACTACGGTATAAAGTATTCCTCTCCATATCTATTAAGCACACAATAAATATTCGTTCTATGCTTCTTCTTGAGATGATATCGATGTAATAACTTTGTATTATTTCAGGATTCGGATGTGTCAGGACGATTCCGCAGAAAGAGTAATGGCTCCGTGATATTACGTTGAATTGATTTCTGAGATTTTTAATAGGAAACTTGAAAAATTCACCAAGAAATACTGTACTGGCGCAGTACGGCAAAATTTTTTTTCTCTTGCCTGAACTTAATTGGCCATTGTCACTCTATAATGTTTACGGTATGGTAATATCCATATATGGACGAAGTAATAAAATAGAACAAAGGCCGTGTCTATGTTTACCACTGATGCAATTTTGCACGAGCTACTCGCGCTGTGTTTATAACGCTTGTAATAGTGTCAGGTGTGTTTTTGGCTCGAGTGAATTTAATCGAGTTGGCTTAACAGCGGCTGTGGGCAACGTTTGAAATGATAAGAGTTTAAAAAATAGGAAGCGTGCGAAAGGCGAAGCAAGACCAAGATGAGAGAGAAGATTAAGGCCTCCCATTTACTATAAATATCATTTAATCTAAAGGTCCAAAGGATACCGTGGATCAGTGAGTACAGTGATGGAATTTTCACTATTCAATATATTACATGTTATCACATATTACAGTTAAGACCGGGTTGCCGTCTCCATGATAAAAGAGAGAGGGAGGATGATAAATTGAAACTGTACGTCCGTCCTTTTCACATGGATAATCATATTCAAATGGAAGAGACGAGGGCGTTTAAAAGGAGGAAAAATAAAAAGAAAAAAGGGCCACTCGAATCGCACGCTATAAGGAAGAGAAAAGGAAGTAAACCCGGTATTCTCAATGGAGTTCCCATTTATTGCACACAAACATTTATTCAACGTAGATAAACTTTAAAGTTCCAAGCTGGCAATAAACCCACGAGTAATCGTAAAACCAAAGAAGAAGATCAGAAACCGTAATACACCTGACGTTGGTCGTATATTCAAGTTAAAAAAATAGACTTGCTATAGAGAATTACGATAGCATTATTCATTTATCATCGAGGGATCTCGATGTTAATATCAAAAGTTTAAGTGGAAACAGACAATAGTCCCCACGAATCCCAAGGGTGGCCTTCGATAATTCATTATCTTCAATGACGTACCATTGATATGAAATCAAACTCGTGTCAATTAACAGAACCGAAGACAATTGGATACCTATGATTGTCTAGTAAAGTGCAACCTGTAGCAATAGACTGTAGTAAGAAGAAAGGTGGAAATAGAAAAAAAAACTATGAAAATAAGCAGAGTGCAAACGTACAGACAAAAAAGAAAGTGCACAGGTGTAATCGAACCTGTCCTCGTGAACGGTTGAACTTCCGCAGTGCAATATCGTGTTCCTGGGAGCAAGTTGTACGTACAGCCTCGTCCTGAGGTCCTCGAGCGATCTGAGAACGGCGAACGGCCAGCTAGCTCTGGCCGGTACTCCTTGCGTGCCGGGCGATATCCACCCACGGCGACTGCGCCCTTGCAGTTCTTCTCTATCCTTTCCTACATTTCACCCTCACACTTGTTCTCGCTACACCTCTCTGTCTTCCCGATTGTCAGACTATCCTGCTTTTCCTCATCAGGCGCCCTTCTTCGCACGATCCTACCTCCCTATACCTAGAGTTACGTACAGCAGCTACGTTGCCTACCTCTAGCTACCCTTATACGTCTTCTGTATCTGTCTTACCCTTACGTGCCATAGCTCACGTTCTACTATTTTACCTATTCCTCCTCTTTCTCTTTGCCTTCCCTTCCTATTGTGCCTTTTCTCTCTTTTCACATACATATACAATATACACGTATTCCTCTTACAAACGACCGATGGCCAACCTATCCTTCCGACTCCTGGTGAACGGGCCCGTAAAGTGATTCGACCCTTTCGCATTTGCAAGTATACTTCCACCTACTCCATTGTACGTCTTATTATACGTATAGGAGAAAATTTTGCGATTTCGCCAAAAGCACAATGGATTCATCGCCAGATGGTTAATCGCTTTTTTATTTAAGATTTATCTGCACGTCCTACGTGTATTCCAGCTTGCGTGTTGGAAATTACATACTTGAATTGGGTCTACATTGAATTACTTATACTTTATCGCCACGGTGGAGTTCGTAGTTCACAGTTCAAGCGATGTATCGAAGAATTGAATTAGTTTTCATGAAATTCAACAGCGACGCTCGACACGTGGAGGCTATTGCGACTTAACCGGAGTTTCCACGTAGTTTCGTAAACCCATCACGCACTCTGGCGACGAAACCTCGAATCTCCATACTTTTGGAAATTCCTGCGGATTACACGGGAGGTCTGGTTTCTGCGGTGTCTGCAGTTCCTGTGGGAATAACCGGTCAATTAAATTTCTTGCGGCAGCAAGCAACTTTTCAACGTGGAATTTCGATGAGGCTTCATTCCGTTCATTCGTTGTGACCTCGGGATAGTAACTTTTTGGGGGGACTTTTGCTTTTGGTCATTTGCTTAATCATGGCTGACTTTAAAATTAGTATATCAGTTGTGCCTTCTTTCAGCTTAAGGAATAACAATCACGCTGTGCGAATCTTCCAGAGGTTATGTTCGTCATGGTAAGGCTTTTCACAAATTATACTTTCAAAGTCAATTAGTATTTACATCTAACGATCTAGCATCCACACCGAGTCATCGAATTATATATAAACCGGGGCACCATCGCGAATCGAGGTTTCACGCGTACTATGCCAAATGTCAATAATTGCATCCTGCGGCCGTCTGCTAACGAAATAAGCACATACCATTCGGATACAGTAAATATTGCACCGTGAGCTACAACCACGTAAACGCTCGTATCCGCCTTATTGGAATGAGAGTCATAATTCATAGGCAGTTTACTATCTGCAATAGAACAGTCAAGGGATAAAAGGTAAAGAATGTAAAATTACATAAATTTTGTAATTTACACTAAAAGATCTCTGTACTAAAACTCAGTATATTTTATTTGGCTCAGATAACTGTAAGAGTCAATTTGATTGTATAAATTGTCAAAATAACATTCTCTTATTTGTGTTGCAGATTTCCTACAGCCACCCGATATCAGCGATTAATTGCAGTGACTGCTTAATTAAGGAAATGGACGTCGGTCTCAGGCTTTCTCTAAGTTAAAAAAATGCTTTCGATATTAACACGCCACCTCGTACTATACGGCACTTTTGTCGACTACATCCTCTCCGTTCTCGTTGCTCACCAGGATACCTCTACCCCGCAGCTCCAAGTTATCCTACTGTGACGGAAAACGGAAAGCTCCTGTGCCACCCGCGGTTCGTGGCAATCCGCAAGCTGCGACAATAACAGGGCTCGAGATACGACCTTAACGTCTCCGGTGTACTGTGACACTACGTACTAGGTGTCCAAAGTGAAATCAACGAAACTGGATTTTAGTTTAGTCAGACGTTATTGCATGTACAAAATGTCGAGCAGCAGCCATTCGATTCGACGAGAACGTATACGGTTCTATGATGCGATAAATCTTGTTACGAGTGGCAAAAAAGTTTTTCGAATTTTCATTTCAATAAGTCTATACGTATGTTGGATAGATCAGATCAACTGAAAATAGTACCACCAGACTGGAGCCTATGTATACTGTATGCACTAGACTACCCATTGTGTCACGTCGAGGAGTCAGTACGGTAACATGAGATTTTGAAATGTTCCGTTGCAGATGCGTAACACAGTATTTATAAATTAGCTGCGTAGAAGCGTGAATACACAGGTATATCACTCGCTATTCGCTATGCACGTACGCATTACGTTACATTAGATACGTAATTTATAAACAGGCATCCGTATACGGTTAATGAGATATTTATAAACGTTCAATCTAGACTGCTAATGTACTGGATTTATTAATCATGCACGCAAATCCGTATAACGTTTCTGAATGACGGCCATGGCCCTTGGTAAAATTAATGAATCAGTGGTGGACGTAATTTAGCGATAGAATAAATTTTCAATGAATTTTAACCTTTCACGTGGATCTGTACGTTTAACATAACCGCACAAACACTAAATGTCAATCTGTGAATGCGTAACCTTGTTCTTTCAGTTATCTTCTATAACTTTGACGTCCAGTGTTGAGTTTATTGATGGAACAGGAACGTGGAATTTTAGCGTGGAAACTGGGTTCGCTCTCGAAGTTTTCCCAATAATAGTAACTCGGTACGCTCGCATAAGAAATTGCGTTGGAAAAGTGCACACCGCGTTGATAGCCACGTCGGGAACCTTTCCCAAGGTCGTAAAGCAAAAGGTCGCGAAACCTCAATATTGCTGCTTTCATCGTCTGAATTATCGAGAATATGCAGTTTCGACAGGCAGCCATAGTGTGGTGGGTTTACTGCGAATTTTATATATTGTAAATCCCCTTGCAGTGTTTATCATATGTGTATAGGACACGTCTAGGTTATGAGGGCAAGAAAAAAGGAACAAGAGAAACGTTACTCTGAATATGACTGCAAGTTTCGTCAGGCTGAAAAAGTTTCAGGAAAAAATGTTCTCAGATATTCATTCATAATGACAGTAAGTAATGGACGAAGCGGCTCCTCACTGAATTGTTTATAACGAAAGATATTTAAGAGAAAAAGTTCATAAAATTGGGAAATCATTTACATTTTTATTTTTTCAATACAACCTAAAAAGGCACTTTGCTTCTTTTGTTAAATTTCAACTTTCCTCGAGTTCCGGTAACCTCTTACCCGTTAAAATACTACTTTACCATCCACTGGCTTCATTCGTATTCATAGTCAATGTTTGAGACGAAGCGCAATCTTAGAACCATAGATATAGTAATAATAACACATGGTAGAGGATGCCTTAAGTCGTGCTTATAATGAATAACTGACTATGAAAATGGGCCTATGAATTGCGGTGGCTATTGGAACTTGTAAATAGGTCTGTTAAATTTTAAATGATGCAAACCGAAATATTACGTCAAAAACAAGCACCGAATGAACGTTTGCGCCAACGCGCAATGTTACGCGAAAAGCAGAGTGAACGTGACACTAAGTTGAATAATATTACGTCAAAAACACTTACCGGTTAACGACGACCACCAACGGGAGTATGGCTGGCTTGCGTTTCTGAATGTATAAATTGTATGGAAAACATTCTTGCGGAAAGACGAGTTTCCTTAATATTATCTACACAGCTTTGTAGGTTAACTTGAGCGTGTCATGGAATCTCGGAAAACTTATATTTGACAGCTATCTCAGTTATCCCACACGTACGACTGACGCGAAGACGTCGGGAAAGATTTTTCCTTAATCTTTTTTTTTTTTGAAAAGAAAATATTGAAAATAAAATATTATAAAAAGAAAATATTTATATTTTCATAAAAATAAAAGATAAAGATTTCACTGGGCAATGATCTACCGTATTACAGTATAATTTGACGGTATATTATACGATTTATTATTTAGGGAAAAATAACGTTGAGCTTTTGCCTTTTATTTTCAACGACCAAGTAATAGTACTTTGCGATACAAGTGCGAGAAAGGGAACTTCATAGGCAGGCGGTGAAGTTGGTCGCACGAGCCGCACACGAGTAACACAACGGCACGAGCCGAAGGCGAGTATAATGTTCGCTTTATTGTACCAGTATCGCATAATATTTTCTGTAACGAATGCATGAAAAACGCTACTTTTTGTGCCTCCAAAGTGACTGGAACATCTCTTCGTTGGAGGAAGCAGCCATAAGAAGAGCAAGGAAGGCTTCCAAAGTGAATGCATTTCATGACAGCGCGCGAGAACAAACTTTACTTTATCGCACTAGTGCGAGAAGAAAGCACTAGTGCGATAATGTAAAATTGGGCCGATTTGCGCATGCGCAGCATTTTTATCGTATCCATAGATATAAAGCGCCACTTTCGCTACAATTCGGAGGCACGAAAAGTAGTGTTTTTCATGCATGAGTTACATAAAAACAATTTCATCCGGTTCATAATAATGAGTTAACAATGAATGAATAGATATAAACTATTAAATTTACGTAACGTCCTTAGATTCATTTTTAATGTCTGCTGGATTCGTAACGTTATCCTCCATAGGCTGAGTCGAAACGACGTTCAGCAGTTGCATAGCCGATGCACGTCTGAGTGCCTATAAAATAATATTCTTTAATTTAATATTTACTTCACTCAACGAATGTAACCTGTCCTAACCTAACTTTGTATCGACAGTCTGTTTTCTCATGTTTTAGCTCGTGTAGAACCGGCAAGAAAATTGCTACTTACTACGGGAAATATAGTATACAGGAGGAAGAAAAGGGAAAAAAGCTTTTTTTTACTACCGGTCGAAGAGAATATGCAGAATACCTCGTAAATGTCCTTTGCGCATGAAAGTTTTACTCGTTTTGTACATGCACCGAGATAACGCCGGGTGTGCCTTTTAAATTCCGGTTTCCCTTCCACACGGTGGTTCTAACGAAACCCTTAAATTCCTTGTATGTTTCAAATGCAATATACTTCTCACTTGACAATGTAAATGTTAGCTCTTTGTATAAACTGCGAATGGGACAATGACTTTTTTTTTTCTTTTTATTAGATTTATCGGTCAATACTTTTTCATTGGGCTATTGTTATTCTGTGTTACCTTTAGTCTGTCCCGTCGTGCAGAATACAGGACCCATAGGACGTACACCAGCATTATTATTGCTGGTATGAAGATACGTGCAATGGTGGATGCACCACGTAGAAGTCCATGGTACAATGCAAACAATGTAAGAGTTAATGCAGAACTGGCAGCAACGAAGCGTCCGGTTTTTCTTCGTTCCTCCTTGGAAAAGAAGAAGAGTAAAACTTTATAGTAATGTCTTTATAGATTTTGTAAAAATAATTTTATATAACACACAGCTGTAGACTCTCGTTGGAGCACAGAGATAACTTTTTGATAATTTAGCAATTAACTGTCATTAAAATTTTTATTATCCTGTTTAACACGGTTCACTTGGTTATAAATGCTATTAGAAAAGTTATTATTGACATTGTTTATAATTTTATTACTTTCGTAGATGTTGTGCTTATGACCGATACAGCTAACGGTCGAAGCGTATCCTGCGATGAGGAAGTCGAGTCCTTGGGCATCCCTCTTGTATTGAGTAACCACGGGTTACTTTTTTTTAAGTAGTTAAGTTAAGTAGACGAAAATTGAGGGAAGGAAGTAAAGAAGTCAGGATACCAGGAGCGTTGTAGCGAAACCTCCTCCGGAACTATCCTGGCTACGACTAAAGAAAACACAGTGTGGCTCTTATGGCGCAGCACCCGGGACTACCGTATAAACCGGCCTGGGATAATAAACAAAGACGTGGAGCCGATATTCTCTCGGATCCTTCCATTGGGAAGTGATCGTCCCTGAGGATGTTTTACGCCTCAATCTATTTAGTTCAATCGCATGAAAAAGGAACTACGAGCAAAAGTTAGTTTGTCAAACGTAAACGTTGTATTTATACAACAGCCATACCCGGCAAGGTAATATTTTATTTTTATTAAAAAAATATATCAGACTTGAATTATATAATTTACAGAGCAAAAAACATTTCCAAATCCAATTCAACGGTTCATTTACTATTCCAAACGCATACTGGTATCATAGCTGCTGTATTCCACTAGGATAACTTTATTACCGGAAATATTTTTCAATTTAACGCCCCGCGTATTGTATTACCCGGTTGAAGCAGCAGGAATTTGGCTTAAAGAATTTTCAGTCAAATCAAAACCAATCGTATAATTGGCTTGAAAGTTAAATATGTAAGATCGATGCGAATTGAACAATTTTTTGTATTCGACGGTAACAAAGAGTGCTGTGGCGTCCGTGACGTGCCGTTTATTCTGAATGGAACTATTTTTAGGCAGATACCATTGTGCTCCAGAACAGCAGCTTCTATAATATTTACATGTACATCATAACAGCTGATAGTCACGCAACCCTATTTAATTCAATTTAAATTAATTCCGATCTACACACTCAACACTCAATACATATTATTTTTGATTGAGCGCCACTGTCTCGGAACATGACCACGGACACGCAGAAACATATCGATCCAGAAGCGCAAGTACTGAACAATCTACTTGCAGTCAAAGGGCTAATTGAAATAAGGGCCGTCAGGTGTCAGCGCCCTAAATAAACCTCAAAGCAGGTCGCCATATTAATAGTAAGTTTCGCTCGAATAACAACGACTCCTAATTACTTTTATTAAATCCCCGTCAGCAATCCTGACTTATTATCAATATAATTATACATTCGACATTCATACACTGAAAGTATTCACTCCTAGAACTAATCAGCTCCCCAATAATTTTTTAACTCTTACAAAAACGAATAAAAAAATACTATCTGAATCAGTCAAAAATTTAACCAAGTGGATTCCATATAATTTGGTGGCTCGTGTTCAATATCAGTCACCAGATCATAAAGTGGAGCCGTTACGATGTTGCTATGGATTATGTAAGCCGGATACGGGAGATGAAGTGCCGCAAGAAGTCTGCCTGGAACGCGCTATCCCTTTGCACATAATTTCTATACAGTCTGGATATATAGGATACAGTGTATACCAAGTCTATAACACAACTAGGTATACTTATCTACCTTAACTAGTGCGCGTCATATGCCTGCATGAGTTCCTGATTAATCCTACACGTTCCACGTGTTTATTTTTCCTCTGTGTACTCTTAAATACAGTCCCTGTGGTATACATATAGGGTATCATCCCCATAATAATATCCGGGCAGACAAGCGAGATAGATTGATTTTAGCTTTTCATAATGGAAGAAAAGTGGAGAGTGAAGGCGTTGATTTTTTGGTGCTCGTGGTTGGAGTCAATAGAGGTGAAAGGTGCGATTTTCTCGAACCGTCCTATGTGTTATCCTGAGTTCGCTTTACCAAGGCTGCATTATGTGCACATGGTTGATCACGTATTCTCCCTTTTCTGCCCTTTTCTTCCAGTAGAACTACAGCTGATCGAATTCTAGCCGAAACTGTACTTACTCCTTCTCTTGGAGACTCTTGAAATAGAGAATACCCTCTTTCTTTATTTCTCTCTCTTTCTCTTCTTGTCAAAGAGGCGCCTAAAGACCTGCTCTTTGTGTATCCGGAGTTTAGCGAATATGGGGCACAACAAGGGCGGAAGAGTATTCGGATAATTATGAATCCGCATGATGATATCTGGAACACTGAACAATTGTATCTATACATATACATACATATATGTATGATCGACTGCCTGTAGTTGTTATGATGCGAAGGGTGAGTTATAATGGCGAAAAGAAAGATAAAGGGACTGAAAGAAAAAAGAGTAGTATCTGTAATTTTCATCAGGTGGTAATGGGTGCAGTGGCCTATCGTTGCTCTTTGATCTTTTACAGTTTCGACGAAGTACCTTTTCATTATCAAACCCTTATAGTTCCTTTCACCTTCAATTTCTTGTGAAACTCACTTCGTGACTTTCTGCTGCACGAATCTTGACTGTGCTCTAGAAGTTAATATTTCCTGAGTACGACCCTAGCCAGCTACTCTTGGACTTCGCTATAAAGAATTCTAGAGAAATTTCCTTCAGCACCCGTTTACTAGCAGCAAAAGTTTTATATGGCTTTAAAACTCATTTCTTCTTAGATACCTTGTAGATGGTCCATTCTGTGCGCTATAGAGACCGTAAGAAGCTTTATTACAGATTACGAGGTGTAATGTTAATAGTTGTTCTTAATCCATGTTGGAGTATTTCCTTGTATATGTATATATTTGTCCGTGTTATTGAATTATCACAATAATAGCGTCAATGTATAAAATGATGTCTTATATGTAAAAAATGTTTAAGAACGTTTGTGGAATTGAGTTCAAGCAATTAAGCTGCGCCATGATTTATAACGTACAGACTATTTTTATGCTTCAGCTTCAGATGTTGACTCTCCAATGTAAACTAACAGTCTGCATAATGATGAACGACTGAAAGGCAACTAAATATTTCGGATAGAGACTGCTCCAAATAAAATTCATGGGCTCTTAAACATTGCCGTCTAGACCGCACATGGTATCGAATTGACACTCCTCCTCATTGTCCGGGTAAAGATTTTTCATGATAGAAAGTGGACAAGGCATATTCTTTGGGCATCCTGGAAGATGCACTATTCGTTCTTGATGCATTACCAAAATAGCTGGATTCTTAGATTTGCAGCTGAAATAACATCAATGTTAAAAAAAAGTTAAAGGAAGAATTAGTGATAAAAAATAAGTTGATGGATTCTTGAAGAAGAGATTTTATCTTACTCGTAAAGAACAAATGCCAGGTTTGATGCAAAAGCATCAATCATACTGACTCTCCATACACGACGGTCTTCGTGTAAAGTATACGAGTCATGCTTTAATGGTTCTATGTCTTTCGCAACTCTTATCAAAGAAAGTAATTTTAAAATTGTACCAGAATGTGTAAAATAGGCAGTAACGTTAGCGTCTTCTTTGGATCTGGAATGGATATGCTTTAGTTAGACTGTTGGTGGATACTTGATTTATTTACTTACTGAAAAAAATTAAACATGTCACGCAGTGCAGGACATGCTTGCTCATATGTTAAAGGATACCCATAGCCATCAATCCAATAATATTTTAGATCCTCTGCAAATTCTAAGACTTTGAAATGTTTTGGCTGAAAAACATTACACCAAGCAGATTCTGAATTACTGTACCAAGCAGTTTCGAAAGCACATATTGTATACATTAAATTGGCAGCCTCTGAAAAACATTTCTGAAGATGTTTATTGGTGGGAAGAGCACAAGAGTCTTGAATTTGTATTTTATATTATAAACGTACCATAATCAACTTGGAATCCTAGAAAACTGGAAATATCTTTCAATGTATCGGATACTACAGAACTCTGTATGAATTTTTGTTCTTCCTCATATGCCTTTGGATTCTTATCTACTTCCTTGCGCCATCGCTGGCACCGTTTATAAAACTGAAAATAAATGAGTTAATATACTGCTTTACAATTATACTATCATAGAAATTTGTTAATTACTCGTAATATAGGGTCTCTATATTCTGGTTCAGGAAACCAAACGTCTTTGCTTCCTTGGAGTCCAAATAACCCAAGAGCAAAGTGTTTTGCACTTTCCTCTGTTCTTTGCGTTGCAGTGTATTTAAACTGTAAAAAAAATATATTAGTCTTCAACTTTATATTAAAGCTATCAAAAACAAATGACAATTACTTTATATGTAAGATTGCTGTACTTTTCTGGGAATAGTGTAGGAAACCTTGACTGAAATCTTTCAGCCAGATCGATCATCTCCCTTTCACCTTCTTCAGCAAGTTTCATAACAGCATCCTCAGCAAAATTAAGTTTCCATTTGGCAATTTGAGAAATATGATCAGGCATAAGTCTTGATCTATTTGCTACATAGCTTGACAATATCAATTCCTGTAGATGAGGAAGCTTGGACATCATGATTGGAACATATTTTTTTCCTGGGAATCGTGTACCATGTCGTACCAAGAGCCAAATTTTTTTCTCGATACATCCTAAATATATGAATACCATTATAATACAATAAACAATTCAACTAACAATAATAAGGAACACTAATACTCAACATACCTGGATAATTGATCAGAGAATCATTAAGATTAGCTATGAGTCTGTAAGGAGTCTTTGTTCCTAATTTACATTTATGAGTATCATTATTCTCTAAACATTGAGATTCAACTGAAAGGCCTAGATAACCTATATATAGCACTATCAGTTGGAAAATCTTCCAATCCATTACCACATGAAAAAATCACTGCAATCTCAATATATGTGACGATGATAAGTAATCAGCATCGGCGGAAGGACATCTTTGACTAGATAATCTCCAAAAGGTAGAAAACTTAAGATTACAAGGAATTATGTTAACCTTTCATTATAAAGGGAATCTCTAAAGAAATATCAACCATTCACTGTGCATCAGCATCGGTAATTATGTAATATGGCTATACATATCTGCTCAAGGCGTTTATGATCTATACGCGTTCGCCTTTATCGTTATAACAAGATTGCTGAAACGTTCTTTCAGACGTTTGAGAACTACTGTGTTATATACGCCTCATGCTGAAATGTCAGATGAAAACGAGGTTATATCGGCGTAGACCGAAATGTATTCAGCTTGTATTTCGCGATGATTTAAAAAGTGACACGTTCTCCCGTGTCGTAGAAAAGCTTAACGTAATTCCTAAATAATATAATGTACACCACGAAAACGCCGACACTTCGTATCGGAGAGGCCGATCTCAAATGTAAGAATGGTTGCGGATTTTATGGAAACGCCGAGTGGCAAGGATATTGCAGTAAATGTCACCGAGAACATCTTCAGAAGCAACGAGCGCAACAGGAAGGTGCCACTGGGGCTCAGAGCCATGATAGGTAATGTTTTATATTTAGAACAGATAATTCGAATTTCAATCATTTTTAATGATAATGTTTGCTCAGTGAGGGTGCAGGCCGTACAGCTGTATCAGGATTTTACAAGTTTGAAGAGAAAAGACGTCAACAAGATAAGAAAAAAAAGTTATTGTCAGTCTTCAGAAAACCTACGATGAAAGGTAAAGTTCACAGAGAGAACTGTTATAGCGACCATTTTTTGTTGCTTGTATATCAGTGTAATTTATATAATATGTTATCTATAGCTCAGGGTTATGAGGAGCTTCTGCAGGAATTAACGAAAGACAACCCAGACTTGGATAAGGTTAAGGCTGAGAATAAAGATCTGATAGCACTTATTGCAGAAACTCCAGCAGAGAAGGATGTACGCAAGTGCATCCTGTCCTTTGTCAAAAGTATTCTTCAGAGTAAAGATGTTAAGAAAATCGATGAATTATCTGAAATCACTCAAACATTTTATCAGAAATTTGCTAAACGCATGGAAAATAGTCCCAACTACACAGGTATATTATTCTCAATTATTTTGTCATAACAATATCAAATGAGTCTAATGGGAGTTACATTTTCAGATGTTGCTCTTGAAATCCGGGAAAGGCTCCTAGACTACGTAGAGAGGTCTGCTATGACCCTTCTGTACAGGATCCTCTTCTGTCCACCATCCACTACCGATGAGGAGAAGGATCTTGCCATTCAGAATAGGTCTGCGTAACATTCAAGCTCAAGAAAAAGAACTACATCCTAAAGAAATCATCTAAAATAATATTACTATTATAGAATACGTCAACTGAACTGGGTCAGTGGAAAAAATTTAGAGTGTCGAATACATGAAACCAGTTCAGAGGTTCGTGAGCTGGTCTACACATCTATCACAGACCTACTAAACATGGACTCAGTAAAAGCTCCACAGGAGAAACTCGCCTGCGTCGTTCACTGCTGCAGAAATATTTTTCTGCTTCTACAGCAGTCCGTAGGTGGTCCAGCATCAGCTGATGAGTTCCTACCAGCCTTGATATTCATTGTCCTCAAGGCAAATCCAGCCAGACTCAAGAGTAACATAAATTTCATAACAAGATTCTGCAACGCCAGCCGTCTAATGTCTGGCGAGGGTGGTTATTACTTCACAAATCTCTGCTGCGCCGTATCCTTCATCGAGAACCTCACTGCAGAATCCCTGAACATGACTGAGAAGGATTTCGATGCCTATATGTCAGGTGAACGAGTTCCAGCCAATACCTGGGACTCTGCCCTCACCATATGTGAGGTAATAATAAACTATTGATCATTGATTAATTGTAAATAATAACATTCTTTTACTCATCGAATTATTCTCAGAATATACACCTAATGTGTGAGCACATTACGCTGCTGGACGAGCTCAAGACGAAGAACAACGAGATTGTTCGAGAAGCCGAATTGCTAAAGAACGAGATGATCCAATTCCACGAGGATGTCGAAATTAAGGTGAATGAAACTATACAGAAGACACCCTTGCTGATAACACGATGTCAGAGAGTACCGACTAATTTGGATAGCGAAGACGTAGAGTCTTACCAGTTGCCTCCGCCGATAATTCCTCAGGTGAGATTTGTCCTCAACCCGCATCCCTTCACTACTAAAGGAGAGTTACGTCTTTTTAGGTTTCTTTTTTTAAAATTTGGTTCCATGGCTTTTGTACACACTAGTACGATATAATCGATTTTCTCAGGTGAGAGTGACTTAACGCGCACTTCTAACAAGACTAACAAGAGCATCTTCGGTTTCATGTTATTATTTTTATCACGTCTTTTTCTCCTCTTACGTCTTCTTTCCTTCATGAACCTTGATTAATGACCCGCCACAATCCCTCGGACATAATCTCTCGTTCCAGGTATACTCGGATTGTTTACTGACACAACCTGGAGATTCGAAGTCCTTGATGGAAGACTGCGTCACCCCGTCACCGACCTTTGACTTTGCTCCATTCGACGGGGATGGCAAAGCAGAGGATGATACGAGTCTCATCAGTCTGGATACCCAGTGCGATCTAACTACCCATGATAATCACCCTTTCGACAAAGATACTCCTGACAGTCTCCTTGACGATTCTCATAGCTCCGACGCCAATCTACCCTCGCCCTTAGAACCACTCGCCTCTGGCCAGGAAGATTATCACGGATTTACTCTCCAGGGTTCGACCATACCAACTATTCCCTGTAACACGGGCGATCTCTCATCGGACACCGCAGAACACGAAACGGACAGCTACGTTGGATATTTTCATAATATTTAAGGGTAATTATGTAAACAATCTTCCCTCTTAAATATCTCTTAGAACTAGTTACCAATCCCCATGAGTCCCTTCTATTCGGTGCATTTTTAATTCTCTTATTGCCCAGATCGTATTTGTATTATAAAACATAGAAACAAATTATTAAAGAAATATAATGAATGTACTAGCATAGTATGGACGGTGGATATAAGTGTCTGTATAGGTGCGCTAATTAATTTGTACAAAAAGAAAAGACAAGCATTAATCGACTCCATGAAATTTCAAAATCCTCTGTCCACATTCTATTATCCGTCCCTTGACTAATTATTGCCTATAACATAGTGGATATCATGGTAAATAATAATAGCATAGTGTATAATAAATTAACGTAAATTTATTTCATAATCCTACTTCATGCTCATAAGTTAATCTACAAGATCTCTTTTTCATTGTGTTCCTTATCACGATTAACGCGAATTTTAAAATAAAAATTAGCTCGTCTTCTACAGGGCTTCTAATCTTAGTGGTCGCGACGACGAGCATCCTATTATCTCGTATCGTATATGGAATGTATTATTTTAATTCACGCGAGTAGACGGCTCTACCTAAGGATTCACTCATATAATTATCATCATTTACAATCAGTGTTTCCTTAATAAATAACAATTTTTCTCACTTTTACAAAGTACTCACAATAAGTTGCCAGCAGTGCAAAAGTTGTGCCACGCGAAGCAAGCGTAAGGATTCACGTACAAGCGCCATCATTAAGATACGTTAACTGATGCATTAGTAACTATTCATTTCTCACCTATAATATTAGTTTATATTGACCACTACCCTGTCTCATCTATGTATTGATAGTAAGTACAGTACAGCGCTGTACCGAGAGTACTAATAAATTACGAATAATGTTGATTCTATATTCTCTAATAAGCTGAACAATTTGATTAACGGATGTTGTATAAAACAAATTCTCAATCGTTCGAGTATTCTAGAACCAACATTATCACAAGTATCACACGAGTCTCGCGTACGAATGCTAAACAAAAAAGATCATCCTCATCTTTGTCTGATGTAGTATACAAAATAAATCTCTCAAGTTCTAATATCGTAGCGTGAAAAAAAAAAAAGAAGTACGAAAGTACAGCAGAGAGTTTCAAGTTAAGTGCGCTAATTGTGGGCCGCCTTTTTCCCATTCATGTATCCGATCCATCGATCGGCAGTGGTGGTAAAGATCGGATCGTTGTCAATAGTATTCAGAAGTAAAAGTTGATTGACATGAGTCGAGTGGTAATCCCATCTGGCGAGATTAGGAGCCGTTTTAAGTGTGAAGTGTCTTAGGTCATAGGTCGTTCCTGAGCCTGTGTCATAGAGCATGATCATGTTCTTCAGCGAGGTCATACCCTGGTCGAAGAGTATAGCAGCCTCGTCTCCGTCTTTGCCAGTAGCTATACTTTTGAGGTCGTACAGACCCAAGAGGGAGTAGATGAATCCATTTAGGATAAAAGACGAGGGTGTTGTAGGATACTCCTCGTACCAGACGTATTTGTCTAAGAACGTAGCTGTCACGCCGCCCTTGCTGGATGATACTCTGAAAGGTCGGAGGCCTCTTACTGCTGCTTGTAAATATCGTTCGTCGCCTGAATGATAATAGGCTCTTGATAATACAGAAATTGCGTGACCTTGACCCATACTGGAATACCTGTAACGAAGTAATGACTTGTAGATTGTCGGATACGATTTAGAGAATTATTTTAACATTGACTATATTATTCACCATCCTGGCTCTAGAGTGGCCATTCCACTGGCGACTTTTCGTCTAACAGGATTGGGCCAACCACCCGAAGTTATATTTTGATTTGCCACGAACCAGCGGGCAGCATCGTAGAATTGCTCCATGTGTTCGCTGGTTGACAGTGTCACATTGTCAATCATACCAGAACCATAGAGAACCATTTTAACAACCTATATGATAGATAGGATTAATATTTGTATGGGCATGTAGTGTTATTTTGAATTGATTGTGGGAAATTTTACCTTGAGCTTAGATCTAGAGAGTTTTTTCTTGTTCTTGTCGTTCAAGTTGAGTCCCTTTTGTAAATCCACTACGAGATCCCTTGTCAATCGTTTCCAGCGATTGTTCATCAGGCCTATTCCATAGTAGATGTGATTGTTAACGGTGCTCAAAACTAGGTTCCCAGTAGTGTAATGTAAATAGTAAGTATCTTTTTTTTCCCTTGACTGTAATTCAATAGCAATGCTACTATTGTCTCTTATACATAAATCCAACTTTAGTACGAAGTCCAGTACATGATCCATTTTTAAAGATATTCCAGATGTGCTTGTCTCAGGTGTTGCATATTTCAACACATAACTACCAACGCGTTTATCATAGATCCTTATCACTACACAACCTTGCGGTACGGACCAGTCTTGTTTTACTCTGTCTGAATCTTCAATTAACTTTCTATGAGGTTCTGGCTCGGTGAGATTCTTACTGTAGTGTGAAAGGCCAAACTGTGCAATTTGTGTTGGGTAATAATAACCCTGGCTTTCCCACTGAGTAGATATTGGCACTCCATCGTTACCACTAACGCATTTTACTCTTTCGCGCACTTCCACATTGTAATTTTCGAAGGTCATGAACACACCACGAGAATCATACTTGCCCTTAGGGCTCACGATTTTTGAATAACTATGTAACCATTCAAATCTCTCCAGTCCATCGTATATCGCTAGCTTACCATAAATCTGTAAAAGAGATGAATCTTCTAGTTGTCCAAAATTATCCAATAGCAATTTCACAAATTTAAAAAATAAAATACATTGTAATACATACTTCAAAATATTTGTGTATAAAGGAAAATGGAACATAGACTTCATCTCCTTCCTTTCGACATCCAATTGAGTACCCACCATTAATATAACAATCTATCTCTTGATATCCAGGCTCATTAGCCAACCGATCTTGTAAACTAGTCTGCTTAAAAGATAGAGAAATCATCACAATAATACTCCAGAGCCAATACGATTCCTCTAAAAAAATGTACCTTATGTTGAAATCGTGTCTTCCAATCTGACGATCTAAAGAAGAAGTGATTGCCACAGTTATTCCAGGATGTCAATATTGAACTAATTACAGCAACAATTAGTATAAGAAGAATGATCTTGAAATTAATACGCATCATCATAAACGGCCTGTAAATCAAATCAATCATAACAATATGAAACCATATGAATAACCAGCCAGTGACATTTCATCCAGGTTAGAATGTTCACATTATCTAAACTTACATGACATCGAATTAAACCATTAGCAATTGGCATTTTTTTCATCAAGTTCCTGAATCACCAAGAAAATCCACGTTTTCTCGGCCCCATCCTTTTCTCAATTCTTGTCATCCTCACTATCAGTACCTGACGTCAAACTGATGACATGGAACCAATGACGCGTACTCATACATGTATATACAAAGCACGTCTTTTCCAGTACACTGGTTTATCTATTATCCAATTAATTACCGCTTTTAAATCAAATCAACGCAATAATTGAAGAGGAGCAAGTGGATACACGTCGCTGCACATATCGGAGCCCCTTCCGAATCAATCTTGCAGCGTCGTCAGGTGCTAGATTAATTTTAGAACATTTGTTAAATTACACACCTCTCCATTCCAACGAATTATTACCCTCAATTACATATATATAAAATGTAACAGAAGCAACATTACAATAAATAGAAACACATTAGATATTCCATCAACTTGTTTTCTCTGTTTTCATTTCACCTGCACTTCTTCTACCTGCCGTCTATTAACTACATAATTGTGCGAGCCTCCAGGAATTTATACCTGGCACCCAAGGACCTAAAGATCACCTGTAAAACTTTCCCTTTACAGTATCTAATATGTATAATAACTCAAGGAATAGACACATCCTCTTCATTCCTTTATTACAATAGATCCAAAATATTTGACCTATTTAGCCTGACGTCCTACGCTATTATATTCGCCTAATACCATGTCCAATTTTTGACCATCAGATACAACATATTGAAAATTCAAAGAGAACTTTCATTCGATTCAATACTATCCGTTCATTGGTCGATTCCGTTGTATGTCCATTCCATTAGAGAATCTGAACAAGAATCGTGCCACCTTCTAAGCACTTCTATTTTCCCAATACTCCGTGCGATTTTCGGCCGTAAAATTTTCGCCGTGTCCCGGCAAGAATTCGAATTTCTCAGTAACTCTAGCGACCAATCACATTCCTCCTAAAGTTCCATTGGTTCTGCTCTAACAGAAATCATGCCACCTCCATGCGTATCCTATTCTCCTGATACTAAAACTCGATTTTTAGGGGTCTAAATTTCTAAAGTGCCCGTGAAATCTAGACCCTTAGTACGAGACAGTAATGTTAGATGGCAACAGTGGCGACTAGAATTAACACTGTTTTGAATATATATCTATATATATATATATATATCTGACATTATGCGTAATGCTACAGAGTAGGACATATGGCAAACAAACTTCTACAGAGGCAACAGGTTACATATCAGCGACGCGTGCATTCTTATCTTACGCGCTAAATATAATCCAAACCGAGACACATGCGTAATTGCACGTCATGTCGTTGGGCACTGCAAATCATATAGTTGAATAAAAAATTGTGGTAATATGCTTAATTAATTAAAACAAAGCCATCGTACACAATCGTATCCAATTAAAACAATCATTAAATCATATTTGATCTTCTTTATCTGTTTGCCAAAGACTTAAACAAATTATACCAACGGGCAATGTAAATTTATATAAGTATTTTATTTTTCCAACCTCCTCGCAATTTATTCATCCAAGACCGTAGTCCGGTGGGAAAGTGTTCTTCTAAGACGTTTCTCCAGAGGATTTCCTCCCAAAGATCCGCCCATTTTAAATATTCATAAAGGTAAAATAATCATGAAGCATAATAAACTTTGGAATACTTACGTAACGACCTATCTGTATAAAATAGCCTAAAACATAATTCTACACGCGTACACCCAGACGCGTACTCTTATACCTGAAGTTGGTTAGGTCGAATTTGCAACGCCGTCGAGGGCCTTTACAGAACAGGCAGAGAGCAACATGTCTTATTTACGCTGAAGTGGTTGTCGGCCAACTTAGCATGCAGCCATCATCCAATCTAGTAGGACAATTTAAGCAGCCTGATTCACGCAGCGAAATCATTTAATATTTGACGTCAAGCTTGATTACCGTGTAACAGTGGGTAATGGCCGATTGTTTATACAGGTTGCAGCCCGGCGCCGTACTATCAGACACAACCTACGCGATACAAGTAACGAAAACATACATACATATATAAACCACAGAAAGACCCTTGAGCGCTTAGAAAATTTTATAAAAGAAGTGAGTATGATTCAAACCAAAAAAAATAATACAGCCTTTCCCCTCTGGTCAATTATTATTAATATCCCAAAAAACATGGCCACCTCGTACTGTCACTTTCTATACGAGTCGAATGCCTCGATGTAACTCATATATTTTTATAATCGAATTATAATCACGCATTACGTGAAATCTCTTTTACCTTTGACTTCCTTCAGTCATACTACAAGAATTTTAGTCTTTCAATTTTGTCTCCTTTTTCGTAACACTGCTGGCTATGTGTTTCTAATTGTATATACATGTCCTTAGGATTGTCCTGGGCTTCATAGGAAGAAACGACTGCTCCATTTCCTTTCTACTGGTACATAAACCGAGAGTACAAGGAGGACGGAAAGCCGAGTGTTGACACTAGGAGAGCAGATAAGATAGCAGCTGCACCCAACCAATCGGCTCTCGTACCAACATCGTTACGCACGTCACTGTTGCTAACTGTCGCTGTGTACACAGTAGAAAAATTTATTTAAACTCGTCTTACAATAGTTTTGTCACCTGGCGTCAATCCGGGGTCACGCGGATTCCTTAATGAGTGTAGAAATTCTTCTGCAGCATACTCATATCCTCTGGTAGCAGCCACGCAATTTGATATACGTCCATATACGTATAGTACCTGGTACAGTGATTTCTTATTAAATATAACTTCTTTCTAACCTAAGAACAACTATAGTTAGTTTTATACAAATTATTATTGACAATACAATAAACGCTAACTATTTTTTCAGATTGGACCTTCATAACTTACACGATCTTTCCTCTTCCTCTACAACCAGTGCTTCGTTCTGATCCTGGGTCGTTCTCCTCTTCTGGAAGTTTTTTTTTAATAATTTCTTGTCACCCTGCATATATATATATACGTATACATAATATGGGATATAAAGTCACGTGATAATTTCTCACGCCACAACTTCGTAACTGGCCGACGGAGAACTCACGCAATGGATTTTACTAATTGTAAGTTTTCTTACAAACGTGTGAAGAAGAATTCAATAGTGCCAACTTGTTTGACAAATATAGTTATGCGATTCCTCCTTGGGAGTTATGTTAAATTTAATGGATGTTTAATAAGAGGAGATGGTAATTTACTGTAGCCAATTGGATAGAAATAATTTTTATATTCCCATGGAATGTACATACGCGCCACTTGTTACTATGTATACTGATAATTTAGGCGTTGAAAAGAAATATAAGGATTAAGTGCGACAGTCTTGAGTACGTTAAACGAACATAATTCAGTTATCTCGTGGGTGATGGTTTAAATTGTATGTTCGTTAACATTCAGATATCTTATTTATTTGTTCTCTTGCATCATTGTACATTGTTGATGATTTTGTGAGCTGTAGAAATATTTATCCGTATCACTAATTCGTACTGGTGAGACTGAATGAGGTTTTGAGGATTGAAATGCCTTCTTGAGGAGTATTATACAAAGTTATAACGTGGATATGTTCGTTATCGGTATTTTCATATGAAACTCTATGACGTGACGCGTGTGACTTTGTAAGCTAAACATAATAAAAGTGCAAGAGCCTCGTTCTCTTTCAACTAAAATTCATACGTAATCTTTCTCCTCTTCCTGGAAGGTTTCTAAGTGCTGATATACATTGGGATAACGCTACTGAGTTTTAATTACGAAATCCTTATGTCAGATCTTGGAAACATAATGTTTTTCACTGATAAGGCGAGGAACCCCCGTCATTAAGATTCCACTAACTGTTTTCGAATTCCTGGCATTCTCGGCGTTTCGAATATTTCGTATGGATACATTAATGCACTGCGTATGGATAATAATTTCTTGAAAACACTCGCCTGTTGGATAATTTCAAATTTGACGTACTCTCTTCGTTATACTTAACATATCAGACAGTTATAAGACAAACGGTATGAAAATTACGTATTAGAATTAATTCGTACTACGTAGATCAAAACATTACTCAAGCTGTGCTTTAGGCATCTACTTCAACTACTGTAAGCACTGTACACGATCGTGTCTCCTTTTTCGATAATGAATCTGACAGAGATACAAGATTTTTCGTAGCACTTCCAGTGCATCGTGATAAGCAGCCTCGGAATATTCTGGAAACAATTTTAAGATATTATTAAAAAAAACAAATGGCAACCGTTCAAGATATATCTGTGGAATCGGGAAGGGCATGAAAAAGTGTAGAGAGCGAGAGCCAGGAAAGAATAGGAAAACAGAGAGAAGCCAGTCCTAGGAAAGGTAATGGGGAAACTAAAGCCGTCCCCTTGTGCCAGAATTCAAAGTAAATACCGTTAGAGCGTTTAACCTGGTCCGTGGCGTGTCGGGCAAACAAGATTATATGCTCTAGACTATGGATTTGCAAACAGTTAGCGAGTAAGTGACGCCCTGTGTAAATAAGAGAAGAAATATGTACGTACGTTATGTCGTAGCGAGAGAATTCGAAGCACATTTATTTTATCTTCTCAGTTTTTCTAGCAGACACTGGCGCAGTCTTTCGTTTTTTCATATATTTTCTCCGTCTCTTTCTTGATTATCAATCCTTCTCTGTCGAATTATACACTAGCTGAACCAGAAGAGTGCCTACCACACGCGCGGACCCTCGCGTCGAGTAACTGACTGACGTAGTATTAATTTCAGACAACAGCCGTCTGCTAATTGTAATTTAATTCGAGGCTTCGCACTGATTTCGGCATTGTTAAGTATTCCTAAAAATATATTAACAAGGATAAAAACATATTTTAGTACGAGATTAGCGAGGATTCTCCGTTGCGTTAGTCTCGTTTCTTATTTACCTTTTCAAAATGTACTACTCTAATCATAATGACGTATGTCTTTAAATAAAAGTCATGACGAAGTAGGATGCTTCTCTGATTTATTAATTGTTTGTATTAAAAAAAAAATGTTGAATAGCTCCTCAAGGTCGGCTGAATGCCATAACAACATAATAAATATATGCTCAATCAATTCCTTCGGTGTATATTTCCGTCCGCCTGTCTGTGTAACAGAAATATTAGCTTTCGCAGTATCGAACAATTCTACGAAATTAGCATCGTTTTGAGGTTATGTGGAAAGTTTTAGTTTCAACGCGAATGCCCTGAGCTACGTGTAATTCGTCGCGTCGAAATGGCATACTGCGGAGTAACCGTTTAATATTTGAGACGCATCATAAGTTGTGATAAATTTCTCAAACGCAAAACGTCCGTTAAAAAATGTCGGCAGGAAAAATTCAAGATTTATTAACAGAATTGATATTGCTACGATGCTGGGGATGAATGGATTTCAATGTAGCAAAACATTCGACGCGTCACAATCGTTCGGTAAGAGTGACTCTCGTACAAGTTCACTGTCTGCTTCGATTGCGCGCACGAGAAACGCACGTGAATGTCACGCAAGAAGTATATGAAAATTTACAGAAATGTTGGTGTTATATTTTTAAACTTTTAGCAAAAAAATAGGTGTCCTACGTACGATGCAGCAAGTTTATAGATATCCATGATCCAGCAGAGGTTCATCTCCTGCGCAGATAAGACACAAGACGAATTTTTCCATGATGGCCGCCTAGGACAGACATATCTTTAACGGACTCGACAAGACCATTGAATTCCTGTTATAATCATCTGGACGGATTGTCTGTGACCCTTTCTCGTGTCTTCTGATGCATAAGAGAGATTTTACTTACTTGTTTTTAACTCCATTGGTAATAAGATCTGCCTTCATTAGAGTCTTAGGGTGGATACACAGAGGATATAACTAAAACTATCAGCCGCGGATGGTTAATCTCCTAGTAGCAAATAACGCGGTACCAATGTTCTTGAGTCAATAAGCGGTTATGTACAATATGGCTATGTAATGGATAGCGATCGCTTTTCACTGCACGAAGTCAGTCGGGGCCCTTCGTTTCATAGGTGAGAATATCGTAGCGATTTAATGGGTGCGCGTGGGAGACTCATAAGGCTGGAACGATCGTTTGGTAGGTTAATTAAGAAGGAAGTGCGTATTGAAAAAAGAATGTTAAACAATCGGGTTAAGAAATTGATGTATATATATACATATGTATATATATATATATATACGCACTACATATTTATAGTTCAGGAATGGATTAGATTAGACTTGTTGTCTCTGAAAGAAATAATGAGAATTCGATTCTGCGTAGTAAAGAACCTTAGAGCGACAGAATGGAGGAACTCTGGAAGAAATCCTGTACTTGTAGTCTACCTGCAATGTGGAAGATCCAGGTAGAAAAGTGAGAGGAGAATGAAAGAAAAGATAGATAGACGAGTAGCATAATATAAATCACGGAAGAATAGATCGTAGAAAAACGAAGTCGTAATGGTAACCGGGCAGGTCCAGTGGTGCCCCCTGGGCGGCGCGATCTCGCACTAAGCTCTCGAAATCATGTGTTCCCTCAGTATGTTGCGGCCTCTGGCAACGGGTGGTTGTGTGCTTCGTAAAAGTATCCCTTGAGTTTTCTCACCGTGGGAGCGGAGAGTGTCCAATGGTACACGCCGGATAATCGTCGTGCGGTTAAGCGAGCGTCGTGTATCCCGTTGGTAGAACGCAAAGAGAAATCGTACGTACAGTGCGGAAAGGCCTCCGTGCGCGTACAAGTGCGTCGCGCGAAAGAGATCAAACAAGGCGTCGCGTACCTTCCGCGTTTTCGTTGCATTCACGATTACTTCTTGTTCTGTGCGACAAAAAAAGAGAGCGAGAGAGATCGACCGAGGCTAAGAGAAGATACGATTATACAGCAAGAGGGGAAGTGATACACGGTAGTAGGAGAAAGGGAAGGCGAAAGAGAGACAGGGAGGAAGAGAAGCTACGCGGAAGGAGAGCAGAAGATTGAGGAGAGGGACGGAGAGAGAGCGAGAGTGAGAAAGAGACAGGACTGGGCAAAGAGCGGAAGATCCTGAAGAGAAAACGAAAGAGGAATAAACATATAAATAAATAAAGGAGTGTAGTTTGTGCCTAAGACGGTGGCTTCGTTACGAGAATGAGCTAACCTGCGCTCATTGGATTACCATGCTGGATACAGCCGCGTGTAACAGGTAATGCTAAGGAAACGTCTAATGCTAACGTATATAAAAAGAATATAGAGACTAGGTGGTAGTTAGGTTGTCTCTGAGAAGAGAAGGAATCCGGAACTAGGTAGGTCCTTTTGTTTCTCGTTGGTTTACGTTAAGCTCATCGACTTTGATAAGGCGGTAAACAAAGCCGTCGAGGGTTTGAAAGTTCGCGATCGTGCGCGTAGAGGAGGCGCGTCCGTCGCTCGTGCCTTCCCTGTCGCCGGGAACATCCTCTGGTGGTTCATCTGTACTTCTTTCTCTTCAATCTCCATTTCATTAATTTCCTATGCATTTTTAATACTCGGAAGAACACTCCTTGGGCCTTTTTTAAAAATTTGTATACCATGGACGATACTATGTTGTTGAGTCAAGTCGAAGGCGTCGTAGCGCTTCAGGATGCGCTTATATCCCTTAATAAAAAGGAAATGACGTTACGTGATAGGATTACTGATAAATAGGGTTATTAAGAAGATACTATGATAACAGGGAGACTACGTATGCTTGTTATTTTCTATGAAAACTACCACGGCTACTGCACACTATGAAAGGTTAGAAAAACAAGTATGACCACGGCAATGAGACGCTTAGGAATATTGAGAATAGTGAAAACTGCGGCGCAAATAAGGTCTCAGCGTTTTACATGTACTTTTGTGCTATGCGAATAAATCATACAGTCGTAGATTGACAAGAAAACAACATTCGGAAGTCCATGTGGTGAATGGATATTTTTTTTCTCTACTTTTTATTTCGAGCTAGACGCACGCGAAAGGTTAAATAAATTCTAGTTATATTTCTGGAGGCTGATTGGCCTCTCACGATTCTGTGTGATTTTCCCTGTTACACCACACATGGCGCCAATGAATTCCGATGGATAAAGCCACCAAGAGTAAATATATGTAAATTTATGTATCGCTCGATTCCATAATTTTCATATCTATATCCACGAAATATAGTCAATCGAATGCGTTCTCTGTTGCGCTGATTTCACGCGTATTCGTTAATAGATTTGATTACCGTTCATGCGAAACTCAACAAGTCCCCAACACAGGACGTTACTTAATTAGCATTTTCAATGTCGTAAAAAAGTGAAACGAGATTCCACCGTATGTTAAATGAATTACCTAAAGGATAATTTTACAGAGAGAGAGAGGCGATCGCTAGTACACGTATGTATATATATATGGCTTTCTTGGTTATAAGTTCACAGGACAAATTCAAGAATTCGTGTAATTAAATAATTATTATTGTACATAACATATATAACGAGAATCGTGCGTTCGCTTAAGCCAAACGAATCGAGAAACAGGTGTTCAACAGTTTTCAAGGACCCCGTGCTATTTTCAATTTTAGTTACCTAGGTTACATAGCGATCTTCATACCTCCCAGTTGACGTGGACATCGTGGTCACGGCAAATGAAGTGCGAAGAAATTTACGTGTGCAATTATTATTGTCGGGATACCGGCCAGAAAAGAATGCTCTGAGTAGATTTCTGGCGGGAATATAGCTACACTGGTTGAGTAACGAGGAGCAAGTAGAGACTGGCGACTTTTAAGTACGTATTAAGTAGCGAATAAAATGTGGTACTCGGTATATACAGTGCCGGCCTCTATTGTCAGGTATCCTAACAAATACATAGTAACGAAAAAGACGTTGAGCCTAGTCCCAATGACTTTTTCAGGCGTTTAACAATTAGTCCGATGAGTGTTCTGCATGGAAAAGTACAGTAAGAAGAAAAGAAGTAGCGAGAAATACGGCGAGGACAGTCGGGACACAATTTATGTACGACACGATGGACGCTCGAAAGAAGCCAGAGATAACGGAGGACTTTGGGTCGTGCGCGAAACAATGCAATAGGAGTGCGTGGGGCTTGCGAGTAGGCGCCAACGGTTACAAAAATAGCTTTAAAATATTACAGCACCCGAGAATTGAACCTTGTGGTGTTTTAGGTGGCATCGACAAGTCCAAGTGATCATTGTGTCTCTCTGGAGGTTCGACAGGCCGGTTAGGGCTCCTGCTATCCTCACTCGTATACGCCCGTATGCATCGATGCACGGGTGAATGCATACTGAATCTACACAGTCGCGCATGCGCACGACAGTTCTAACCGCTATAACGTATACGGATGCTGTTCAGCCGCTGCCAGCATGTCTGCCCGTGCTGCTCTATGCTATTTCATGTTATACCGTGGCTAAGGCACTGTAGTATACAGTATTGTAGTGTATTCTGCTCCGTGCTGTGCTACGTCGTGCTGTTCTGTGCTTGGGCATGCACACGAGATCGGCCAGAGGCGCGAACGGTACCGAGGATTCCCGAGTATACACGAACCCGATCGACTCGGCCGAGAAGTAGCCGGCCGACTGGCCACACACAAACGACTCGAAGTAAACCAAACCTACCGGTCCTACTGGGCTGGCTGATCTGCCTGTCTGCCTGCCTGCTTGACTGTCTTATGCTGGTTAAATATATATGTATATGTAACCATCGTTGCTTCCACAAACTATTCACAGTCTACTTCTTAGGTGTATCCACTGAGAATATCCAGCTATCCTACCTGGAGTAAATGGAATCTATCCTATAACGATACCTTCGATCCCAGACGATTCAGCCGATTCTATCGCTGCGCTCCTCGTGCCTGCCGGCTACCGGCTTATTTATAGAACGCCGGAGTAACGTTATACACGTAGTGGGAGCCACGCGAAAGAAAAGCGGCTGACTCTACGACCACGTGTTATAATGCTCACCGTCTCGACCCAACACGGATTAGCAAACGTAACGTTGTTGTAACTCTTGTGATTGCGGTTTTTTAATGCTGAAATCAGTTTCTGGTTTTATTAATTTTTCTAACCTTTCAAGTAACTTGCTCTCTCTTCGTCTTGTTTCCTAGAGGTAACTCGTCACAGGCAATTATTTACCTAATTCCACTCCTAACCAATCTCTCTTCATGTGACCTTGTTATTTCTCATAGAGATCTGTATTAGTTATATCAGTTTACATGCTTTCGCGGATGACAAGGATCCATTCCGGTCGATGAGTCTTAACGTCACACGTTGACCAACGTTTGAGAGCCACTTGTCAGGCATTAACCTGCGATTATCGCACCAGTATCGATCCGTGATAGCCAAATGAATTCTGTAATCTGGCGCTGACAAACTAAATCATTAATGACCTTATCAGTAGCACATCACAAGGAAGTCACTCGGTCGGCCCTAAAATACCCATTAGGGATTTTGAAAAATGCCCATGGCCAAGTTCTTCTTTCTAAACGACGTTACTAAGTATCCCATTTGTGTACTCGGATGGATTTCGAAATTTTTTATTAGAATTCGAATGTTCAGTCTCACGCCTTTTTAGTATATTATATACTATATGTCCCAACGTAACACCCACGTATGTAACTCGTGTGGCTTAAGCTGTTCAGTGGCAGAAATGTGTCCAAACTTTTTCTACGACTTGTTTACGTGCATATTGCTCATCGAAATAGGTTCTGAAACTCATTCTTTGAATAGCTTTCATTAAGTGGGAATCATCAGTAGAAATAAGTTCTGTCAGTCTCAAACAAGAAAATGGGTAACGAACGAAATCCTTGCGTAGATATGATACTGTCGTGTTTGATTAAATTTTTTAGATTTTTTTTTAATAATCGATAATTTGGTTATTTTCAGGTGGCTGTTTGACGTTCAGGCCGAAACGGAGAAGAGTCCTCTCTGGCGTCATAATGCTTGCGAAATAGCAAACGACCATCGACGATCTTCCTGCTGAGGACAGCTTGCCATGTTGTTTAGGTGGGTTTTAAGCGACGGCGTCCTCAGGATAAATTTGCACCTCGGTTCCATTGCAAGTGAGCCTTTATCGTTTCGCTACTACTCTAAGCTCTTATCCAAGTATTTAGTGGCGAAGAAATTAGCGTTATCTCGGTAGACTTCCGTCATAAAGCAACGGACTTATACGGATTTTTCTTTCATTTTATCACACGTAGCCATACTCGTATCTCTGTTTTTTTCCGGAATTTTATGTAAATACTCACGGGGACAAGCACAACATAGATGTTCCTAACATTTTGTTCCTTCTTGTTCGGCATTCAACCGCCAAAAATCCGATTGACCTAAAAATATGCTAATCTAAACATACACGTAGAAGGCTGATAACAATTCCCATTCATTTACTCGGCTGTAACTCTATTCCAACGGCTCGTTCCAGATGGCACCTATAAGCCGGCAGTCTCAGGTTATTGTTTCACTATATTTGAAACTGACTTTTGAGACCAACTTCTAGGTTTTCTTCGTTTGGATTCAGGCACACCCGAATCCAATATCCTTTCGTCGAATGTGACCTTTGCCATTAGGTGGAATATCTTGCATCCGTTTATAAAATCTACACCGGACACCTTCAGCGTCCATCAAAAATTGTTTTGGTCCTGGCTTTCAACTTATTTCCAATTTTTATTAATTTTTTTACGAACAAAAATATTTATCACTGACACTAGGTATGCGGTCCTGGGAATGAAATGAACGAATTTCATAAGTTGGCTTGTACAAGGAATTAGATAAAAGGTGAATTTCTTCGCAGAGTTTATCCTCCCAGTTTTTCAGGGGCTAATCAACGAGTTTAGATAAGTCACAGGAGAAGAGCGTCTCTAAGTGTATTAAGTGCCAGATGGAAAAAAAAAAATTTTTTTTTTCCCAGATACTATCATGTATCACGAGCAAGGATTCAATCCACGCATGTCTTTTTATTAAGAGCGTTGAATTCTCTATTATTTTTTTTGTCTACTCGCTCGTTACTAATTACAGTGACTTGGCAGCAAGTTCCACCCGTACCATTATTAAACCACCAATTGGCCACTGACTGCTTAATTTGGTGAACGGTCGCTCTACAAAACTCACGGAATATTCCAACGACTCAGAATTCCAGCATATTGACGGCAACCGATAGATTCGTGGTGTAGAGTAAAAAAAATTTGTTTCATAACCTTCAAAAGTACACAAAACTCTCGTACTACTCTTTTTCTTGCCACTTGCAGTGTAGCGTATCCTCTAGTCAAAGTTAATTCATAAGCGAAATTCTATTCGCAGTCGACCATAGCGTTAATCTTAACAGGACGTTGAGGTGGTTCTAAACGAAGTCGTAGCTCGCCTCTAGTGTAAACGGCGAACGCGTGATACTCGAATGCCAGGCATAACCGCGGAGTATTTTCTTGTTGCGGTTACAGCGTCTTTGGCTCTCTCGTACGTCTATCCACTTCTCGCGGATAGTCCTAATTTTTCTTCTCTCACTCCTTCTCACGGAACGGATAACAGATTTGGTTCGGGCGACATACACGGGAGAGAGCAAGCGAGATGTGAGTTATGAATGTTTATCTAAATGATATGCACCGCGAGTGTTGACCCTGGATTGCGTAAACGTTCAGCTACTGGCAGCCGTTTATATACTCCTACCTCCTCCTTGGTACCGCGTATCTTCGTCTATTACTATTCCCATATACTATTAATACACTGTACTCGTCGCCGAGCAGTCAGACTTTCGAGTACGTCAAGATGCCATTAATTTTTCCTAATTACCACGCACGCTCGCTTGGGTAGGGGTCGGAATCACGTGCATTTAATTGCGATTTCGTTTAATTCAAATGGCATAAGAAGCCAGTGACTTATTACACGGTACTCGAGTAAGCCTTGTGTATAGGCGGATATATGACGTACTGTTAGGCGGCCATACTTTATCTCTAATGTAATCTTGCGATTCTTCGTGCGAAATTAATTAATCATGATAATGGGAAGTATTAACGTTGAACCTAATGGCGAGACAGTCCGCGTGTAACGTTAACGGCCAGGCTCTAAATCCTCGTCTGTATATTAAACCAAGCAGTTCTCGGAGGGTGTAGAAAAAACAAGGGGATGGCACCAGCTGTGTGCACGTAGCTTGTTAATCATCCCTGCGACTTAATTAACGGGATCGAGTGGAGAAACTAATGCGTTTCACGATCCCGGCGAATTCGACTAATGACATCCGTGAGCTATATTTTCTTTTTGATCATAATTCGCGCGCGGATGCCCCGGGGGATGATGGGGTTTAATATTTCCAGTGCACAGCTTTCGTAATCTACCCGTTGCTCGGTGACTTTAGCATGTAGCAGATTTTAGTTTCTAACCTCAAAGGAACGAACAGTCTAGGAAGTGTGTTGGGAGCCGTCATGAAACGTCACCGATGATGGCTCGTTGACTAATCGAACGAATGGTTGCCGATGACGAATCGCCACTCCGTGTGACGTAACTCCGTGATGGATGACTATTGTTGTAACTGGAATAGACGAAGAGACCAGTGGCGCCGCTGTGCGGCTTTTCTGGGCAACTTTAGGGACTCCGCGTAGTGTACACACTGGGCATATATCTACTTCGTAATTAAATTGAGCAGACCGAGCGCTTATTTGCTCGGTGTATTTCTGCGTGTAGATCCAGGTGAATTGTTATGGCGACGAATACGACGTCTGATAAGTGTACGCCCAAGCATTTAATATATTGTATAATTCTGTCGGATTATTGAAAGACATGCAATACAGGCTGTTAACCAATGTCACGAGCATCGTCTGATAAGAGGATCGAATCGGTGTCATTTATAAATCAATTGAACTATACGCGCTCTAGTTATAAATATGGCGTTAGACTCGAGAGACACTTTCGACAGAGTGTACTGAACGTTAATTCGATATAGCCTATCGAGCAGTTGGGTCAGGTTGAAATAGGATATTTTTATTTATGGTCTGGTGATGGGTGGCAATGCTGCGATATATATAATGTGTTTTGTGATGATATTCCTTCGCATATCGATGATGATTGTCAAGATTAATTTGAATGATGACTCTGATTACAGGTGAAGCAGGAGGGAGGCGCTGACCGGTGGGGGCGGCGGCCATGCGCCCCGGCCCGCCAGATTCGAGCCGACGCAGGCCTCCCTGTCGCCAGCCCCCGGCCCAGCTGCTGCTCCTCTTTCTACCCGGCCTGCGGGCGATCCTCTTCCTCCTGATTCTGGCCACAGCCGTCGGGCCCCCTCTCACCGTCGCTGATTCATCCTCGCTGCTGCCTGGGACCCTCGAGGGTCCACCTCGCAAGTCCCAAAATCTCACCATTGGCTACCTCACTGCTATCAAGGGTGGTCTCAAGGATCGGCAGGGACTCGCTATCTCTGGGGCACTCTCCATGGCACTGGATGAGGTGATCTTCTTAGGCCTATGGATACTTTTAAGAGGACGAGAGTCCGATCGCGTCTGTATTATATGGGTCTTGGCATTGGGGACTGATAGATCGTGGACCTGTACCGTTGTTCCGTTTGTATGTACTCTATGGACTATCGTTACTTTTACGTTGTCGGCAGTGCCCGGTGCACGTGTTTAAGGGTGTTACGTAAATGCAGCTGTGGAAGCACGGCTCTTTCGTGCATCAACGGGGTATGACTAATCCTCTTTAATGATCTTATAATGCGTGTGGGATCATCTTGTTTCCTTCCTGGAACAGTTGCCAAAGTCGGACACGCCAAGGTAACATGTAGCACACGTAAATATAGTCCGACGTGTAATTCTGTAAACGGCGTTATTAATTTTCATAACGATCGCTATGATCCTTCTCGTGGCGAATTGGTCTGCCGTAAATTCCAGCGTGTAGTAATGCACTGACTTCTCGGCTCTCTAGAGCGCTCTAGAACGACAAGTAACCCTGTACGACGTTACCGATATCAATATCGGTACGCCGCTGTATGCCGTTGGCTGGCTGCATTCTTGATGCAAATTACTCGACGTAAATGCGACTCCTAGCGCAACGGCTGAACGTTTTAGAAATTTACTCGGATCGAGCCGTGGCTCTTTGACACTGTCAGGCGCGCTCGGCAGCCCCAATTTAACTCTGTAGTTAGCCTTCGACACTTATTCCCTTTAAATAATCCCAGGCTCCTCTTTCAGATAAACAGCGACCCGAGTATATTACCAAACGTGAGGCTGGTGATGCGTTGGAGCGATACCCGGGGTGAGACCGTGGAGGCAACCAGGGCGATGATCGACATGATCTGCGACGGGGTGGCAGCCTTCTTCGGGCCAGAAGGTTCTTGTTACGTGGAGGCCATAGTAGCCCAGTCCCGCAACATACCCATGATCAGCTACGTAAGTACACGCTAATACGTTCAGTCAGGAACGCCCGTAGCCTTCCACGTAGACCAACACCCTTGATCCCCGATGGCAGCAGCGAGCTCCGCTACCTTGGCTCACGTTTCCGCGCCATGAGAAAATCCAACGGCGTACCAGGAAGCCGATGGTCGTCGTCGCGACGCCAGCTGGAAATACAGGGAGAAAGGGACGACGGATCCGATATTATTTTATCGGCGACGCATTTGCATGAAAACTGCTGATTCCCCTGACCTTCGCGGTCTATTTATAGCCGAGCCTGTTGATGCCCCACGCAGTCGGCCGGACGCTTACCTGGTCCGGCTTGGCTGGCCCAGTACCCGACGTTCGCCAGGTCCTATCACTATATATCATATCCTTAGTCCTCTTACGTCTGATCTCGATCACTTGGATCACCGATTCGAACCGGCTGTCGGTATCGTTTTATTTGAGATATTCACTATCACAACAGATACAGTCTTCCATACTTCGGATCTCCACCTGATACGTCATTTTCATCAGGCACCTAGTGGACCAGTCGCTTGTGTATCGTCTCGATGACAAGGTTAATTCCTACCTCTTTTTTTTACATCCTCTTGTTTGATTTTCACTTTCCAGCTCCTCGACCCACGTCAAAACCTTAATATGTATCAATGGACTCGGATCCTATTCCCAACCGAGTGAATGCACACTCCGGGCCTCTATTGCTCCATTGTTACGGCCGATAGTTGTGTGCCCGTCCGGTTGTGTCCTCTCGTGAGTATATATTGTGGTCGACGTGCCTCTGTATGTCCTGACGGGCCGTTAAACACGTATTTCTCTTGTTTCTATTGGAGCCTCTCGGACGGGGTGAGCTTCGTTGTGTCAGAGGGCGCTTCGGAGCTTTATTACTCTTCACCAAGTAGACTGTGCTCGGGCGATTGAATGACTTTTCAACGGTTCGTCTACGCAGGGCCAATGAGTGCCGGTGCCAGTTTTATGAAATTTTCTTTAAAGGAAAAAAAAAAAAAAAAAAAGAAAACTACAATGCCTAACACGGTGAATACTTAATTTATATCGTTTCATCTTGTTTCTCGAGTCCTCCCTGCATTCTTACGTCAGTCTCGTAAGGACGGCAAACGTTTCGCTCTCCTTTGGGGCGAAACTCCGTCAATTAAACCTTAATTGGTATTATGCCCGACGCAAGTGACCGGACTACGCGTACTCAACGAGTTCAAACGAAACGCGTAACTCTGAAATTATTTCTACGCCTTTCCCGACGCCATTTAACTTCCAGAATTCACTGCGACGCGTCTTCTCGACTTGACAACACCATGAAGCGCGAAAATCTCATTCCGTCTTGCCGAGTATATTCGGCCAAGCCATACTCGACTCACGTCCAATTTCGTTGGACTCTATCCTTAGGTACCGTTGACGCGTATTACGCTTTGTCAGAGAGTTATTTTAACGATAATCATCAATTCGTATAATCCATTTGGACGTTGAACGAAAATCGGCGCTCTGGTTTCCGGTCGTTATCATCGCCGCGACCACTCTAGAAGCGACGTTCACGCACTTCGAAGACTTTTGAAGCTGCTTCGGCGACGTCTGGGCGCGCTTACAAAAGCGGCGGCAGGTCTTTCGCCCCGCATTTACTTCTCGGAATTGTGTTGCCGGCGGTTCCTTGCTCCGCGCCCCACATTTTCAATTCGTTATTTCGTATGTATTTTATTCAATTGCCGTTATCGTGGTCGTTGGCGGAAAGACGTAAACGGCAGAGGGGGAGGCACAGAGGCGGTCGAAGAAGAGAAAAAAATCGTTTGGCCATCAGGTCGCGATGACGCAAGACCATGAGGCAACCGAGAGGAGCAAGGCCGTATCTTGTAACGTTCCGTTCACGACTAGCGACACCCCTGTGAAGTTTACTGAACAATTTTTTTTTCTTACAAAGAAAACGTCCTACCCGGCGCCGTCGACGTCGAGTCTTCCAAGTATCTATTTTACGCCTAATAGCTAGCTGGTTCTCAATCGTGCCTATCCAGGAACTTCGGTGGGAGGGAAATCGTCTTCCCGTAACGCCCAATGACGATATTCGCTGCTTTGATTTACATTCGAACATTTCCTGCGATCTAAGTCTCTCGCAGCACCGTTATCTTTCCGTCGATTTCGAGTCGTACGAAGTCAGTCGTCTCGCGTCATTATTTAAGCATTCAAGGATACGACTGTGCTGTAGTACAGCTTACTAACTCGCTGTGTTTATCGCGGCTATATTTAGACGGCTATTGCTTGCCAACCCAACGGACGGACGAAAAGCTGGTTCGCACCACGCGACACAAACGCACGCCTGCCTTCTCCCTTTTCTCCTCTTCTTCTCCTCTTTCACCTCGGCACCATCCTTACTTCGCCTTTTGCTCTTGTTTATTCTCTGCCCCTGCCCCTGCCCCCCCCACTCTTCTTTGTCTCCCTTGCTATTTTTTGCCGTTCTTTTTCATACACCCTTTATTTTTTCTCCTCTCCTTATTCTCCGGGTTTTTAGCCATTTTCACTACGCGAGTGTCGCACTCCGTTACCGTCTGCGGGGTAACCTTTTCTTTCGTCCTGCTTTCCTCTGTTATCCTGTGCCTCATACGTAATTACTTTTTTCTTTTCTTTCATTCGTACCCCGAAGCTTTTTTGCCTGAGCTAGAAAAATCGATTCGAGCTGCCGATCGCACAACGCCGCTTCTCGGCATCTGTTCCAATATTTACCCCGGGGTCTCGTGTATGTATATCTATACGCGCGTTGACAATACACGATATGTATATACACATGAACGCAGGGCCGTACCCTCCTCGATCGCCCCGTCGACCCCTCGATCCAATGTATTTTCGGACATTCCACTCTGGCCTATTTATAAATCGCTCCTGGATTATTTTAGGCCCCGACCGGCTCCTCTGAACCGTACGCCGACGCGATGCACTTGTCCTATTTACATCGTGGCTTCGCTTTCCCCTTTCGAATACACAAAATAGCACGACCCCACGTGGCCACCTGTTTCACTCGTGAATTTTCACGTGACAAACGATACACCCCGTACATTTATCAGATCATCCCTATATATGCAGCCCGACTGTCATCTCTCTGTACAATGAGTAATTGTAACAAAGAGCTTTTATAGACGGTGTCAAATATTTTTCGGAACCCCCTCAAAAGTAAGCTTCGATTATTGGTCTATCTTTAACACTATAATTATACATTTATATAGCTCCACAGCCCACAAGGTTTATTTTACGCAGGATATCGTCTGCTTTAACCACTTTCCACGCTCGTCTCACTGTAATGCTACGCTCTAAAACAATGAAGACCTTATTCTTCTCCTCGCTACTGCCTCTATATAGAAAAGTGTCGCCATCGTGAATTCCTTCGGTTTCTTACCGAGCCACCAGCTCCCCTTCATTGTCTCTGTGTACACTGGGCATTTCGCTCCGGGTTGAAACCACCTGTTGAAACCCATCGAATCTTTCAGGGCGTATTCCCATTCCGCGTTTTACCATTCAAGGGGATACGTAGGAGCACGCGCGACTATCGCTATTTGTCTGCCGTGCTATAAATAGACTCTGTTGATTTATGAATAAATGAAAGCGTGCGTACGTGTTGGGAAGTTGCTCTCGGGATACTCGCCAGAGAGCGTATACCAAAGATCCCCACCATCCACCATTGTTCCAATACATACCATGTTTACCCAGTACCAATAATGTCGATGCTCCTTGTTAATAATACTTATTTTACGTTTCGGTCGCTCCTGGGACCGCCCGATACGTCGACGTTCTTCCCCGTCGGTAATGCAGGGAACCAGTCCTGAACAATACCGGTTGCACAACGACTTCTCCTCTCAAGGTGGTCTCGTCTAAATATAGCAAACCGGGACCGAGAATAACGGCCGACAATGACCAGAACAGGACTAAATGGGTCAATGCAGGATATTACCCAGGTCTCAGTTTTATGACAGACGTCTTCTTCGAGGCGTGGACTCTAAAAGTGCCCGATCCCAGCTATGCTCTCCAGGAGTAGCCGTGGTTACGTCGTACTCGACTGTTTCTTTCACATGGTCTTTATTGGTTTGCCTGTTGCGGCACGCTTGGTCTTCTTCTGTGTCTGGCCAGTTGAGAGCCGTTCGTTAAAGAAGATCTGACCCCCCCCTCCCCGTCCTCCACCCCCAGTTGTCACATTTAATTTATATGTTAATGAGCGCATGTCACATTCCAGCAGCTCTCAGGCTGAGAGTCTCTACGTTCTCCAGGTTATATTTAACCGGCGCGATTTATTCCCCTCTCTCTTCCGTCCACCACTTGTCCCACCTATCCCAACCCTTCTCTGCATCTCTTAACGTCCGTCTCTCTCTTTCTCTCTGTATTCATGGTGCGAACGACCGTAACGCTTGAATTTTCATTATCGCAGAAATGCTCGGACTACAAGGCTTCCAAGGTGAGCACCTTCGCACGCACAGAACCACCCGACACCCAGGTCACCAAGTCTGTCATCGCTCTTCTTCTTCACTATGGATGGAACAAGTTCACCATCATCACCGAGAGCGCCTGGTCCACCATTGCTCGCTCACTTGAGGATCAGGCTGGCAAACATAATCTTACTGTTAATCATTACAAGACCGTTGAGGATCGTCACACTTGCTGCGAGGAGAGGCTGCCATGCTGCCAGGGCAGCGTATGGTTTCAGCTTATACAGGAGACCAAGAATATGACACGGAGTCAGTGCAGTTCTTTTTTTTTTTTTCATTTAGCGCTAACTACCTTCCGTAGATACCTGATAATCGTCATTCTGCATGATATTTGTTTTGGGTTCAGTTTGGTCTTAGACTTTTGTTGACTGTGTAGACAGTTTTTTTTTTTTGTATTTGAACAGCATGCGTTTATTAAAATTTTGCTGTGGTCGTGTAGGGGCGTTGTTTGGGGATGGTGGTATTTTATTTGGATTTTTATTTTTAGTTTATATTTTCCTGGGTACTGCCATGTCTCTCATCGATATGATGAACTCCATGCAGAATCAGAGGCTACTGGATAATGGGGAGTACATGGTGATTCATGTTGATATGATGACCTACTCGCCACGCGAGGCACAGAAGTACTTATGGAGTCAGTATGCTTGCAGATACTTTTTTAGGACAGATTATATTTTTTTTGAGGAGCAGGCGATAATTGATTTATCTTTTTTTTTTTTTTTTATTAGAACCGGAGCACTTCGATCATTTGAAGAACTGTCTCGAGCCCAAAGATTTTCTTAAGAGGGCTCGCTCTCTCATGGTCGTCGTATCCACGCCACCTACACAGAACTACGAGGAATTCACGAAGAAGGTTCGCGAATACAGCAGCAGGGAACCTTTTAATTTTGTAATACCCGAGTTACTGAGAAAGTATGAAAAGGTACGCTAGGTCCATAGGTTTTTCATTTTATTTTGTAAATAAGTATTTGCAATTGTCTAATTTCATTTCAGTACGTCTCTATTCACGCTGCGTATCTGTACGACTCGGTGAAGCTGTACGCGCGCGCCCTGGATCAGCTTCTACGGGATCAACCTGATCATAGCTTGGAGGAAATTGCCAGCAACGGCTCGCAGATCATAGACACGATAATAAAAAATCATACCTATCAAAGTGTCAGCGGCGCCACCATTAGGCTGGACAAATTTGGCGACTCCGAGGGAAACTTTTCGGTTCTTGCCTTGAAGAAGGACTCATTCCGTATGGAAAACTTCTCCTGCGACTATCAGATGAAGCCGGTGGGACAGTTCCAGCAGGGTGAAACTCTAGTGAGTGAGTTGTTTACGACATTCGCGCGATAACGATCACCAGGCTGGACCGGTGTCGATTCTCCACTGGGAGAGAGTGAGCTTTCCGTTGACCAAACTTGACACGCAGGTGTATAGACCATCGGAGGCCATGGATTGGCCGGGAAAGAACAAACCGGAAGCTGAGCCCGGATGCGGTTTCCTGAACGAGCACTGCCCCAAGGATGACACACATCTTCGCAGTATCGTGGCCGCTGGCATCCTGGCCGTTCTCCTCTTCTGCGCTGCCGTCATTACCATGAGTATCTACAGGAGATGGAAAATTGAACAGGAAATTGAGGGTCTTTTATGGAAAATAGATCCAACCCAGATTCACGGATATCCCCATCTCGACAATAAAATGTCGTCCCCTAGTAAGGTGAGAGTAGTTGAATGACAACGAGAATTCTTTACTCCATTTCATTTCTTCTAAAGTCAATACAAAAGAATCCTAATTACGTCATGCATATTTTACTACACCTATTTATCAGTACTGTGACTAACTTGTTTTTAAACATTCAACAGAACAAACCGACATTACACAGTACGTGTGCTTTTTATGTATAACGTGTTCAGAAGTATTAATAGCCCTGTCCAATATTCACGTAGAGTCTATTATGTAACATTGACAAACGTTTATTCGATTTTCAGTTAAGTTTAGTTAGCGCAATGTCCTACGAGTCGAGGTGCGGAGGTCAAGTGTTCGCCCAGACCGGCCACTACCACGGTGTCGTGGTCAGGATAAAGGAGCTGAAGTTCTCGAAGAAGAAGGACATCTCGCGAGACGTAATGAAGGAAATGCGAATATTGCGCGAGATACGCCATGGAAATCTCAATTCCTTTATTGGGGCTTGCGTCGAGCCCATGAGAATACTGTTAATTACCGATTACTGTGCCAAAGGAAGTCTTTATGTAAGCATTAAGATCATTTCGACGAATTCCAATGAAATATCCGTCATTACTTACCGGTCTATACTTTTCAGGACATCATTGAAAATGAAGATATAAAGTTAGATGATATGTTCATTGCGTCGTTAGTTCATGATCTCATTAAGGTGCGTGAATTTAATATTGGTAACGTTTAATAGTCGAATAACTAACTGCCGTTGTAATTACATATCTATCCTCACAGGGTATGCTGTATATTCACGAGTCATCTGCGCTAGTCTGCCATGGTAATCTAAAGTCTTCCAATTGCGTGGTAACATCGCGTTGGGTTCTACAAGTCTCAGACTTTGGTCTACACGACATGCGGCACTGTGCCGAATCGGATAGTATCGGTGAACATCAGTATTATCGAAGTGTGTTTGTCCTCCACATGTGCACGTCTTTTCATTCTTCATTGCTGTATGTTATTAAAATTGTCTTGTTTCCCCTGGATTAGACTTATTTTGGAAAGCGCCGGAATTGCTGAGAAATCCAAACGCACCGATTCGTGGGACACAGGAAGGAGATATTTATTCCTTTGCTATTATTCTTTTTGAAATGATTGGCCGCAAGGGACCCTACGGTGGTGTCAATCTAGAGCCCAAAGGTAAACTTTAATTAAATAAAGATTATATATATGTCATTATACGGAGATATGTATGATCGGAGCAACGAGTCTATTCATTCTAATTGGTTTGACAGAAATCATAGACAGAGTGAAAAGGTTTCCGGAAGACGGCGAGCCGCCATTCAGACCTAACGTCGACATTCTGTCCGAGTCTGAAGCTGATTGTGCGGAATACATCGTCAGCACCATCACCGACTGCTGGGCAGAGTGTCCAGAGCTCAGGCCGGACTTCAAGATGATACGGACTCGTTTAAAAAAGATGAAAGCCGGTCGGCACCGCAACATAATGGACCAAATGATGGACATGATGGAGAAGTATGCCAACAACCTCGAAGATCTAGTCAGTGAGCGTACGCGCCTTCTTTTCGAGGAGAAGCAGAAGACTGAGGATCTGCTGCACAGAATGTTACCGGAGTAAATATTATGATAATTGACTTTGTGAACACCATTTAATTTTTATATTCTATTTTATATAATTCTTTTAGACCCGTGGCCAACTGCCTCACGAATGGTATCGGCGTGGAACCAGAGGCCTTCGACCTGGTGACGATTTACTTCAGCGACATCGTCGGCTTCACGGCCATGTCTGCGGAGAGTACGCCGTTTCAGGTTGTCAATTTTCTCAATGATCTGTATACTCTTTTTGATCGGATCATCAAGGGCTACGACGTCTACAAGGTTGAAACTATTGGAGACGCCTATATGGTGGTAAGTAGTAGGAATGCATATTATCGCAAGTACAAGCATGCTATGGATAATTAATATGTTCATTTAATCAACAGGTCTCGGGTCTCCCGATAAAGAATGGCAACAGGCATGCCGGGGAAATAGCTTCAATGTCTTTAGAGTTGCTGAATGCCGTAAAACATCATACTATTGCTCATCGGCCGAACGAGACATTGAAATTACGAATAGGAATACATACGGGTAAGAGGCTATAGGATGATGAAGTCATTAGGTCATTTTATAGAAATTGCACAGATTTATTATTGCTAAAAAGAAAAGCACTGAACAGACGCTTGCGGTGTATTTTTAGGACCTGTTGTTGCTGGAGTGGTTGGTCTGACTATGCCAAGATACTGTTTGTTTGGTGACACAGTAAATACAGCGTCACGTATGGAGTCGAACGGGGAACCACTTAGGATTCATATAAGTGGTCAGTGCAAGGAAGCTTTGGACAAGGTAGGAGGCTACATCATCGAGGACCGTGGCCTGGTGCTCATGAAAGGAAAGGGTGAAGTTAAAACGTACTGGTTAACCGGAGCGACAGACAAGGCCATACAAAAAAGAGAAGTAAGTTTTGTCATTTGGAATAATTTTCTTTTGAATATTTTATATTAACGAGACGTGGTGTGTAATGCATGTAAAATGCTTCCAGGTCGACGTGGGCGATTTGCCACCACTGTTCTCCAGACCTCGGCGAAGTCCAAAGCTGAACCCTGACTCGCGTCAAGCTTCTCTGCTGGCGGGTCTAGGTGCAGGAAGCCGAAGACAGTCTAGCGTACCAAGACCATCCGGGGATGATTCATCTTCACAGTGTGGAGGATCGAGTCCAATACCACGACCAGTTCACGCCAGAAAGCTGGAAAGATCACCACTCTACCTAACGGACAGCGTGTCTAAGACAACCCTGGAAAACATGACAGTACGCGAAGCAGAACTGGAGTCCCGAGTAGCAAACGTGAAGCTCGTCCTGGACGATCTCTTCCTAGAGTCCCGTGGAAAGTTTCGCAAAATTCCAAGGGTTCTATCGACAATAGCATCCTCGTCGTCGACAAACGATTATCCCTCGCAGTCGGCCATAAGAGAATCCAGATCCTTGGATCCGTTTCCGTCGGAGAGTCACTCGCGTCGTCTGGAATCGCATCTCTGCTGGAGTCGCGAGCCTAGGAAGAGCTTTCGCTCTCTGGAGAATTGCGACAAGTGTTCGCGGGCTGCACTCAAGACAAACATTACGGACAAAGTGCTGAACAACAATTATCCAAATGGTAACGTGATAATAGTGCCACACGCTCATCATGCCACGAGAAACGAGGCGGAGCCACTGTTGACCGATGGCGATGGCGGAAGCGGTGGGGTCTCCATCGGCGATGCATCCGTTAAACGTTGGAGATCCCTAGATCAAGTAGCGTCCGCTGCCAATGCGGATAGCGTGCCCGAGAAGAAAGCCTCGGCGCGCAATTCCATACGGAGCTGGTGGGTCAACCTGTTTAACGGTAACGGACTACGCAGCAGTGACGTATCTCTGCGGAGAGGTGTTATAGCTGGTTACGACTTACAGTCGGAACGCGAGAGTATAGTTTGAGGACGAGAACTTGGTCGTTCGATCGTTGCCATTCTCTTAGATTAGACACATGCAATTTTATGTATATGAAAGTTACCGACAGTGTATATTTTTTAATAATCTTAGATATTTTATATGGACGAGTGTCGCGTCAGAGTTAAGAAGGTGGGAGAGAATGACACGTGCTCCAGAAGAAAGAGGCACAATTCAATTGTGGTACACAGTTGGTACAGTGGGCCTATGTCTATAATGTTCTTTTACTCCTTCTTCCTTTTTTTAAATCAGTGTGTAAACGAGAAATAAACTCTTTTATAAGAAATAAATCATTCTAACCAAAGTATACAGAGTAGGGGAGAGAAGTACGCTGTGAGCCGTGATGTGCTGAATAATGTTGCGTGTATACACATTGTATACATATCTATAGACATGGTTATTAAGGATCATTGCACGATTGTCAATTTGATTTTTATTAATTCGCATGGTAGAACCATCTTCAGGTGGTGCAACAGTTCTGAATAACCGTGTATATGTAATGTAAGGCGCATCAGTGTATTTAAATTCTTACACGGCACAAGCGTGTACTCGCGCGCATAATTTGGCGTGCACGTATATGCGTATACATGCATCATTTATGTATAATATGTGTATATGCATGTAGGTAAATAATAATTGTTCACTGATGGAAAGCAAATTGTCTGTATGGCTGTGAAAAGTGAACTAGATTGTACCTAAGGTGCTTAGTAATATATCACACGTTGTCAAATGTATATAACTGAATAATAATATATCTATGTAAAACGAGGGGATTTAAATTAAACGGATTATTCCCTTCTGTATCTATGTATGTTCATGCTGGTGGAAGATGCGAGTTTCTTTTTCGATATAAAGAATGGTTTCTGAGTGATGGATACTTATGATATATACAGTTTATTTGAATAGATTGCAAGTTTTCATACAGTTTCATACACTACGTTTGTATACCCTATTGAACATTCAATCTTGACCAGATAAGAACTTTCCTAGGAAGTCTGATGGTTTCTTCTCAACTGTTACTTTGAAGTAATCCATAAGCTGTCCCTTGTTCTTCCACTTTTCTAGAGTCTCTTGCAGGTCCTGCTCTCCCTAGAAAAAATAACAGATCAAAGATATTAATAATTTCTTATGGACTTGACACAGAGGAACATGAGTAACTTACTTTTATGATGAGAAAGTCGATTACCCTGATGTCTGTTTCATTGGCATTCTTTCTAAATTCCTCTCGCAATTTGTCAAAACACATCTTTTCCGTTACTGGAAGTGACGTGTCCAGTACTTGAAAAATATATGAAGTTAAATCAACAGATAAACAATAACAAGAAACTAAGAATTGCAATTATTTAAATTGTTAGTAGACTATTTATATGAATTGTATATATTCGATACAAGATGAATGTAGTTTTATATAACATACTAAAAATAAATGACAAACTTGGAATATAATTGAATTAATTGAAAGATTTATGCACTATTAACTATCAATACTTTCTTGCATTTAATGTCGTCGTCCAGTTTATTAATAGCTGTACAAAAAAAAATAGTTGATAGTTCATAGCTTATTGAAGGTTAAGATGGAGCATCAGAATATACATTATATTATTGAACATAAATTCTATACGTACAAATTTGAGGTATTTCCTGGTACCATAATTTATACAATGCTAACACTCTTTTTCGTGCTTCATTTTTATTAAGGGATAAAACTGGACGAACATATTTCGTCGTTGCACTCACAGAAGCCATTTTGATTTCTTCTGTAGAATATGAGTGTGCTGCCACCGAAGTTAATTTATGTTACTAGACCACGACCACATCATCTTCGAAGAATCATATCCTGGAGAAATATCATAACCTAAAATATACCTATATTTATTAGATATTCCAATCATATTTTGTTATCCAAAGGTTTGAAGTAAGACACATGTTAGTTCCCACATGGATATTTATTATCAATGTGAACATTTTCAGTTTTTTGTACAAGTAAGAGTTAAAAGCATTTATATAATGCCGATCTTATTGGCGACGTCAAGAGCATCGTAATCACGAGCTAGACGAACGTAAGCCTTCTTCTTGCCGTCTGGCCTGATCAAGGTGTTTACTTTTGCCACATCGATCTCATACAATTTCTTGACCGATGCTTTGATGTGATACTTGTTGGCACGAGTGTGTACAATGAAGACCAAGGTATTATTATCCTCAATTTTCTTCATTGCAGCCTCAGTTGTCAGTGGGTATTTGATGATGTTGAAAGCATCCATACTGAAAAGATTATTCATTAAATCATTAGGTTCCAGTTTGTAGTATCTGAATATTTTAATATGACCAGAAGCTTAGGTGCTATGCAGTGTTTATATTTTAAATTGTTCTTACCGATTCCTATTAGGAACAGACTTCCTGGGATATTTTGGGTTTCTTGGTGGTCTGAAAGTCTTAGGACGGTGGAAATGCACCGAAGTCCTGATCTTCCTTACTCTTGAGCCATGGACACCCTTGAGGATCTAAAACAATAAAATAACATTGATTAGCAAAAACCAAATTAATATAAACACTAAGAAGTGGCTCACAGTAGCTTCAGTACTGTGTTAAATGTTTAGTTTCATAATAACTCAAAGAGATTCCCACACATTACTCATCACGTAAAACTTCATAAAATGCATATTTGATTCTAGATATTATCAGTAATAAGATTTTTCTCTATTGTAATGACCTTTTTCTGTGCTTTTAGGGCCTTCTGCACAGGCTTTGCTACAGCCTTGCCACCCTTTGGAGTCTTCTTGGCTGCTGCTGCATTCTTCTTAGGCTTGCTAATTGCTGGCTTAGCAGCAACTTTGGGTGCAGCCTTCGGTGCAGGTTTAGCTGCAGGTTTGGCAGCAGGCTTAGCTGTTGCTGACTTCTTTGCAGCCGCAGGCTTGGCTGCAGGCTTCGTCACCTTAGCAGTAGAAGATGATGCAGCTGCTGCTGCTGCTGCAGGTTTCTTCTCTGCTTTTTTCTCCGTTTTCTTCTCTGCAGGTTTGCCTGTTACATAACGAAGTATAAGACATAAGGTGAAGAGTACAAAATCAAAATCATTGAAATGCTGACTGAAGTAACGCCTAAATAATATACACATATGTAAGGTAGGTCAGTTTCAATTAGATTATATGTATATCCATAAAGTATTACCAATTTTTTAAAAATATAATTGCTCATCAAATTTAAATAAGATATAAATATAAACGAATGAAACACTGTAAATAATGGAAATGCCATGGGGCTCAAGTGTCTATCTGACCGCATGGTCGTTCAATATTAACTTCAGTTTTTCGTAAGAATATTTCAGTTTAAATCTTCGAAGAATGTGCTATATTCACATCACCAAGCTTCAGCTTTTAACAAAATTATACACTTTGTCCATTTAACATTACTTTTACACGTAAAATCACTTTTAATCATACCTGCTTTTTCCGTGGGCTTCGGTTTCGGAGCCATTTTGCTGAAAAGGACGGCAACTTAAACAGGAAGTGAATGCCAGGCCGCAAGATCACTACGTTAGTCGTGCTAGAACTAGGAACATATTGGAGATCAAAACAATTCTTAACAATGTTTCTCAAATAAATATACAGTTCTCACATAATCCACCAAGCATTATCTCTTTATTTATATATATGTCCACGTATAAATATCCATTTCATTAGATATGAAATACACACTGTAGTAACAGCACAAGCAATATTTTTCTACATCGGATTTGAAATTGTATCATTCACAAAACTTGCAATAAATAATATATCCGCATTGTATTAAAAATTATTGCTTTGCAATCTTTACGCGACAAACGAACAAGAATAATACCGAATTATAATATTTGTCTATATTGCTTAGTTATTTTCAACATTGCTACATGCTTTAAATTTAAAAAAATCACATTACTCAGCTTAAGGTGTGAAACCTTGAAAATAAATCTATGACTGTTCGATATAATTATATTCGTATAAATAATAAATATTTAAATATGTGGGTTACAATATTTCACTCAATGCATATCATTTCCTACACTCGTGCGATAATCACCCGCATTTCATCCCTTCCAAGCGAACCAACACCTGTCCCAGCAACGAATGTTTTTGTTCGTAACTCAGAAATCATCAGGATTTTCTCTCAGTATCTAATACAGTATCCTCCAGTTCCTTTATATAACTTTATGCGACTTGACTACATCGTTTACATTATCGTTTGCATACTTGCGCCTGATTATTTTTCTCCTGTTATTGCATAACAAGCAAGTGAAAATTAAAAATTGCTCACAAGAGGTGCCGCATTAGAGTTTTATGTTAGAAACTCGCTCGGCCGTTTACAAAATGATGAAGAACGTCGCTCACGAGGAACGTCAGGTACATGTATACGATTATTTTATATAAGTTGAAATATATTGACATTACATTATTGTTATAAGATATAAAACACAAGTGCATTGTACTGTTTTTATTATTATTTCCAGATAAAATACTGGCCGCCTCCTTTTGCATCCGACATGACGCCTTATCGTGAAAGAGATTTTGATGGTAATGTCAGAAAAGTTTGTTTGTCCAAAAGTCTCGTACCTAGAATATCAAAGGCGATCGTCCTCGGTGACGTTGCCGTCGGCAAAACGTCTCTGGTTAATCGGTAATTAGTAAGAATGCACTTCCGGTTTTTTAAATTCAAATTTAACGTACGTATATGATTAAACGTTATTTGCAGATTTTGTCACAAACTCTTTGACAACAATTACAAGGCTACCATAGGCGTGGATTTTGAAGTGGAACGTTTTGACGTACTAGGTGTACCTTTTAATTTACAAATGTCAGTAAGATTCAGTGTTTCTATTCTGATTTAGTTTCTGTGTAATTTATTTCAATATTCCTTTCTGATTCTACAGATGGGATACTGCTGGTCAAGAACGATTTAAATGTATAGCTGCATCTTATTACAGAGGAGCAAACAGTCAGTACAATTGCAAAAGATAGATCTTTCTATGATATTGAAATGTTAATAATTTCTTGATTGATTTTAGTTATTGTCATTGTTTTCGATTTGGGCAGTCTTATGTCATTGTCCCATTCCCAACAATGGCTTGCTGAAGCAGAAAGAAGTAATGTAGGATTTTATCATATCTTTTTAGTGGGAACCAAAAGAGACCTCTTAGTAAGTAAGTCTATAGCTTTAATTAAAGTTTCCTCCCTTAATTTACTATATTTCTTTCAATAGTCCAATAAGGTTTACGAAGTTATTGAGAAGAGAGCCATAACGGTAGCTAAAACAATAAATGCAGAATACTGGGCAGTGTCTTCCAGAACAGGTGACGGTGTGCCAGAATTATTTGCAAGAATGGCATCATTATCATTCAACGCTACTATTATACGAGAATTACAAACATCTGCTACTGAACAAATAACCGTGGGCTCTGATCTCGTTAGTAAGTGGACTTAGAATTTTCTCATTAATATTCTATAATGCACTGCATAATTTTGAATTCAATTTCTTTCAGCTCTAAAGAATCAAAAGGAACTTCCAGAGAAGAAGAAATTAAAATGCAATGGCTGTACCGTATAAAAATAACAATATACAGCAAGTTACGCACATATATGAGCATTTGCAATCTTTGTACTAAATATCGAATAAGCTGAATATGAAAAGTGAGCCAAAAGTGCCATAAAACAATTGAAGATCTTCTTTGTCCTCTTTTAGGGACTTATCCCCTTGTAACGAAAACAAGTACCAGATAATTGGATACATACACTTTTCTACTCTCTTATTTCATATTGCATAATGGGGGCAGCACGTGTATCTTTAAAGGTTCATTGATTAGATTCCAGGTTTCTCCGTCAGATGTCGGCAAAGTATCTTGTCAGAGAAAACCAACAGTATCCTCACTACTCGTATGTATATACACTCAGTGTCATTAATGCCTGGGCCCCTAAACTATTTTTGCCTCTGTCCCACTCATGTAATTTAAATAGGCAAATTTAGTCAGAAAATTGAAGCATTAATGACGTTGAGTGTACTACAATCAACCTAAATTTTACTGCAGTCTACTATGTGATCTAACACGTGTCGGTAAAGTCTATATACTAAATTCCATACGAGTATTCCCCACCAATGTCATATCCCTCTCTTTCAGACGTAAAGTCGTTTATTCAGCGGTGAGCGGCCCTGATTTGCACGTCAGGCGTTCAGAGTCCAAGCCTCGAGTTCTCCCTACTTTATAAAGTCTTCTCTCGGAAGCGATAGAAGCTAGAAGTATCCAAATCACGAGCTCCCAGTTACTCGTTATACTCTGATTTCCATCGTTGGTTTGTACTCATGTTCCTCTAGAACTCATTACGCATCTACGCGGAGAACGGAAGTCGGAGTAGTGGTGAACGAAGAGAAGTAAAGTCGGGAGTAGTGGTAACTCGTGGAAGGGAGTAGGAGAAATTGAGGAAGGAACAACGGCGAGTCACGTGGATTCCAGCCACGTCGTCTACGAGGCCAATCAAACTTTGCAAGGACGAGCTTCGTGTGGTGAGTTGAAGGCCAGTGTTAGAAATGAATTTAATGGCTCCCATACATTTTGTCGAACCAGTTACTTTTGATGGAAAATTCAGGAATATAATTAACGAGGAGACTGATTTTCTTGAATTTTTGACACGTTCTTCTACTAATTCGCCCCTAAACTTTGACAAAGCATATACATATGAAGCTGCTGCACGTGTAACAGGTTTTCTACGTGCAACAGTGGCGTAGGATCTACCAAATTTACAGGCAGTCAGTCTACGCTACTGTCGAAAATTCTTCAATAAATTCTTTCTGTATATAGAATTTCTACGATTATCCGTCACATTGCGTTTTTTATGTCCCATATAAATTCACTTAATATCATATTAGATATTACAATAGTATATAGATATAGTACGTCTTCGACGTTAATGCATCTTTTTTCATTTTTTAATGTTTATCACCCTGTGATGTGGATAGATAGTTATAGATATTTTATCTGGATTCATCAGAATGCAGCAAATCTTTTTAAATTGTATCTTTTATGAACTTAGGGTATTTAGGTATCCCGGACTGTTTCTTCTTTACGTGTTCGGTCGACGTTCATGCGTTTATTCATTCTTCTGAATAATGTATCGGAGCAAAGTTCAGGGCAGGAGACGCTTCGAACTGACAGAAGTTTGACGTGGGTTAGGTTAACATTGCTGGCACTTGATTTTCTAGAAAGAATAAAATTATACTGGATGAAGGAAAAGGTTGAAAAGCTACCTCGAAAATTGTCTTCCGTTATTCTTGAATATTATAATGCAGTAGATGAAGCAGAGTCTGTATGACATTTTAATATATGCTTTGTACATATAGCCATCTATCGTAATGCAGTGGCTATACACATATATTGCTGTAATTAAATCACGAGGAATATACACTGCTCCATCGATGAAAATGCCTTTTATTATGGTGCATCACTCTTGACGTTTTTGAAAAAAATTTTTTTTACTCTGTACCACCTCGGAACCGGTTAGACTTCTAAATAATTTCAGGATGAAAGGTTCCTCGTCACAGACACTTGGCTCTTTGCTGTCTTTTGATCTATTTGAGATATGTCCAGACTCTTCGGATGTTTTTGCAATCTTTTCCCCGCTAGCTTTCAGTTCCAAAGGAACTTGCAATCTGTTCGGTTCACTTTTATCGTCCTTTACGATTGATATATTTGAAGCTGGCGCTTGCTTTGGATAAGTCTCCATTTTGTTTGTTGCCTCCTGGATATCTCTTCTTTTAAGATTCTTTCAGCTTCGAAGATATAGCATCTGTCACGCGTGTGATGTATTTTAATAAATTTTAAATAATCCAGGGTCAATATAAATTAATAATTATATCAATTTATATTTTCAAAATTTCTTACGCAGTTCCGAAGTATCTTCTATTAGTATTCTGTTCCAAATTTAGACATTTTTATGACATTTGTATAAGTACAAATGGCTGCATGTGCAGTTACTGCAAAGAGTGCGAATATTTTATTGATACTGTTCCAGTCGAATATCGCCATATACAGCAACTTATTTCTAATGAATTATTTGTTTGGAGTAGATTGTATATTATTAATTAAAATCGATCGGGCTCAAATTTTGATCTTACTCGTACGAAAAATTTTTAATAAATTTCAAAAAATGTTTTTCCAAAATTATACATGTGTGAAACAAATGACGATCTCGTATCTACGTGACCTGCAACTGTTAGAAACTTTTAAAACTAATAAAAACCAGACATTCAAATTAATATACTCTTTTTTGTCATATAATATTTCTGTCTATAAAAATAATATAAATTATTCATAAATATTAAATATGTAATATCATTACTAAGCTATTTTGACCTGAGCAGTATAGTATACTCTGATTAAAAATGTGGTCACAGTTAAATAAATCAATTTCATCCTTTACTACAGGGATGTTATCACGGACGAACTATAGGTCCTTGATAACGCCAATTCCTGTAAATTTCAAAACGAGTATGACTTGAGAGTATGACTATACAGGGTGAATGAACACATGAATATCTTTCATTAGTTCAAGAGCATACCCATCAAGGCGAAACAAACTACTGGCCGTGAACGTAATGCTCAATACCAGTTTTGCATATCAATTGCAGTTAATGCTTGAAAATTTGCAGTCTTCTATTTTAATGTATTTTAATGATTGCCTGATTTCATTTATTCAACAAGATAAATTATATCGTCTTAAAGGGATCGCATATTTTGTTTTCTGCAACTGATACGATAAGTGCTTTTAAATTATAATTATCGGAGTTCGACCCTAGAGTTTATAAGCGAAGTTACTCACCGAATTAATAGCATGATGTTTCGTAAGCGCAATATCATGGTGCTGTGTTATATTTATGCGATTAGCCAGCAAACTTTTTTGATAATGCCAAAATACTTCTTTGATCATTTGTATACGGCAATAATGGTCACTCTGTTAGGGAAACCACCGGGATAGCGATCAGCAGTCAAATTAAAATTTAATAAGTAATTAATAAATTCATAAGCCTGTTTTAATTGTCTCAAAATCGTACACCAAAAGAATATATACACATTATTTTTTAAACAATAACTTTTTCCACTCGTTAGCTGGTAATTGTACTGAACAATAATACAGTCCCAATTTTGCGAATTAAATTTAAACTTGAAATTCGTCAATTACATTCCATAAATTGTTTACAATTAAAAATAGCTGGGTTTAACTAAACTTGTCTTTAAACATATACATTAAGACCTGATCTTGAGATTTTAGGAAATATTTCATATGCATACATTTAGAATGACAAGAGCGACCGGTGACTACTCTAATCATACTGAGTATTTTTATACATGTCGATAATTATCCGTTATACATTTCGGTTGTAAAAACACATTTTTAATTCCACTATTGGCTCGTTACTCATTATTTGAATATTATTAACATCATTCACAAGAGTTTTGTCCTATGATAATTTATGTGACACTAAATAATAATATAGTCTGACGTAAGTAGTCTTATTGCGTCAGCATAGCAATAGTATATCTATAGTATGGCATTAACAAGGTCGTGTTATTATACCAATGGCGAACTTGGACACTCGACACCGATCTACAAATCCCTCTTTTCCTCTGGAAAGCTTCTGGAATTGCAGATGTCACATACAACTTACGTAGCCCCAACGAAAAGTCTGAACCGATAAACAATACATACGTAAGTCTGTGAAATATTACCAACATACACATTGTTCTAAAGTTTACGTTACATTCACGGAAGTTTCCCGTGCAGCAGTCATACCGAGGATAATGGAATAATAATAGAAGCTTGAGCCAGAGGTAACTAGATGGAGTTAGTCCACGGTATTCAATAGCGCTGGCCACCCATGGTTTCCTAAAATGTTATATTTTTAATTATCATTTTTTTGAGCTGACTCAACTTCTAGTTCTTAAGTGATCGCTATAACGCTTTACAATGCTGCTAAAACTATTTTTCGCAGTCTGTATGGCTCCTGGAGATTTAATGATGTTTACGTAAACTTTCTGGAATCTAATGGAGAAAAATGGAAGTCTCTTTCCTGTAAAGCAAAATTAAAAACTTTCTCCTGTTCAATGCTGTTTCACTATGTGCAGATGAAAGTGGAGCATCGTATTATTGATATCAGGAATTGTCTGATAAATGATTTTTGTTATCAATATCTTGGACGAGTTGTATTTCTAGTGTTTGTTATTCTATGGTTAAAGATATTTAGTAAAAATTGATAATATAATACGAACAGCAAGAACGTAACAGTTATGTTTGTACATGGAAAGTTGTATTACAATTAATTTTGCAAAAGTTATTTTAAAAATACTGTAATCCACTACGTCTGCCATTCACGTAATCGATCAAAATAATAAATTTTGTGAGAAAAATGGAATTTATCTCTAAGATGTTCATCCTTTGACAGAAGATGATATGATTCTCTTATCTACATCGTGAAAGATTACTACTGTCATACACTTCATAGATGTCATAGATAGTTTCTTTTTTCATTTCATTATTAAGGTTTAAAATATTATTGCACGATGGAAGAGGATATAATTATCTTTTTTATATCATGAATGATCGTAATACTGTTGTGTAGTTGGGTCTTCTAGAAGAATAATACACTTGTGTATGTGAGTTGCCATATAAATTATCTTTTCCTTATCGCGAATCACGCTCGCACGTCAGCCGAATTGACGAGCCATCGTGACTAGTGATTTTTACGTTACAACTCTCCGTAGTGGTATGTAAGGCTGTCCTCTCTTATACGCATAATCATAAATGGCAAGTAGTATGCCAAGTCAGTTTTGCAGCTAATAATTGCCGGGGCAAAACTTATAGGAAGGTAGTGGTAACTCTTTGCTTGTTAATAAGAAGAAAGAAGGGATATTTCAGACGATCGTTCCTAACGACAGTATCGTTTCGCTCTTCAGACGAACTATAATTTGAATGTTTCGTGCTGACATCTTACCGTTAATATTATAACTATTTATTCGAATTTATTTATTTTAACGAAGTTGCGCATGGAATGAAGGATGGATCTACCTGTAAGTAATAAAACATTTTTACTTTCTAATGAATTTATTGGTTAAATATTACATATTAATTTTGACTATCGGAATGTGCAATTTTTTTTATTATTTTCAATCTCATTGACTGTTTGCCTTTATTTTAATGGTTGGCATTTATGTTTAGTTTTGCACTTCCGGTTAAATTAATTATAGTCTGTTTGTGGTAGCGTACAATTATTTTGACAAGTGCATTAGAGTTTGGATTTTGTTACGTGTTACGATTTTGTTATTTTGTTTGTATTTTAGCGTAATAAAGTTTATTGCATTGTTGTGATATTGGTAATTACGCAGTTGTTGTTTTGCATTAGTGCAAATCGCCGTCTAATATGCATCCGGGTAAACTCTAAAAATTTATCTTTGAGATATGTGCGCAGCTTATCAATCATGTGTTATCAGTGTTGTCAAGTATTTTTGAATAATGACAAATAAAGTACAACTTCATTGTGAATTGACAGTTTTCTTCGATAGAAAACATGCGATAGTTTCTTCAAGCGTTTGTCACGCACATTAAAGCTGCTATTATATTATATGTAGATATGATTAAGAATTCGTACCAAGTACTTACCAGTATTTAATGTCAGCAATTATTTAGATTTAACCATGACATTGAGAAATAAATTCGCCTTCCAATGTGTCAATTTCTTTGAATATGTACGTATCATTATTAAAAACATATAATTTTCAAATTGATTTCATGCGAGTTTACGTAAGAAATAATCGTACGAGATACGTAGTTTTGTTTACATATAATTCTATTTTGCGAAACACGTCCGGGCAGTTAGAGCAGAATGAAGTTCAGTTGGAGCTATTAAATTTTTTATTAATCCACAATATATCTTCCAAGTATTTCTGTAATATTTATAATGTTCGATAGAAAATTACAGAACTGCATTTATCGTAAACAAGTCGAAACTCGGAAAATTCTCGTGCGGCCATTGCCTTCGTCGATCTATTTATAAGAAGATGGAAGTCTTCGATTTTCCTTATTGACTTTGGAGCACGTAATTGCGGCTACCAGTGGAAGCAGAAAAGATTGAAAAAAGGATACAGTGCAAGAAAGAGAAAACAAAATAATACATTGGAGAGAGAGTGCATGCACGGAGAAAGTGTGTAGGCAGCTGCACGTAAGAACTGGAAAGTTACCTGGGTCTCTTTTATTTTTATTAGCCGATTTTAATGGTCTGCGCGTGACGGTTAAACACCAGGAAGTGACGAGGGTATATACGTCATGGTAAGACTTCAGATAGCTGTATACGTCATGGGGACAGTTTAATAAATCGTATACAATGTCGAGTCAGTTGACGAAACTGAGATATCTTCTTTTTCTATAAACACTCTATCTTCCTTTAACTTGTTCTCTTTTTTCCCAAGTATTATTAAATTTGAAGAGATGTGCTGGATGATCTAGACACTGGTGACCCTTGTTACTTAATTATTTAACTGTTTATAAGGAATATCTGGTTTTTTTTATTTCAGATCGCAGACGCTTCGCAACCCAAAGCTGTGAGAATGTCAGGATCACCAGTGCTGGACGAACAGGAAAGTGTAGAGGTCTTTGACGAAGCTCTATTCAGTACTTTGGACATTGTGCTACTTGGTGCTCTTCTTCTGGCAGCTGGATGGTGGTTATTACGTCGTAACAAACAGGAAAATTTGCCAGCTCCTACAAAATCTTATTCCATTCAGTAAGATTTCAACTGTAGTGATTATCGATATGATATTGTATTGTTTCATAATTAATACGAATCTTTTCTGATCTTCAGACCAACAGCATACACTGCTCTAGTTCCTTCAGAAAATTCATTCATTAAGAAGCTTAAGACTTCTGGAAGAAGTCTTGTTGTTTTCTATGGAAGTCAAACTGGAACCGGTGAGGAATTTGCTGGTAGACTTGCCAAGGAAGGAATTCGTTATAGGATGAAGGGAATGGTAGCAGATCCTGAGGAATGTGATATGGTGCGAGTAACAGATATTTTAACATTATTTTTGCTTTAATTTAAAGTAGATATGCCTTTGAGATTTTTACATCTATGAACGATTTTACTTAATATTCCATTAGTATTTTTTAGCTACTGTTAGAAAGTATTAATGCATCTGTTACGTAGGAAGAACTTGTAAACATGAAGAGTATACCCAACAGCTTGGCTGTATTTTGCTTAGCAACGTATGGTGAGGGTGATCCGACAGATAATGCCATGGAATTTGTTGACTGGCTGAAAAATGGTGATGCTGACCTTAACGGCTTGAATTACGCTGTGAGTATAGAATTGTATATAATAATTTTATTAAAACCGTAGCATCACGCCAGTATCGCCTTTTATAATTTTGTTACTTCATATTTATGACTGTGCTCGCAGTGACATCTAGACGATGTCTACTCAATCTCTTATCGAAAGCAATTACTCAGTAAAAGTTCGTCTGCCTGAGCTCGTCCATAACCTCAAACGGCTGCACGAAATAGATTTTCGTTAAATCGTACGTTTGTCATGTTGACCTCGAGTTTTGAACTTCTACAATGACGTGTGAACTGTAAAGATATTGTCGAAAATATTAAGCTGTATTATATAATTCGCTAGAGTTAAAGATGAGAGGTTAGTTTCGGTATGAGAACGAAATTGTTCGAATCGTATAAAATTATGAATAAGTACACACGAATTTTCCGAAATCTCGCCAGATGGCGAGGCAGTGCTTTGCCGTGCAAATGTGAGGTAGTCTCTTTATTACTTTAAAATTTTTTTTTTTTTCATTATTATATAACAAATTGAACGTAGTATTAATTTCATATTATTTCCAAATCTAATATCGCGTTTAATTGGTCTTACATTTGATACTGACGAATAAATTGTTTTCTGGATGTATTCGTTGTAGGTCTTTGGATTAGGAAACAAGACTTATGAGCATTATAATGAAGTTGCTATCTATGTTGATCATAGACTTGAGCAACTTGGAGCTACTAGAGTATTCGAGCTTGGTCTTGGAGACGATGATGCAAAGTGAGTAATGATTTTAGTAATGCGATGTTAATAAAGAGAATCTGTGGATTCACTAACTGAAATCCTATTATCAATTAATTTATAGCATTGAAGATGATTTTATTACCTGGAAAGACAAATTTTGGCCAGCAGTCTGTGATTTCTTTGGAATTGAGGGTGCTGGCGAAGATGTCAGCATTCGTCAGTACAAACTTACTGAACATGTTGATGCTTTACCAGAAAAGGTTTACACAGGGGAAATTGCACGTCTTCATTCCTACAAGAATCAACGATCGTGAGTATCTTAATCATTGAACATCTTCATTAAATATGCATGACTGGAGAATTGAGTTTTTTTGTTTTTGCAGACCATACGATGCGAAAAATCCTTACTTGGCTCCTGTGAAGGTAAATCGGGAATTACATGGACCAACATCCGAACGATCCTGTATGCATATTGAATTTGACATTGAAGGATCGACGATGCGTTACGAGGCTGGTGATCACCTGGCTGTCTACCCTGTAAATAATTCAGAGCTTGTCAATAAAATTGGAGAAGTCTGTCAGGTGGATTTGGATACTGTAATCACATTGACCAATACAGATGGTACGTAATGCATCTATTATATACCAAGAAATTAAGTGGCAGAAGATATTTAAGTTCTTCTTTCTTTTTTGCAGAAGAGTCCACGAAGAAGCATCCATTCCCCTGCCCTTGCTCCTACAGAACAGCGTTGACGCACTACTTAGACATCACCAGTAATCCCAGGACTCACGTTTTGAAAGAACTCGCAGAGTATTGCTCCGATCAGGCGGATAAGGATAAGTTAAAGCTTATGGCGTCTACCACGCCTGAAGGCAAAGCTCTTTACCAGCAATGGATTACCCAAGAGAATAGAAATATTGTACACATTCTGGAAGACATTCCCAGCTTGAAACCACCTCTGGATCATCTGTGTGAATTGTTACCACGTCTGCAGTGCCGATACTATTCAATTTCATCATCGCCTAAGGTTAGCAATGCTTTCAGTTAAATAATACTATTTCATTTGTACCATCTATGCATTTATGAGTTATACAAATTTGTTATTTTTCCTTCAGTTACACCCTACGACGATTCACATTACCGCTGTTGTCGTTGAGTACAAGACTCCTACTGGTCGTATAAACCGCGGTGTCACGACTACCTGGTTAAAGGAGAAGCATCCATCAGATCCACCTTGTCTGGTACCAATCTTTGTACGTAAATCTCAGTTCCGACTTCCTACTCGTCCTGCCACACCTGTCATCATGGTTGGCCCCGGCACAGGACTAGCACCTTTCCGCGGATTCATCCAGGAACGTGATATCGCGAGAAAGGAAGGTACGTATTATACCTGAAGAAAATATTAATTATTTGAGCAAGTGAGTTAATTGAGAACACATGACTCTAGGTAAAGAAGTTGGCGACACAATCCTTTACTTCGGCTGTAGGCGGCGTCACGAAGATTATCTTTATAAAGAGGAGCTAGAAGAATTTGAGAAAAATGGTACGCTTAAGCTACACACTGCCTTCAGTCGAGAGCAAGCACAGAAAGAATATGTGACTCATCTGCTGGAGAATAATAAGGAAGAGATATGGAGTGTTATCGGGGAGAAGAATGGTCACATTTATATATGCGGGTTAGTATTTCTTTTTAGATAACCTATAGCAGAGAACATATATATGTATATATATAATATATGTTCTCTGCCTATAGATATGTATTTTCAATTTTATTCTCTTTTGTTTATTTTTTGTTGGTTAATTGTTATTTAGTGATGCTCGTAACATGGCACGCGATGTTCACAACATATTGGTGAAGGTCGTAATGGAACGTGGCAAGATGACAGAAATGGAAGCCACTGCCTTTATCAAGAAGATGGACACGCAGAAACGTTACTCCAGTGACGTATGGAGTTGAACTGTTGGGATCAACAAAGTGTCCGTTTTCGCAAATCCTTACGTTTTGTTACAACGTATAAAAAATATCTATTTACCGTGTTTTTATTGCTCGGTAAATCTACGCATCTTGGTTTATTCTCTAAACCCCACTTATTAAACGTTAATTAATGAAATTCGATGAAAACCAATTTACCTACAAATTAGGCTGAATTAATTACACTGGATGCCTTCGTGAAACTATTATAGAGAATTTTTTTATATTAAAAGATGGATTTTAATGTGTCGTCAGTAGTAATACAGCTGGTTTGAAATAGTATGAATTGTTATAGAAAAATTTACATATGAATCGAACCTCTGAAGTGGTTTGTATCATATCTCATGGGATTTTAAAATTTATTCAATATTTAATATTTGACTGTCGAGGAAAGAGATGTAGTATCAAAAGTATCTTGGGAAGAGTCAATTTGTATCCATCTCACTGATGAAGTCTCTATACTATATGCAAGTATATGATTCTCTTCAATTATTATTGGATTAGTTTAACTCGATCGTTCAGAAATTTTTGTTTAATTTTAATTATGAGGCGATCGGGAATCACTGTCTTTTTATGATCGCAAGAACGGATGAAATATTAAGTGTTCGTTTATTCTGTATCGGAATTAACTGTGAAATTTCGTAATTTATGTATGTATCATTTCATTCATGTTTAATCTGCATCATGTAGATACGAAGCGTCATATCATGAAACTTTTACGTTTTTAATAGTGACATATTAGGTTAAGTATATTTGGTACGCGATGGCGATTATATTATTATTTTAGTACAAGTATAGGGAAGGTATATTTTTTTAAGGATTCGTGTCGGCGTTCTTGTCATTGCAAAAAAAGTATACAAAGAATTTTCTCAATTCCTAGAACAATTATAAAATCACAATAAAGATGTTAAAACAGCAACAATACATTTTTGGTTATTATTACAATTACCATACCGTTGTTTATGGGATGAAGTTATTAAACGTATTTTATTTTTTTTATTATCCATTTATATTCACAGCGAATTCTTCACGTTTCTCGCTGTCAGATTCTCTGAGTCATTCCTAGTCATGAGTGTGTAAGAGTGAAATAGCAATATCCCATTTCTCAAGCATCCCTTTCCAATAGGGTGGCCCGGTTCTCAATACCCGTAGTTCTCATTTCAGTGTCATCGTTTTGTAAACTATCAGTATTCTTACTCTAATCGCGGTATTTACCTAAGATTATCTGTTTTCATGGAAAAGCATATGAAATAGAAGACTATTAATCAATTAGAATGTCTCAGTCAAAGGTAGACTAAAATCTTTTATCTGAATATCTTAAGATTCCAATAAAGATTTGGTTACTTGTGTCATGGTTAGCTTTTACTGCACATTGATATATTATTATCTATTACTCATACTCTGTGTAAAGGAGATAATGAATTGTTTGAAGAAAATAAAATACTTTATGTTTCTTTAACAACGAATGCAATGTTATCATCATCTATTTGAACTTTCAGAAAAGTAAAGGAGATTGGTTGTTGCCTTCTTTCGAGATTGCACCGAATACAAGTCATATAAAAAAACGGAGCAGTACTGATGATTCTTGCAGTAATAAAATGAATGTAGAAGATGATATATGTACTGACCCAAAAAGGAAATCTTCAAATAATTTAGCTGCTTTGCTAATGACTTGTGAACCTCAGCAACCTTCAGAGTTGGCAATAAGTCGGCAAAAGCAAAAAACAATTCAGGAGTGGCTAGACTCTATTAATGGAAGCCCAAAAGCACTTGTGCTTTCTGGACCTTCTGGTTGTGGAAAAACTGTGGCTCTCAAACTTCTTGCCAAGAATAGTGGATTTGATGTCATAGAATGGATTACACCAGTTGATCAGGCTATGGATGAGAATAGTAATGAAAAGTTCAATGAACCCCTTTTACTATTCTTCTCAATTCATAATATTTTAAAATGATTAATATCAATTTACTTCATCAATAGACAGAGTGATGCGTCAAGGAGAGAGATTTGAAGACTTCATGGTCCGAGCTACCAGATACAATTCAATATTCTCAAAACATTCTAGAAGGCTTCTACTAGTCAAAGACATACCAAATGTGTATCTCGTTGAAAAGGATAGCTTTTCTGATGTATTGCAGTAAGCGTCATAAATTTCTAGTGATATATATATATATAATCATGGTATGCATCAGCAATATATCTCCTTGCAGGAAATACTTTGAAATGGCTAGAGAGCCTCTAGTATTCGTTGTTAGTGATTCTGGCAGCTCTAGACTGATGCAAACATTATTTTCTGAGAATATTCGAAAAGCCTTTAAATTGGACGTTATAAGGTATATTATTAGTTCTTTGTATTTGAATAGTATTTGTAGTATTTGTAAATCATTATTGATTAGATATTGATTTTAGTATTGGAGCAGCAACAGCAACTTCTATGAAAAATGTATTAAAAAGAGTTTCCTCGATATTAAATTTAAAGGGTGGCCATATACTGAATGTTACCCAAGAAAATATTGATGAGATACTGTCAAATGGTATTGGAGATGTACGCAGTGCAATTCTAAACCTCATCTTTATATCTCTCAAAGGTTGGTATCTTCAGAAAAGGTTTGAGCACTGTAACATGAAATAATTGAAAATCACTTGTTTTCCAGTGCCTAATAATGAATCCCACAGTGAATGCACTGTAAGAGAAGAAAGTTTAGGACTTCTTCACGGTGTAGGACGGGTGATCAATCCAAAAAGTGGGTGATCAATAGTTTTGAATTTTCCCTATCAAAAGAAGATAATTGACTCTCGTAATCCTTTTGTACTCAGGAATTCCTGATGGCGATTCTTGGAAATTTGTTCATGATCCAGACGAAATAGCTTCATTGTTCCAATCACAGCCGGGTGTATTTCTTGGATTTCTTCACGGAAATTACTTAAATACAATCGGTGGAATGGACGAAGCAGCGACATGTATAAATATCTTGAGTTTGTCAGATACCTTGATTTCAGAATGGCGAGTGAGTCAATATGAATCTCTGGAACCTTCAGAGAGTTATTCGTAGAATTATGATTTGTCATTTTGACTAGAAACATTCATCATAATAAATTCCAGGATCCAAATCTCGGTAGAGTAGCCTTATCTTATTGTATTCGTGGTTTGATGGTAACTAATGAAAAACCAGTGTCAGGATGGAATCCAGTGAGAAAAGGACAGCATGATGACCGTACGTTGTAAGTATATAGGATTGCCTATTAATATAAATAATATTTCATTCAAGTGGAGGTAGACAATATTTATATTGTATTTCTCTGAATCCTTTTAGACAAAGGGATCTTGGAGCAGCAGAATTGCGCTGGTACGAATCACGGATACTTTCTAAAACTCAAAAATCAGAGAACTCAGTATCTGTTGCCGAAATTGAAGGAATAATTGAATAAAAGATAAGAATGTAACAGCATCTTGTAATGCGTTTCGTTCCATTCATTCCGTGATTTTCCGCGAGACTATTAGGGTGCTGTAACATTATAAGGTAACGGCAAATATTTAATTTTTGCTTAACATTATACACCGGATCTCTAAAAAGATAACACAATATTAAACTTACTCTATCTTTTATTTACATTATAGCATCCGAAGGAGCAGAGAGAGTATCGTTAATCTCATATTACTTTTATATAAGTTATTAAGTTATGATGAAATCGCGAAATTCCAATTAATTATGTTATCAGAATAAGTTTCTCAATAAAAAAAAGTGAAAGAACTTCAGATTTTAATAAACATCTTCTTTCTTCTCTTGTATAAATAATGTGACTAGAATTCTGAGAACATCCAAAAATGTCTGACACAAACTTTTCCAAATACCTATATAATTTTAACCGGCATTTCCTTTTGCATGGATTCAAAAAATATATGTGGCTCTAACGGAAATTCCAGTGGATCTAACAGAAATCGAGATTACCTCCTGACTCCTGATGAATTCCTGATAAGAAAACTTGACTTTCGAGGGGTCTAAATCACTGTCGGGAAGTTAGCGTCAAAAGATAAAAATTGATACAGTTTTAATGCCTAAAAAATTGCTCTTTAAATGCTCCTTATGTTTTCCTAATGACTCTGCTGCTATTATACAATGATTAAAAAATATTCATTAAAAAAATATTTTTTTATTGCTATTTCAAATGACTGAGCAGATTTTCATATGATTTTCTTAATGAATTAATTGCTCTGAATTTGCTCCATTTTTTTATTTCATTGAAGCATCTTTAAATAACAAGTAAACTTTGATTTTCTCGTGGCCCGCTTGCAGACGTGAACAATGTGATTTAATTTTTGAACACACCTATGACAGGTGCTTCGAAGATGAACCGAGGGTGCTGAAAACATAGTTTCTCTGTTTATTCTGGTTTATTGAATGCCATAGATTTGTACGAATGCTTGTATCTTCTTGCATCCGAATAAGTATCTAGCATTCATTAAACACTAACTATGAGCAATTTTGTAGGCATTAGAAGTATATAAATTTTTATCCTTTGTCGCTAACTTTCCGGCGGTCAAAATTGCCGAGAATTTTCGTAATTCTTTTAGTATTACGGTGACAACGCTAGATAACGCCACCAGGTCGTTTCATTGAGGTTCCCAACGACATTCCTCGAGTGGGGTATCCATGCACCCCAGAGTGTCCCAGAGGTATTCCCAGATCTCATTACTCTCAGAAAGCTGGGAGTACAGGTTAGGGTGTGGTGGAGCGGTGCTGGTGTTTCAACAAAAATTTTCTGAGTTTTCACAAATTTTATTTATTTCTGTTTAGTCTATTTATTAGTGTTCCTTGGGCTCTTTGCTTTTACAAACCACGCTCACAAAGAGTCATGAAGAAATACGTATTTTTCGTGTTTCTTCAACTCAATATACATTACGGTGTGCGTTCATTTAATCTCGAGACAAGAATACCTGTTATCAAGAGAGGATTGGATGGTTCCTATTTCGGTTATTCCGTAGCGGAGCACCAGGAAACGCTTGACGATGGAAAACATAAAAGCTGGTAAAATTAATTATTTTATATGCATATATATTATATACATTATATATACTTGACTGAACTGACACTTACGATGAATGATTCTTGGCTGCTAAACAAAAAAATCTTTGTATCCGTGAGAACCGGATTTATTAAAGCATATCTTTCTTTTTTCAGTAAAAAATTGTACTTGTGTGATAAACTGTTGATAAAAGACCGTCTGAAATATTTTGTAAGCAAAGATCCAATATAGTACAATTGTCGCAGGAAAAGTCTTTGTTATTCAAAAGTTCCCTGTACATCACAAAACGTTCAGATACATTTTAGAAATATTGCTAAAATGTAACAACCAGATTTATATATTTCAGCAATGTTTTTTAATCATATCTGAGTGCTTTGTGCTGTATGGATCAACGCCATCGTTCAGCGTCTTCCCTTTCTGTTTTTCTTTCATTGGCGAATGATACGTCTTTTGCGAATATGGATTGTCTTCTCGGAAAAGACGTATTCTCTGATCGCCTGTACTGGGTAAACCAAACTGATGCCAATCTGTAAAAAAAGAAGAAAACATATTGTTCCTGGAAAGCATTCTTTATTTAAATTATTGATTCATTTCTTCACTGATATATTCCTAAGAATATCTTTTAGAGCATTCACAGGGTCTCGAAGACTTGCGCGAAGTGAAGGAACGCAGCTCGCCCACTATTTAAACTTACAACCCGTTACGATGCACGCTGAACGTACTTGTTGATATTTCGTAATCGGACATGCTTGTCTCTATTATTTATCATAAACTATTAGAGAAAGCTTATCTGTTTTTTACTCTACCAAGCGAGAATTTCATGAATAAAAATGCGATTGGATGAAAAATGTTTTTTAAAATAAATTTTATTACGTAATTCGTTCTATATTCACACTATGATTGTCTACCTCATTATGTGAGTAACTTATTATGGCGATGTAACTTGTATGAGATAAAAATCCTGCAACAGGAAATCCAGGTGGCCTTTCTCGTTTGATTATTTTAAATATTTATACTGACACACACACGATATATCTATATTGATAACACAGCCTCACATCCTGTGTTTCTTTAGTATAACTTGTTGCGCTATTTTATATACTATTATTGATATAGTTGGAAAAGAGTTTAGTCAGATGAGAGAATGAATATTTATAAAGAGATGAGACATCAATGTTTATACTATTTGCATACAGTTATTTTAATAGTCTGGTATAACTTGTATAATTTTAATGGATAATACATTATAGTAATAGTGCAGTTATCAACACATAGATGAAACATCATCTTCAGTTCAATTAATAGATATGACACATTAATGATTAATGTTTATGAAGTTTAACACATGCTCGCCTTTGCGTTTAAGATTTCACATGAATCATTCAGATGCTCTGACCTTAGTGAATAGTTTTACATTTCTTTGTATGATAACTCATAAAGCTACAATAGAGGGGAGCATAACAATGAGATATCTGCATCTTTTTATACAGTGAATGACCCAAGACATTTTAAGTGTAGTTTAAAGAAATATTTTTCTGGAGACACAATGAAATATGATCTTAAGAATTATCAATCTTCTTCTGTACAGGATGCTGATCGGTGCACCCTTGGATCAAAATAAACAACCAGGGACTAACCGATCTGGTGCACTGTGGCAATGTCCCTTAACAACATTCACCAATGACTGCATCCAAGTCATAACAGATGGACGGGAAAGTAAGATTTCACAATACTATAATTACAGCAGTAATGTGACAGACATGGTATTATAGTAATGAGCCACTATATTATATAGGCAAGCTGCGAAGAGCAGACAAACCTGACTCAAAGCTATTTCAGCTGTTCTACGTTGGCTGTGTGAAATATCAACGTTGAATTGAAAGTAAATCAATAATTACAATAATTGTCGCTCATATTTTCAGTCATTTTTAGCCAACATATCACCATTATGCTCATGTATATATTCCATGTATGCTACTACGTAGACTTTAGGCTAATATAATCCTCCATAAGATTCGCCACATGTTTCTCGCTGATTCTACAGAATTAATTGATGTTCCATTATTTTCTGGTTATCCGAGCAGCCGAACGTGGTTTTTACGATTCAAGTAAGTCCGCTAAGAGGGTTTAATGAAGAATGCGACGTATGACAATTTTATTTTTTTGCGTCAAGACTGTTTTCAAGGATTTCGCTGGGATTTGTCGTCCTGGATCCTTTAAAGGATCGAGAACTTCGTGCATGCGAGCGTGCATATATATTGGCAGTTGAAGCATGAGAGCATATATTATAATATAATATTTCTACGTAAACGATCTGCCTGCTGTAACAAGGATTTCGCCTGCCAAAACAAACTTTAACATGATGCTACTCTGCTAAGGGGAAATAATATCATTTAATATTTATATTTTTTGTTAACTAACATTTGCATTACCAGCTCTTTTGCATTTACAGTCATTTTAATTATTTTCATGCTGCATATTGCACTGATACTAATATATATAACAATCAAGTCGAGCGAGAAACGCTAATAGTAAACTCACTTAACAATCCCTTAACTTAATTTAGAGTTAATTAAATAACATCTTGTAAAACAATGGTAGAATATCTATTAACGTATCCACTGATATTTGGATGCTGTCATAATTTTATTCTACTGACAATTTATTAATAATATAGTTATTAATAAATTAATCCCTTTATATCCTTACGTTATATTTCCAATGTTCTAATCAGAAGTAATAGTATAATTTTAATACAGCGTCAACTCGCTCGACTATCAATTATATTTATTCAGATAAGGATTATCGAATTAACAAATTCTGCATCGAAGGAGTTTCAAGCATATGACGATTTACCATGTTGACATTAATTAATAAGGCGTATTTCACTTTTTCATGAAAACTATCTCTTTGCAGATGTTGATTCTGGAACACTGATACCTCCTCGTGAGGATGAGATAAAAAATAATCAATGGCTAGGAGTGACTGTTCGCAGCCAAGGTGTTGGTGGAAAGGTTATGGTACGCATTGCTCAGAATAAATCACTATACTTTTCAATAATCATTATGATATGTCCTACACTCTTCTATGAAATTAATTAATTATTATTCTAACAGGTTTGTGCTCATCGTCATATAGTGAAAACGGCTGATTCGCAATGGGGCCAAGGGCAGTGTTATATACTGACTCAAGACTTAAAATTCCAAGATATCAAAAAACCCTGCTCCGGGAAACCGACTGACAAGTAATCAAGGCTTATTGTTTTTATGAATGAATAAAATACTAATTATAAATATATTCTATTATTAACTACGTCATTGTCTACAGGGCACATGAACAGTTCGGCTACTGTCAAGCCGGAACTAGTGGAATGTTGACGTCGGAAGATCGTGTAGTCATCGGTACACCAGGACCCCATACATGGCGAGGAACTATGTATGTTCTTCCAGTCTCAGATGACTTTCTATCCCGTGATAATACAGTTTACAATGTACCTATGCAGGATGCCTCTCCAGTCAATAAATACAGTTACTTAGGTAGGCTATTATCTAAGCTCTGAAGCATCCTTATAACTAAAGACCCTAAAGTCGTACAATATTATCACATAAGAATCCTCGCCTTGATGATGGAACACTGATAAATCCTCGTGTATTTTCTTACTTGCTAGGAATGTCGGTGACTGTGGGAAATTTTTTTGGCACGGGACTAGCCTACGCAGGCGGTGCACCACGTTCCAATGGGACGGGTCAGGTTATCATGACGATTCGTCGTGATAATAAACCAGACATGACCGTCGTCCTGATTTTGGACGGGGAACAATTTGCTTCCAGTTACGGCTACGAAATTACGTCGGCAGATGTTAATGGCGACAAGTAATTAGCCATTAATAATTCTGAAACAATAACCAAAGGGGAATGTTAATTAACGATTAATTTTTACCTTTCTAGAATCAGCGATCTGATTGTTGCTGCGCCTTTTTATTTTAACAAGGCTGAGGGCGGTGCTGTATACGTATACACGAATCTGTGTAGCAATCCAAATGCTAATGAGAAATGCAACAAGCCGACGAAGCTCGTCGGTCGCGAGGAATCTAGATTTGGATTCGCTCTGGCGAATTTAGGAGATCTAAATAAAGATGGTTACGAAGATATAGCGATCGGTGCACCTTACGAGGGAATGGGAGCTGTCTACATTTATTTGGGATCTAAAAATGGTATCATTACTGTGCCTTCACAAGTAATTCATACAGAGGAGATGCCTACGACATTGAAAACCTTTGGTTACTCATTAAGCGGCGGAATAGACATGGACCATAATGGATATCCTGATTTATTAGTGGGGGCTTACGACAATGACGCTGTTGTACTTCTACGTTCTAGAAAAATTATTGATATCACAACGTATGTACGGTTCTTAACGAAGAATGGATCTTATCAGGATAAAATGGAACCTATTGATCCTAATAAATCAGGATGCTTTGCTGATCCAACATCCAATTATACATGGTACGTAAGAATTGTTTCTAATTAATTCTCAATACACTAGGTTACGCTATACAATTATTTAATACTGTTATGCACAGCTTCTCATTTATAGCTTGCTGTAAGACAGAATCCTCGGTAAAGGATGATATGCAAGATGTGAAATTAAATTATTATATAGCAGCTGAGACGTTTTTGGGAATAAAAAAATTCTCCAGGGTTTGGTTCGGTACAAGAAATTCTTCAGTAGAAAAACCACTATTCATTAACCGTAATGTCACATTAGATCCAACGAAGCTTGAATATTGTCAGAAAGAGACTTTATACTTAAAGGTAACTATGGTTATGATAATTACATTAAAAAGTCACTTGTAATTTCCTTACCACTTGTAATATCATTCTAGGATAATATCAGTGACATTCAATCGCCTATAAAGTTCCGCTTAAGTTACACGTTACTTCAGGAAGAACCTGAAATGCCTGCTGAAGGACTGCCACTTCCGGACATAAAAAAATACCCGATTTTGAATCAGCAGGAAGCAGCACGTATCTTTGAAGCAACTTTCCAAAAAGATTGCGGAAGCAATGACATTTGCGAGAGCGATCTCCAGATTGATGCTAAATTGAATTTATCAGCATCAGCAATTAAACCAAATTTCTATGAACTCTTGCTAGGGGAAAGAGAACAAGTCATCGTGAATATTACTGCTAGAAATTTCGGTGAATCTGCATACGAGGCTAAACTATTCATAAAGCATTCACCGAGCTTAAATCATCATGGCCGTAGGATCATTAACTCTGTCATTTGTGATTCCCACAATACCACCTTAGTGTACTGTTTGATTGGAAATCCATTTAAGAAGGATGATCCATTGAATTTTCAAGTGAAGTTCGATCCTAAAGGTTTAGAGGATAATGAAGCCGAGATAGAATTTGTAATTTTTGCAAATTCAACTTCCACAGAAATTACAAAAAAAGAACCAGTGCGTTTGCAGGCTACTGTACTCAAGAAAGCAGAATTATCCATCAGCGGGTACGTAGAGAATAAGTTATATATTAATATACAAGCGCCACAGCATGTTAAAAATATTGTAATAAATTTCAGAAGTGCCAAGACCCAATGGGTCGTGTATGGGGGACCTGCTATTGGGGAATCTGCTATAAAGCAATTGAACGAAATAGGCCCAAAAGTTTCTCACATTTATGTGGTATACAATGAGGGACCTTGGAAAGTGAGCAGCGTCGAAGTACGAATTTCGTGGCCCTATGAAGTAGCAAATGATAAACCGCACGGCAAGTGGCTTCTGTACCTGGAGGAAATGCCAACTGTTGAAGGTATACTACTTGTTAATCTACAGCAAGAGTTGTTGGCCACACAAGGAGAATTAATAGCAGCTGGTTACAATGAAAGCTTTGTCTTTTAGCTCTAGGAGATGGCGAGTGTACGCTTTCTCCAGGATTTGAGGCCAACCCATTGAAACTACAGGGCAGCTTAGGTCCTGACGACTTAGGTCCTCTATATCCTCTATCTACAACGCCTCCGTCAGATCTTCGTAATGAAACTAATTTCGTACGAAGGAGACGAGACACGGAAAAGATTGTGAATACGCACACGATTGTCGACAAGGAGGGTCATAAGCACCAGGTGGTTTCTATGGTGGGTACCAACTAAGTCTCAAATAATAGGTACTACAGTAGAATGTACTAACTGATATAAAACAGATTAATTAGAGAAAATGAAAATTGATTTATAGAATTGTAAGGCTGGCACGGCTAAGTGTTTCGACATTATATGCATAATTTATAACTTGCAAAGGAAACAGGAAGCAACTATCACCGTGAAGGCAAGGTAGGGAATTTGGAAGTGATTTGAAACTCTAACAGTTTACCATATGTAAATCTGTTTGGTCCCTTAGGTTATGGAATTCGACGCTCGTGGAAGATTATCCAAGAGTGGATAAGGTGAAGATTAGTTCCAATGCGAGGATAATTATTCCATCAAATATTGTGATTCAGCAGGAGAATGTCAAAGATGATCAGGCAATTGTATGCTTAATTTATATCTTATATTGAATCTTTGGTCATTAATTATGATTGAAAATAATACTTTCTTTTGTGACTGTTAGGCCGAAACAATTGCGTATCCAGATTTATTGGGTCAACAGGACGCAGAACCAGTGCCAATTTGGATAATAATAGTAGCGGTAGTAGCAGGTCTGTTGTTGTTAATTTTACTGACTCTGGTTCTTTGGAAACTTGGATTTTTTAAAAGACGCCGACCTGACCCGACACTTTCTGGAAATTTGGAAAAGCACAGAGACGACAATCCGGAGCAGGAGGCGTTATTCAACAAACACTAAAAGTAATTTTACTTAATAATTCATATGCCCGGAACAGGCCTTCAAGTAAGATATTCAACGTACCGAGTACCAGATCAGAGTACTTACAATTAAGTAAAAACTAGAAGAAAAACAGAAAAAGCGAAAAGAAAAGCGTATTTATGATTACATAGTAGTTTAAACGAAGATGCCTTGTATTTTGAGAAGAGATCTGCGATTTCTTCGCCATTGAATTTCACTGGCAGCATTTCTTTAGTGCCTTAAGAAAGCTATGAAAGTATAAATGATGTTTATTTCTTTTTCTCTCGCAAACCCTTCTGGCAAGACTGACGAGCGATTAAAAAATGGCTAAGCCGAACGGTGCTGTTGTCTAAATATTTTTTTTTTCTATTATATTATTTTTTACAAAACTTCATTACGAATGAAATACAACTAATAACAGTGGATAATCACGTACCTAATTTTCTTAAGACCCAGTAGTCATGATTCGAAAGTCAAGATAAGAGTCATCATTCGAAACGCTTTAACGATTGTCTCGAAAAATATGCATATATATAACAGAAAAAAGCGTTTGTGCAAGATGCAACTGTACATTTTCTACTCCCTTTTAGTTAATAATCAGATATTTATTGGATGTCAAGTTCTCCAAAAGATCCTACTTTAAAGTTTGTGTATTTTGAACCACTGCCTCCAGGAATATTATCAGGACATACTCGTTACGCTAAAAACATTCCACTAGGTGGATAAAAACGAGTCTACTTGGTCGTCTATAAAAACTTGTTTGAAAAGGTTCATCGACATTTATCATTATCCATCATAAAATCAATTGCCATCGAATACACATATACAATGTGGTTAGGATCTGTACATTTTCATAATATTATGTGAAATGTAAAAGTCATTTAATTTTGTATCAGACGTAACTACGTTGTACGTTGAGCATGATTTTAAATTTTGTACTTACGCCCTGTGCAACTTTGTCTTTCGCAAGTTCTCAAACGGTGCTTTAATTTTTGTATAGGACCCGATATGAAATATATACATATACATCAAAATTATTTGAGTATATTATTAATTACCCAGTAGTTCTCTAGTTTTTATAAATTAATTTTAGAGTGGAATATTTTGTATATTAGATAGATAGATCAAATTATCTGTGCGTTGTGGATATGTACCATTAATACGGGATGGTTTCGTCACTCTCTTACATATAATTATACTTTACGTAGATTTTCAATGAAAATAATTCGTAATTCTTTATCGTTACAGGATTGAGACAAACAATTCGATTCGTAGACAAAAGAAATTCCTTCCTAAACGTTTCTTTCTTTTTGTCATTGCCCATTTTTACTTGACTCACAAGATACAATTTTACAGAATCGATAATCGATCATTCTTAAAATTATGGAAGGATTTATATATATCTGAATAGCTACATTTTTCTTATAAGCTCGTGGCTTCTAATCGTAGTTCGTATTGGAATGTTTGTATATTTAGTATTATATAGTATAATAATTCTTACCTCCTTTTTATTGGATTCAGTCCATATTAAGTACCGTCTTGCTGTGCTGTCTTCTTAAGTACAGGCAGTCTAGAATAATAAATCTGGAACAGAAATAATTAAATTATTGGTAAGGGTATAGGATTTATCGTCTTTGTTTGATGTGTGAAAAGTGATTGAAATTACCTGTATAGAAGTACTGCAAGCGGTGCTGTAGAGGCATGCCATAATGAGTGAGCATCGAAAACCCAAAAAATTGGAGGAAAATCAGCCAACTCAAGTAATGTTACAGACACCGTTAAGACATTGAACCAGCCTACTAGATAGATATGGGCCAATTTTTGTCTATTACGGTACCACCAGAACATTGTTATGGCGAATGTGAAAAATCCTGAAAGAAATTGAGAACATGAGCATTGCAAAAAAGCATTTGATGTTTAAAAAATCTAATCTACATAAATTTACAGTATCAAATACAAGTGATCATGTTAATTGTTCATTTACCAAATAAAATGTTGAGTTTCATATTATATCCGTAGTTAATAGTGCCAGACCACAAATGCGACAAATGCGTATATAGGATACTTATGTACAAGCATGTCATCACAATAAATGCTTTGTTATTTTTGTAGATTAGTCTGAAAAAATGATAAAAGTATCGCGATGGTTTTAGCTATTTAAATTACAGAACAAACAATGTTAGTAATTGCCTACAGCTACATCAACAGCAAGCATTTAACAAAAAATCACACGAGTATGTAAACAAACATAGTAGAAAGCAATATTTTATACAATTCTTAATTTCTAAAAATCTTACCTGAGTATCATGCAGTAAAAAAGTGTAAGAACAATAGTGAAAGCACAGGAATAATCCATTGCTTCAGTAAATGGCTTGTCCCGTGCATGAAAGACTGTAGACCAGAACCATCCCGTCAGACAGATCTATCTCAAGTAATGATAATTTATATGAAAAATCACCTATGTAAAATAAAGTGCAGAAATGCTCACCAGACTGAAGTAAGTCCAAACCATGGACATTGGAGCTGATGATCTTACTTCCCTTTGAAATTTTCTGTACATTGTAAAATGTATTTGAAAGTTAAGTAATGAGAATAAAACAGATGCAGGTTCCTGCAGTCCAAGAATTCTCACGAATGGCCACTATAACAAATCGAATAAGATTCAGCAATATCAAAAACAATAAGCTAGAATAAAATAATTCTTTAGATATACCTTTCCATGAAATTGTGGAACCTGCAATCCGTGGGCTCTAAAGTATTCCACGGTATCCCACATGCAGTTATAACTGCAGTCATCCTTACAGGACCATAAGAGCAATTGTACGTCCATGGAAGGATTATGTCTGAATTCTTTGTCTTTGTAAAAATGAAAAATTTAATTGATAAAACAAGACTACCAGTAGGTTAAATCTAATAACAATACATACCATTCTTACAATTTTCAGTATGACACTTTAAAATGCAATGATTATAAAACTGTGACTTGTCACCCTTTGAAGCAAAGGTTACTGTTATTAAAAATAATTGAACTAAAAAAAAAGTTCGTGTTAAACTCCTCATATCAGTAAAAGCACGCATTCAATTATGTCGATAGCTGACACTTTGGAAATTCTACACAAACATAACCTTATGTTTTCATACGTAACAAGCCGAATACCTGACGGGTACGTTCCGAAATTCACCGCCTCTACTGAGTCTCTGGTATGAGTATGATTATGTCCCTATTTATCTGCATGCAATTGAGTGAGACATAATTATGCTCACGGTACTGGCACTGCGACCGACTTTGAAGCCGTACCAATCGTCATAAAAGTTATTGGTCATGAAAACGCTCCTCGTGAATGAACAATTCCCACCATAAAAAAGATATAAATTCTAACAAGGCAGAAAAGAATGTAATGAATGGCCTAAGATTTCTTAAAATAAATACGGTATATTTAGAAAAATCAACGTTCTAATCGTACTGCTTTCATACAAGGCCTTCCGTACCGTCTCTTCGCTTCTTCAACAAACGCATTTTCCATTTGCCTAACAATTTCATTGAAGAATAAATTCGAAAGATGCGAATGAATGATGGATCTGAATTCGAATGAGAGGGAAAAATCAATGACGCAGGTCTGTGCATTATTTTTAAGACCGGGACTAAATATCCACAATGTGTTTAAATGATTAAACAATTTGCCATCTGTACATTCCGCCTTGACTAAACGTGGTTTTATCATTTTCACCTTTGACGTGTAACTTTCATTCAACGGTGGAAATCCAATGACTAAATTAGCTTTTAAAAATTCATCATTTCTCGTTATTATATCAGACTTCTTGCAGAAGGGAACGAATTTCTTATAGTTAGCCACATCAGCGACAACGTTGTACATCTGATCCATGGAAAATCTGTAGACAGTTAATATAGCACTGATTATTCTAATCATTGTGAACAATAACTTTTTCTCTTTAAAATCAACAAATATTTGGCATTGCTTACCCTATCAGTTTACGACCTTCGTATTCTTTCGTTTTTCCCGTACTGTACAATCGTTTGAAACTTCCATTACATTCGTTGGTTGCCGATAGGAAGAGTTCCGCAATGGAAATATATCTAAAACCGATTAGAAATCACTGTACTCTATATTAAAATACACAAACTATACCTTGTTATCGTTCTAATTACTCGGATAACGGCACAGTCTACAAGTAAAACATACATTACAGGGGCTATCTGTTCATAACTTTAAATACAAATAAGTCTCCTAGATCTCACACTACTCATAAATCTACACCCTTGAAGATAAAACATAGGTTATAACAGATGATGATATTATGAATTAAATGATTCTTTACCTGTACATTTTTAATATTTTATAAGATTCTAATATCAACGTTCACGAGCTCTCCAACAAGATACCGTTGTGCATCCAAACAGAACGTTTGTGCATAAATAAAATTATATATACTGAATGCTCTAAAATAATTCGAGTGAATTGTGCGTCTTGCATTCGTCGAGCCAGCCAAGTTTATCTGCGAATGAAACGTAAATTCTCCTGTCTCTCTTTATTTTCTTCGAATATACTTGAGCAACAATAAAATATATGAAGTATTGACGATATAAGTAGCACGGATAAAGTAACCTTTACATTTTCTAAGCGGTTTCTGACGTGGTTGTTATTCCCCTCTACGGAGAAGTCGCTTTCTTTCGTTACATAATATAGTTTTTTTCGTGTGCTCCTTAGACGATGGCAACGATTTTTCCTCGCTCCTGCAGAAGTGCAGTTAATCAGGTATTAATTGTTCAATATTCAACTCCGATTTACTTGTAGAACAATAGCTAGAGAACTCATTTCCAACACTGAAAATCTTATTGCTAGATTACACTCAGTTATAGTGAATGGGAAATTGACAGATATTGGTTTTTTATGAAAAAAATTGTTTGCTGGTTTTGTAAATTTTATACAAGATAATTTTGTCAAAACATTGATATTGAATATTGCCATTTAAGTAAATTAGTTAAATTATATAACTGTGTACTCATACATGTAGTTCTATATGATGACAGCCGAGTCACAAGTTTGATTTTGATGTTTTAAGTAGTTCATTATTTTTGTTGCAGGTCAGAGCATTCCATGCTTCTAGTGTGCAAAATGCTGAGGCCAGACTCAAGACATTTGCTGTTTACCGATGGAATCCTGATCAACCCAACGAGAAACCATACATGAAAGAGTACAAGGTTGATCTAAACACGTAAGAATTTTAGTTATTTTATTTCTTTCTGGGAATTATATAATTTTCTAATATGATTTATAGCTGATTTTATATGTTATGTAAGCTCTTAAAATTTCTAGATACTTATCCTTGATACTAAATTTGTTTTAGTTGTGGACCTATGGTGTTGGACGCTCTGATTAAAATTAAGAATGAAATTGATCCTACTTTAACTTTCCGTCGATCTTGCCGGGAGGGTATATGTGGATCCTGTGCCATGAATATCGGTGGCACAAATACTCTCGCTTGTATTAGCAAAATTGATAGCAACTTAAACAAGGCCAGCAAGATTTACCCATTGCCCCATATGTATGTCGTGAAAGATTTAGTACCTGACATGAACAATTTCTACAATCAGTATCGTAGTATTCAACCCTGGCTTCAACGTAATGACGTCAAGGAAATTGGGCATCAGCAGTATTTGCAAAGTGTTGATGATCGTAAGAAACTGGTAAGTCTACAATGAAAAATTTATAATTTGATACATACCTTATGGATGATCATTTTTCCAACTATTAGGATGGATTATACGAATGCATCCTGTGCGCTTGCTGTAGTACTTCTTGCCCGTCATACTGGTGGAATGGAGATAAGTACTTAGGACCAGCTGTACTTATGCAGGTGAGAGATTAAATCCTGGACAGATTTGTTGTAACTGATATCAATTGGAAGTAAATTTACGATGTTGTGCAGATAATTTGAAATTTATTGAAATATTTATCTTTTTAAGCAACAATGGAGAGTTCAATTAAATGATTACAATTCTTTTAAGAAGATAGATCAGCAAACATTGAAGTACATTGAATAATTCTAAAATACAGTTACTTTTACAATATTCCTTACGATAGATATTATTTAGTCCGCAATGAGTTCACTGATTTGTCTCGTTGTTGGCAATCATAAAAATCATCGATCACTTATCGAATTTCTTTTTATCATTCAGGCATATCGATGGATTATTGACTCCAGAGATACTCAAGCAAAGGAGCGTCTTGAGAAACTTAGAGACCCTTATTCAGTTTACCGATGTCACACGATCATGAACTGCACCAAGACTTGTCCAAAGGTAACTTCTCCAGGATGGACTAATCGAATAAAATTATGTTAAAAATAAAAACGAAAAATGAATTCTTTCAGGGTTTAAATCCTGGACGAGCCATCGCTGAAATTAAGAAGCTGCTTGGCAACGTAATTGAAAAAGAAAAACCAGGTCTGAATACGACGGCCCTGCAAAATTAAAAACGGGAAGGGAGTTAGTCGCAGTTTAAAGTCTATTTAAAACCAATGAAAACCACCCAAAGCCTATCTGATGCTGTATTATTCTGTGTAATCATCAAGATGAATGAATAAACTTAAACGAAAAATAAATCATAACTAGAAAGAAGCACCTATGAATTTATAGAATTTTTCATTTTAAAGTATGCTCACTTGTACAGCTTTATGCATAGTTCGTTTCATTTAACCAGCACAATATTTTGATAATCATTTACCGCCACCTTGAATCATTACCGTTGTATTTATCTTCATTTGTATACTTCATAAAAATTTACTAAACTGTTGTGGAAAGCGTGTGTACTATTTTTTTTACTGTACTAATATTTTTTTTAAGATTAAAAGTCTGACGAATTATAGATGAAATTTCATCGTACATTGAAAGGCGGTATAAAGCCTGAGAATTTGTAATACGTAAAACATTGATATGCACCGTTATAAGAGAATTCCGTATTTAAAGAGTTATTCTTTATATCTCAAATAGAAATTAGGGTTCGGAGGCCATTCTAATACGAGCAGTTTCACGTGATCGATTGTGAACTTCAGCTGTACGCAAAGTTATTCCAAAGATGTCTTCGTGATATCTCGTTTCATCCTAAAATCATTAATTGGATTATTTTAATGGTCTTATTTTCCTTTTCTTCGCCTGTTGAAAAGTACAAAATTAAATAGTTTACCCGGAGTGACAGCATATAAGCTTCAACTTCTTTGTCAGTTAATTGACCATGCGACTGAATAATTTGTTTTAATGTTTGGTAAACATCCTCCGCCATTGTGCAATCCCCACAAACGTAAAAGTGTCCATGCTCATGTACTATCATATTATATATCTGAGAGGATTCAGCCTGTATCAAGTCCTGCACATACGTCTGCAACATAATCAATATTAAAAATATTGTTCATTATTTCATACTGTAGATATCATTGTTGTTAATTACTTTTCTGAGACCAGGTTCCCTTGATAAGGCAAGAAATACTTTATCTAATACCCCAGCCTCCATCATTTCTATTTTTTCTTCTCTGTAAAGATCCAAATCCTTTTGTCTACAACCGAAGAATAGCCAAATCTTTCCAAAACGTTGGTTGTTCTTATCTAGTGCCATTTGGGCTAGACGATGATGCCAGAATCCACGGAACGGAGCGATTCCTGTTCCTGGTCCAACTAATATCATTGGTGGCTTGGTTTCAGGTGGCATATAGAAGTTTGGTGCGCTAAAATAAATAATATTACAGAAGCAATGTAAATATTTTGGAAATCCAGACTTTATAATTCTTACGTACCTGCGTACGAAGACGTATAAAGATTCGCCATCAGAAATGTTCCGAAGATAATTCGAACAAACACCATAATGAGGAGGACCAGTTCCTCCTACAATAAGATATTTTAAAAACGTACAATTAAAATAAACTATTAATTTAATTCTATAAAGTAAGTACCTTGTGTTCTGTATTCCACTACAGCAACCGTAAGATGAATTTGTCCTTCATGAACTAGTGGAGATGAAGAAATACTATAGAATCTTGGTTGTAAAGGAGTCAAATAAAGTATAAGTAGAGAATCCAATGGTTTCACTGAAGGAAACTCTTCAAGAACTTCCAACAAATTAGGGAATTTCCAATGTCTCCAGTCTTCATAAGCAGCAGAATCCTGTTTGTCGAAGATGATTTTTAATGTTTGCTACATTCGAAAACACACTCAATACCCACTCACCGTAGCCAATTGAGTAAGACGGGTTTGTTCCTTTGGATTAGTAGCAATCGATGCAAAATATCTTAGAAGATTTGGCGTGGGTGGTGTTGTTATGTCCAAAAAACGGGTGAGCAACATTTTTAACGAGTTAGGCATATAGCGGTCATGCGGTACCCAACTCTTGACAATACCTGCAGCAGAAGAAATATATGTAAAATTAATTAATATTGTTGCAGGTAACAAATGTAAGATCTACACACCGTTTGGAGTGTGCGATTGTTTTTGCACTTGTAATTCAATAGACAAATCAGCGTCAAATGTGATTTGCAATTTATCCAATATTCCATTAACGAGTTGTGGTCGATTACAAGCAAAAACTCCTAAATGATCACCAGGTTTATAAGCAATCTCTAAACCCGCTAAGCCATCAAGTTCCAAGAGTAATGTAGCGCCACTGGAATATGACGGTTTAGAAAATGCGAGGTACCATTCAGACCGTTGAATAAAATGTATTATTTTGTACATAATTTCTACCTGGAGTCACTGCCATTTAAATAAGTTTTCTTTAGCATGCTACATGTAGTCACATTTCTATTGTGACATTTACTCAGAGCCTTGGTGATGGGCTGGGGATCAGATTCCACAAAGCGTACAGTACCTGCTGATAAAGTATCAGAACCTAATGACAAGGCGATTTCTAATGAAGTATCATCATTATCCAGACAGAATGTTTCACAGGCAACCTACAATCCATAGACCATATAAAATCCAAATAATTAAAAGATCTAATTAAATTTTATCTGTATACTAACAGCGAATGTCTCCGCTGCCCATTTTCTAAATGCCTGTTCTTGTCCGCACATTTCATCTCCTTGTGCCAAACGAAGTAGTCGCTCACCACCTAATTCTCCGAGCAAATTATCCACGTAGCGTCCAAACGCACAAAAATTTGGATACGCTGAAGAACCTAGAGCGAAAACTGCAAATCGTACATTGCTTAATGGACCAAACGTATCTTCTGTCTGGGATTCTGTGACGGAACCACGCAAAGAATCTAATCTGTCGAGTTTCTTCGAGCTTCCCATTTCCGTCTGACTGTTGGCCTTTATGAAAGATTTCGATGTGGCTAAACTTATTTTCTCGTTGTTTGTATAAGTCTCGTTCATCTTCATAGCATATAAATTTTGTGCAAATGCCTCGCCGTTCTCTGGTGGATCACCATTTCCAAAGGTGGAAGTCACTACCACAAGAAGAGCTTCGTGCTCTATGTTACTTATATCATAATCTGCCATACTCAATACCTAGAGAGAGAGAGAAAGGGAAGAGAAAGAAAGAGGGGAATATCCATCGATTACTAATTGTAATAAAAAATATTAAAGAAATCTATGAGAAATCGTAATACCTGGGAATGGAAAGCGTGACCTAGTAATGTGCCAAGTTTCTCAGCATACATTTGTGATTTTCCAGTTTCAGTACCAAAAAGAACAGTAGCCTTTATTCTACGTGACAAAGCACGGCCGAATAATTTTGAAGTAAACTTCACTGCTCTAGCTATTTGCTTGAAATGAAATTTCCTTCTTGGTGTCTTACTTGTGATTTTCTTATCACGTCCTTTCTTCCATACGTGCGTTCTCCAGGCAGGATCCTTAAAGGTTTAAGATTATTAATCAAATCTTTTCATAAGAATTAACAGAAATTTGCGTAAACTCAAGGTAAATATTACTTGAGCATCGTAGGCTGGTTTCAAATGATAAAGTGCCATTTCCTGATGGAACACCGTAGTGGCAGATCCTGAGATTGGAGGAACAATCCAAAGCCAATCAGCAGGACAACCATTTCGTAGGCGCATTTCGTTCTCATAATGTTTCATAAATGATTCTGACGCTGTATGATGGTCGACTATTGTTACATTATGCATTTGGAAACTGTAAAGCACAGCGACGTTGGCTTCTATCATTGCCTTATCTTTCCAAAGAGATATTGGAGTATGCGTATCGAGTCCCATGTATGTTGCTATTGTCTGTAAATTATTATGGCTTATTTTATAACTATTCTATTCAATGTACGGTGACAATACGTACCTCCAAAAGATTGTATCGATTAACATCACACAAATCTCTTGCTCCAATTTCTGTACTCATGTACCACCCATTAAAAGGTGCTGCAGTGAATTCTAAACCACCACAGTCAAATACCATACCAGATACCGCAGGTACAGCAAACCATTTAAGATTCATTTTCTCAAACCAATCATATCTGTAAACTCATATAGTTGAATATCTAGTTAAATATGAATAGAAGCCAAATGGCACCTTGAGAAATACTTACGTAGGGTGAGTTAAGGGCACCTCAAGTACTAACTCCGAAGGGATATCAAAATAGTCAGGGTCATGTCCATTCGCTGACAAGATTATAGGTAGAATATCGAATCTTGTTCTAGCACCACGCCATCCCAATTTCACACAAACCTTCAGTATAAATTATAATATAATAATATAACTGAATAAATGACATACAATAGAACCTTTAAGACATTTTTATACCTCAGTAAACTCCACATTGGCAGGATCACCGGTAATGGTTCCATCAGGATTTTTGTATCCTGCATATCCAATTAGCTGTTGATTCCACACTCTGTAATCGTGCTTCCCATCGGTTCTTTGAGGGAAAATCGTTATAGCTGACCTGTGGTGAGATTGTATTAATAAAAATCAATTATTATATCACCGAACACCATGATATTTCTATTTTTTATCATAGTACCTAATATTCCCCTTGTTAGTACTGTACTTAATATGATTACAAAGTGCTTCAAACATTCCACTTGTTGTAGTGACATAACGACAATCAAAAACCTGTAACTTTGACCATTGAATCCGACCAATACATCTTGCTGCATTACGCCAAGCTAATTTAGCTCCGAATACTAATTCAGTTTCAGTTAACTGGTACGTTCCTGTGCAGATAACTTCCTTTTGTACGCATTCCCAACGTGATTTATGAGCATCGCTATTAGATCTATAAAAGAGAAGCCAAATGCAAACATTTTGAGAAAGATAAAGAGTCAAATATTCATCATTCCCAACGTGATTTGTAAGTATCGCTATTAGATCTATAAAACAAAAGCCAAATCCAAACATTTTGAGAAAGATAAAGAGTCAAATATTTATCATATAAAACTGCAAATCCTGGAACCTTCTAATAGATGCAAAGTATTGTTCAAGGAAGTCCTTGGCGTGTACTAAAATCTCTTCCTTGGATCTGGGTTTCGGTCCATGAGAAGGCACGCTCATTACGCTACCCAAGCAGACTTGGCTGTTACATAGTGTTCTCTGCAAAACAATGAAATGCATGACAGCGCATAGTAATTATAAATAATTCTTGAAAGAGAATAAAGAGTTAGTCACGTTTTACTTAGAGGAAACAAATGAATACCTCAGTTATGCAATAAATAAGAAATATGAAATTAATTCAAAAATATTATTGAACGTCTTGCCCTAGTAATATCCTCTTCTACTATACCTCAGCATTTCTGGAATGCAGAGAATCAAATGCTTCAGTTTTGTAAATTAAATTTCTCAGCTTCGTTGGTTTCCGTTGACAAGGTGGCTGCTCGTGATCCTTCATCTTCACGTCGATTACGAAATTCCTCAACGAAGTTTTCCAAGCACTGACTACCTTCCTCTAGGTCTGCGTCGTTACCACTCCTTCTCGTCAGTGCACTTCACATGAGATGAAAGATGAACGTAACAAGAATGGTCCAGGTACAGGTGGGAGAGGCGCCGAGATGATATTTCACATGCGCCAAGACTCGCCATTGATTTAATGTTAAATTCTCAAAGCGCGATTCATTCAAGATACAAAATTAATTTTGTATAATGAGAATCAACAACTTTATACAGATTGTAATACAATTAATTTTAAGTAATAAAAATCTTGGAGGAAAAAAACGATCTACAATTACTGGCTCAAGATTGTAATTTTAAATTGACGCGTCCAATCGCGCCTTTCAAGAGTGTCATCTACCGTTAATTCGGTCGAAACACAATTGAATTTAAATAAGTCGTTGACGCTATATTGTCCGTTAATAAAACCGTATGTAGCGTTGAGTTTTATTTATATTAAAAAGATAATTGATAACGATTTATAAAGTTATAAGATGCCGAACGATCTACAGAAACGTAAAGTTGCTGTTGCGTCAACCAGTGCCGATTGTTCTCCTTCCAAAGTGCCAAAATCTGGAGAATCTCAAAATCTCAGTCATGCTAGAAATCATTCTCAAATTTATGACGTTTCTACGGAAAGATTAATAGATAAATGGCTGATAGCCTCGCAGGGAAATGCTTTGATATCGCGTGAGGTAATAAAACGTATTTTGCCTTATTGGTATAGAGATTAGAGACCCTTATTGCAGGAGGAAAGACCATCTGCACATTTTTTGTTTAGGTACAAGGTAAAAAAGAATTAATAGAGGCTGAACAAAAATGCAAGGAGGCTGAAGAAAAGATACAATTATTAACGAAGGAACTTTCCGTCACTAAAGGAAGGACGACCTCGCTCTCTGCTGCATTTAAGAGAGAAGAAGAAATAAAAAATGAACTTGCCAATAAGTAAAATTGACTTGACTGTTATTGCTTTAGATTTTTCTTAACGATCTTTTCTTTGTTTCAGACTCACTGCTACGTGGGAAATGATACCCAGTATAACGGAACATGCAAATTCATTGACGGAAACGTTAAAGAATTGCGAACAGCAAGTTGATCAATTATCTAATGTTTACGACAATGTTATAGCAAAGAATTTGGAAGTTATAAAGTATCTTCGTAAAGAAATTAATGATGTCCATATAAAGACTAAGGTGAAAGAAAATTAATAAGAATATTCAATATTATATTTTAGAAATAAGAAAGGAAAATATTCATAGCTAGTAAAAGCTTCAATCCCATGCAGGTTGAAAAAATGAATGCTGAAAATTTGATTCGAGTTAAGGAAACTGATATAATCGAGTTAAAAATGAAATTCGGAAATTTTGAAGAAGAAATTTCACGAGAAAAAGAAACTGCTTCAAATGCGTTGAACGAATTGCGGACTGTAGAGAAAAGGTGAGTCTCTCGTTTTTTAAAATAATACTGAAAATCGTAATTTTCGTTAAAAAGTATTGCTGATAAATTATTTTTCTAAGGTTACTGGATGTGAATACAGAGAAGAGGATGCTGCAAGAAATTGTAGAGAATCTAAAAGATTCGTGGAAATTGGAAAAAGAATCACTAATCGCGGTAATAAATATTTGGACATTGTAAAGTATAGATGACAAATAATGTATTTCTGCCATTGTTGTAGGAATCTATAGAAAAGCAAAAGGAATTGACAGCTACCAAGCAAGATTACGATAAGCTATGGTCATCGTTCAAGACCTTAGAAGAAGAATCCAGAAAATTAGCACAGAGGGAAGAACAACTGAAACTGGAGTTGTGTTCAAAGGAGGAAGAGGTATCATGTATTCTTATAGATTATTGAAGGATGACTTTAATATTACCATGATCTTTCAAAAAACAGTACCAGAAGACATTGTACAATTTACAATCGGTGGAACAAAAATGGAAAGAGTACGAAAAACGTTTTGAAGAATTCCTAGAGAAAATAAAAGAATTAGAAAGCAAAGAACTGGATTCGGCCAATATAACAGAGAAACTTAAGGACGAAATAAATGACTTGAAAAGGCAATTAGAAACGTTGCAGGAAGAGAAGGTGAAATATGAGTCAGAGAGTCATGTGAAAATTCAAGAAACGATCAAGTCCTACAAACATCTTCACGAGATTCTTGAACAAGATTTAATAATACAAAAAGAAAAACATGAAGCCTGTTTAAAAGAGAAACAGAGAATACAGTCGTTACACAGCGCAGAATTATCAAAACTGCAGTCGGCGTTGAGTGAATCCAAGTGCGAATATGAAAAACTTAATGAAAAATATTACTTCATTCAGAAGAATAATGAGGATCTTCAAAATAAAATAAAAAAGATCTCCGAAACTCAAAAAATAGAAAAACTTGAATCACAAACTGAACTTAAAGTTAAGATACAGGAATACATGGAAAAGGAAATCGTATATAGGAATAAAATAAAAGAATTAGAAAATAAGTGTGAAAATATTAAAATCTCCACTAATGTGGAACCTACGGTGAGAATCGAGGTAATATAAAATTATTGATTTTCTGGACCAAACCTCATCGAACATAAATTAATAATTTTATTCTTCCATCAGAAACTGCCGCAAACTCCAGTTTTTAAAAGTAACGTAGTCCAATCAACCAAGCACGTTAGATTTGACTTCGAATTATCTTCTGATACCAGTTCTGTTGATGTTGAATCAGTGGTACGTAATGAAATAATGACTTTTAAGTAAAGTTAAAAATATTCGTTAATTTGTTTTATTTCCCCTTTTCGTCTATAGTTTCCCAGCAGTGAAACACGTTTCGAAAATTTGTTAAAGGCTACTGAGAGCCCACCGAAACAACCAACCAAGAATACATCGAGAAAATTTTTTAAGCGAAATACCAAGTCTTCTCCGACTAGCAAACGTTAAAAACTATATTAATAATAAACAATGCAATATGTATTAGAACAATATAAGGATTTTATCACGCACTAATGTATTTCTTCATATATCACATCAGTCGTTCATTCTTTCAAATATATATTAACAAAAAATCACTTGCAGTGATTTACTCTATGATTACAATAAGTTGTTTACCTGAATAAAGGTTTCATTTATTTGACCATTTCCATAAATTTGCAAATCAGTCTTTTACGTAATACATATTCTTCCCTTAAATAATTGGAAGATAACAATTAAAATGATAAACTCTCATTTCCAATAATAAATTTTGCACTTACATTCTTTTCTCTTGGAAAAATTAATATTGCACGATTTTTGGACCCGTTAGAAACCCTATACCCTACTAAAATATAATATAAGACTAATACCTAGATATTATATCTAATGTAAAAGTTTTAAAGACCGTAATTTGCGGTTGTCTATAAGGTGAGATTTCTTATTGTTTAGTTGTCATCTACTAAGCTTGTCGAACAATCCCACTTCATCGACCGTTCCACGGCCATTTTCCATTTAGAATAACGAAGGTCCCTTTCTGTAATGTACAATTAAAACAAAGAAACAATTAACCTAAGGCTCTGGCTCTTTTACGATTGTTCGACAAACACTGGTGGATTAATTATCAAACACTTCACTCATAATTAATTAACTTACCATCTTCGCCAATTTGAGGGGTGAAGGTTGTTATTTGGTCTGCCGTAATTTCATTGATATCGATCAGACTTGCTCCAATTCCAGCCAAAATAGCAGCACCCAGTGCAGTAGTTTCTACCATGTTGGGTCTCACTGAATTTGATAATAAAAAAGGACGATTAGAGGCAATTTTAATGTCTATTCCATGAACTTTATCATACACTTACCAACGGCAATTCCAGTTAAATCCGCTTGCAACTGCATCAGAAGATTATTGACAGTCATTCCACCATCAACTTGAAGAGTCATTAGTTTCGTGCCTGAATCCTTGACCATTGCTTCAAGAATATCCCTTGTTTGGAAACACACAGCTTCCAAGGCTGCTCTGATAATATGATATTGTTGTGTGTCTTCTGTGATTCCACAAATTACTCTAAAGATTACAAATTTTTTTTTTTTATTGAATTAAAGAATATTTGACATCTATTTCAAACTTATCAATGAGCTAGCACATTTTACCCGCGAGCATCTTGCTGCCAGTAGGGAGCGTATAGACCAGAAAATGCTGGGACAAAGTATACATCCCCGGAACATCGCACACGTTCTGCGAGATCCTGAGTTTGAGTGATGTTACTCATTAGCTGTATATTGTCACGAAGCCAAGACAGTGCAGCACCAGCTACTGCAACTGATCCTTCAAGAGCATAGACTGCTGGCGAGGTGCCAATCTTGTACCCAACGGTAGTGATAAGGCCTTGGGATGAGTCCACTTTCTGTAATAGAATGATTAATTAAAAACAAATATTTTATAAGGTAATCTATATAATGATATTAAAAATTTACCCTGTGTCCTGTATTGTACAAAAGAAAACAGCCAGTACCATAAGTAGCCTTCGCTTGACCTGCTTTTAGGCATAACTGACCTAAAAGAGCTCCTTGCTGATCACCAATACACTGAAAATGATAATAAATATAAATATATTTATATGTATGTACATATGTGTTACATACTTACTCCTGCTATGGGAATTCCTGCCAGAACTGATGGATTCGAAATTTCAGCATACATTTCGGAACTGGAACGTATCTCAGGAAGCATATCTTGGGAGACACCAAAGAAACGGCAAAGCAAAGGATCCCATTTCAATGTCTCGATGTTCATTAGCATTGTCCTTGAAGCATTAGAAACGTCAGTAACATGAAGTTTTCCTCGAGTAAGATTCTGAAAAATTCCAAGAATGTATTTAGATATTGCATGACCAACAAAAATTAATGTTACTTATATATTTACCCAAATTAACCAAGTATCGACTGTTCCAAATGCACAACGTCCAGCATCCACAGCTTGTTTTACCTTGGGAACATTATCGATTAGCCATCGAATTTTTAAAGCACTGAAGTAAGGAGATAAAGGAAGTCCACAAAGTGGCTTGAGATAATTTTTGTTCCTGGTTTTATTTGGAATACTATCCAAAATGTCTTCCAGGGTAGTGGTCGTGCGCATATCCAGCCAAACTGTATGAATGTAATTAACATGAAAGAATAATTTGTCATCGAATAACAAATATACAACTCTGTGGAATCTGAATATTATACCAATTGCATTGTGTAACGGTTCTCCTGTACTCTTGTCCCATACCAAAGTAGTCTCCCGCTGATTAGTAATTCCAATAGCTTTTATATCTGATTTATCGAAACCCAAGGCTTTTAATTTTTCTAGTGTTTTGTTGATACACTCTATAACAGCTTCCAATATTTCTTTGGGGTCTTGTTCAACCCATCCTTCTTGTGGATACTTTTGCTTTATCTCAATTTGATGTGCTGCCACTACTTCTCTCCGGAATACATTAAAGACCTAATGAAAATACAAATATATATTGTCAGAAGACATATAATCCAATCACAAAACATGGACTTAACAGAAATTGTTTATCAGATAAAATCTATTCTTACACATACATTTTAGGATAACCGATGAAGACCTTGCTTCGACATGTATAAATACAGAGAGATATGTGAAAAGATCATACAGATATTGAAAGCATATGAAGAGTGAAATGATACCAAACAGAAAGAAGTTAAAACCTAATACATCCTTATATAGAATTACAAAACACATAGTCCATTAGCATTTTAATGAGCATAAATGAAATTTGAATATACATTTCTAGGACTGTTGATTAATTAACAATAAACATTTTACAGACCAATTATAAGATCTATAAGAATAAATAATATAAATAATAAACTATTAATTAAATCATACTAATAAATATGCGTAATTGGCACTCTAAATAGTATATAAAAAATAAACAATATGAAATCCTAAAAGATTCAGTGTCAAATGTCTTACATTTGACAATTTAAGATATTTACTTCCATTTAGAAAATTAGTCAACTTTTAGAGTAAGTGCTTTAAATCTAAAAATAGACGTATAACAAAAGACAAATTTACGCCATAATATTATTCTTAGTCTTCAGTGTCAATAGAGTTCAATTGTTACAAATGATAAAACTAAACTAAAAATCAATTAAATTAATCAATTAATTATTATGAGTTTTTTACGACTTACCAAAAATCGAGCACTGCTCGTGCCTTCATCTATTGCTCCAACAAGAAGTCCAGGACGATCAACGTTTTCTGGCATCTTTTTTGATTATTGCTTCTTCAGCAGTTACTCGTGTCAAACAGACCAGTCTGTTATTCCTTGAAAAATGACCTACGGCTAACCTTGTTTTTGTATCAGACATCATTACGTAATTGGAAAAAAAATGTTTGCCTAATGACCGATTTTTTATCTTTAGGCAAACCCACTCCCCCAAACCTTTGGAATCATTAAACGCTGACATTCTAAAGGAAAAGATCTTCCTACAAAACAGATAGTTAAGGATAAACATCGCTAAAGTACTAAATGAAAAATACAAATGTTACACGATGCCAATATTAATATTATTAACGTATTAAAATAAAATATTAACGTATTAAAATTAAAAAAAAAAGAAAACACGTGGCGTTGACGCATAGTGTGAATAACAATTGCTTCCGACCATCTTCATTCATAGAACAGAAGATACAGCACTTATGAACAAACTTTAAGAAGGAATTGAATTTTGGACATGAATTCGAAAACTATAAGAATAAAACTAAAAAAATATTCAATAAGAATATTTAAATCGATCACCACATAGTAGTTATAACTAAATAATGACAGACAATTACATTATCAAATAAGACCGTAAATTAAATAAATAATAATCGACCTGTGAACCAGGCTTTAAGTCACAAATTCCCGCATACTTTAGATCACACATAACTTTTCGTATTATTTATTGCTACATTGTTTTTTATGATTATCACTTTACTCTAAATACTTTTAATTTTGGTATTAAACAAAGTATTTGCCTCACGATAAAAAACTAATTGCAGTAAAAGATCCCTAGTAACACTAGATTCGTCCACGTTCGGAAAAGTCTCTAGAGTGCACAGTGACTTTTTCCCGAGAACAGAACATTAGTCTCATTTCACTTTGCGTTGCCGGTAAGGAAAGTTGGAGATTTTATACCTCGCGAATGCACGTTTTCACGTCCACTCATTCGGATAATTTAATTAAATACAAGAGCTACGCACACGTATCATTGCTCGAAATATAAAACGGTGACATTTTGTGATGTTCCAGGTAGATCGTTGGTAAGCTGGCGACACAATAAGTGTTTATTACTTGGCCGGATTTCTGTATTACGGTAGAGTGAGTATCTTCTCTCATTCCATTTTTTCTCCTCGCTTCTCTTCTTCACTTATCTCTGTCTTCCTTAGATGACTAAAAGTCCTGCGCTACACCATTTCTTCGTCCATCGACCTATACGTCCACTTTGCGAGTCCTTCCAATCCAACTTTATGATAATATTTAAGTTTTTCAACATTTTTACAATTCGAGAAAAGAGGTTACCGATCTCGTGACGTGTCAAGCCAATTCACCATTCCATATGGTGGTCACTGCCTGGTCATTGACATGCTGGCATTTAACTTGATTTCATTTCACCATTTTCGATTCAATTTGTAACCACCATTTCGATTACAAAGTTCCATGATAAAGAAGATAAATATTGCGACATATTCTGACTGATTTAAATCTCAGAGATTATGATAGATCTGAGAAGTATCTTTCATGTTCTTTAAACATATTCCAACAGGCAAGGGGTGTGTCGAATATCACGTCCCGGTTTTTTGGACCAATTTTGAATATTCGCTATTTTCAATCGTGGGTAAATTCTATTTTAATGTAATATTCACGTGAGGGTCGTTTTTCAGCAATTATAGAATATATGGGTGTTATTCATAGAGTAAATATGCCTTGAGAATTTTCTTGATTTCTCTTTAATGTGATACTTTGCTGCAAGAGATATTCCATTTGAAAATCTGCGTTTTAATAATTTTGTATGTCCCCTTGTGTGCTGTTAATTACCTATATCAATATACATTGCAATATTAATTGTTTATGACATAAACGTTAAGGCGAGTGTTACTCTTATTTTTTAAATATCTCAATCAATTGAAAACTTACTGTTGGTGAATTTTTATGAATATCAAATTGCTAAAAAACCTTCAATTTATTTAGAAATTAAATTCATCTACTTGTCAAAACAAAATAATTAATTGTAAGGGAACAAGAATTATATCATCTGTTTGGTACAACATTTATGGAAAAATTTGAACTGAGATATTTTAAAAACAGTATAAAAATTATACTTTACACTAATGTAGTTGTTAAGAAAATGAAATACTATAAAAATCAGATCATGAACATTAATTACATAACATAGTTACTTACCTGTTTAGCAAACTATGAATAATTTGGTGCACTTATCACAGAGGCTCTTGCGGTTGTTGAATATCGGGGTTATAGAGATAAGAGCCAATATTTTTTCAGTTTGAGCACTTCCTTAAAAAACTGAATAATTCAGGCATATAATAAAACTAAATACAGTTGTTATAGTAATAATATTTGTTACATATATTTGCTTTTTACTTATAATTTCCAAAAAAAAACTCAACTGTGCAAAGCCTTGTATACTGCATATTATTCGTTGAAAAGTTCATCCAGACAACTTGTATTACTGGTAAAGAACATGTGAAAAGCCACAAATACAAGATATCACTGCCAGGTGATAATGATTAAGTTAAAGAAGATATTTCGTTTTTTATTACAGTGCTACTGTAAAGACTTGGCACGAAACAGGACAATCCCCCCAAAATGCAGCAGCAACCAGTAATGGAAGAGGGAACGGCGTACGAGCCACCCACTTATGACGAGACATTCCCGCTCCTTCCTGGATCGACAAGTCCGATATCGAGCAGCTCAAGTCCCTTGTCGAATATGAACAATAGTATGCGAGTCGGTTGTTCGGTAATTACCCAGGTGTTCCGAGTACCCGTGGAGGAGCGGAAGTTTGATCACAGTGATAAATTTGGCGAGGGTGAATCTGTGAGGACTTGCCAGGTGATCACGAAAGAGACAGGAGCCCATATTGAGATATCATCATCGAAGGATCAATCCTTGACATTCTTACTTACCGGAAAGCAAAATCAGGTCCTCGAGGCGCGCAGGCGCATCTTGACTACCTTTCAGACACAGGCGAGCAAGAAGATCAACATCCCTAAGGATCATCATGGTTGGATCCTTGGAAGGCAGGGACAGAGACTTAAGGATCTTGAGGCGAATACTGCGACCAAGATCAATGTTCCTTCTTTCCACGAGCAATCAGATATTATCACGATAACTGGTACCAAGGAAGGTATCGAGAAGGCTGAACATGAAATTCGTGTTATATCTGATGAACAGGTTATTCATTGAATCAGTACAGTCATGAGAAAGAATTTCTATAAGGATATATTCATTATTTATATCATATTAATTTCAGTCGCGGAAAGGTTTTGAGAGAATAGAAGTGCCAAAAATCTATCATCCATTTATCTATGGTGCTCATAATAAAAATTTGAATGCAATGATCGAGGAGACTGGAGCAAGGATCAATATTCCTCCGCCATCTGTCCATAAGGATGAAATTACTATTGCTGGGGAGAAAGAAGGTGTTCTTGCTGCTAAACAGAAAATCGAAGCTATTTACAAAGATATGGTATGCATTTAATAGATATTCAATATCGTATCACCTTACCTACCGAAACTGTATCTTTGATATCTTAAGGACACGCTTAACCCTTATTGATTTTTCATTAACTCTACCCTTCATTCTTTAACTTTACAATGACTCTAGGCGGAAAGATGTACTACGGTCTCTGTAGAAGTTCGTAAATCTCAGCATAAGCATGTCGTTGGACCAAGAAACAGTACCATTGCAGAAATTTTGCAATTGACTGGAGTCAGCGTGGAAATGCCTGCACCAGATTCCGCAACGGGAACCATTACGCTCCGAGGACCCCATGATAAACTTGGACTTGGTAATAAATAAATTCAACAATACTTTAGCTCAATTGTTTACATTAAATACAAGAAAAATATATTATTTTGATTTTATTGTTCTTCAGCATTGAGTATGGTTTATGAGAAAGCTAATAGTGTTCGCACTGCTGTCGTGGAAGCTCCTGCTTGGATTCATAAATACATTATTGGTCGTAAGGGTGCCAATATTAAGAAAATCACTCAGGATCTAACTAAGGTGAATGTTGAGTTTACTGTAAAGGAGGACAAGATTAAAATCGAAGGACCACCGGAGGAGGTTGAGAAAGCTCAAAGCGAGATTCAATTGATGGCACAAGATCTCATCTCGAAATTAACTTTTGCTGAGCTCAATGTCGATCCTAAATATTACAAACATATTACTGGAAAGAATCGTAGTAATAGTAAGTGTCTGTTTCGATATTTCAAAATATTAGTTATATTTGCTGAATCCCCAAATCAAACAAGTAATTCTCTTTATAGTGAATCGTTTGAAGGAGGAAACTAGTGTAATAATTGCTATCTCTGAAGTTGATGGAAATAATGTTATTCGTATTGAAGGAAACCATGCGGGTGTTACTAGAGTAAAGGAGGTGAGTCAGAGACGTGAATAATAAATAATTTAATATAATAAGAGCATATATAAGTATTGGATGTTTCTCTGTAGGAACTTACGGAAATGGTCAAGAAACTGGAGAACGAAAAAGAAATTGATGTGATCATCGATCATCGTCATTATCCAAGTATAATTGGTAGCAAGGGAGAGAAAATCAAAGAAATCAAGGACAAATATAATCAGGTTCAAATTATCATTCCTGGACCAGGTAAATATTAATCTTGACAATTAATCCAAGGTCTAGTTGTTGCTGAATTGCTGATGAATAATATACTTTTTTTTTTTTTGTTATCAGAGGAGAAATGTGACGTAGTCAAGATTCGTGGACCTAAAGAAGATGTTGATAAGTGTCATCAGCATCTTAAGAAACTCGTGAAGAAATTAAATGAGAACAGTTACGTCCTGGAAGTTCCTATCTTCAAGCAGTTCCATAAATTCGTAATTGGCAAGGGTGGTGCGAATATTCGTAAAATTCGCGAGGAAACTCAAACCAAAATCGAATTGCCTGCTGAAGGTGAGCAGAGTGATGTAATCACAATTACTGGCAAGAAGGAAAACGTTGAGGAAGCCAAAGAAAAGATAAAGAAAATCCAAGACGAGCAGGTAAGTCGTCTTTTTTTAAAGGATGAAAATAGAGTTTTTGCATTTTATTATTTTCGTTTATTCTAATTATTGTTTGGCAAAATTAGGCTAATATCACTAGTGAGGAGATTGTGATTCCTCCGAAATTCTATAATTCGCTTATCGGCACTGGTGGCAAATTAATTCAGTCCATTAAGGAGGATTGCGGTGGTGTTATTATCAAGTTCCCCACAGCTGCGAGTCAGAGTGACAAAGTAATGACACATTCAAATGATTCATTAAATTACTTGAGAGATTGTTTTATACAATGTTTATTTTATTATTAGGTAACTATAATGGGTCCTAAGGACGACGTGGAGAAAGCTAAGCAGTTGCTCCTGGAGCATCGCAATGAAAAACAATTGTCCAGTTTCTCCGCAACAGTTCGTGCCAAAGCGCAGCATCACAAATTCCTTATTGGAAAGAATGGAGCTAATATCAAAAAGGTAATTGAATAGTTAAATTAAAATTAGGATAGTCTGACAAAGTTTTTATCGTGTTTCAGATAAGAGAATCTACAGGAGCCAGAATTATTTTCCCTACTGAACAGGATGAGGATAAGGAGATAATCACTATCATTGGAAAGGAAGATGCTGTCGAGAAAGCAAAAGCTGAACTAGAAGCTACTATCGAAGAGATTGTAAGTTTTATGAAGTAAATTTTACTGCAGTTGAACAGGCTATTAATTGTTGGGATTTAATTATTCTTTAAATTTCCCAGGACAACATTACAGAGGGAGAGATAAGCATCGATCCGAAGCATCATAAGCATTTTGTAGCTCGACGTGGTGGAATTCTTCATCGGATCGCCGACGAATGTGGTGGCGTGCAGATTTCATTCCCAAGAGCAGGTGTCGACAGTGACCGGGTTGTCCTTAAGGGTGCTCATGATTGCATAGAAGCTGCAAAGCAACGAATGCGTGATATTGTCCAAGAGTTGGTTAGTTTCCTTATATAGGATCAAGTAGACAAAATCAAGCAGAAACATAGCATAAAGTAAAATAATTTTTAGGAATCCATGGTAACAATAGAATGCATCATACCACAAAAACATCATCGTACAGTGATGGGATCAAAAGGTTGCAAAGTGCAAACCATCACGTCTGATTTTGACGTTCAAATTAAATTCCCAGACCGTGACATTCAAGGTGAGATATTTCTTCATATCTCTTCAAAATAATTATAATTTTCAGGAATCTCGGAAAAAACCATTTTGCTTATTTCAGATGAACACAGACCCGAGGAACAAGTTAACGGAGAAAACGGAGAAGTCCTCGAGACCGTTCCTGCCTGCGATGTAATTCGTATTACGGGCCAGCCTGAAAATGCAGCAGCCGCAAAGCAGGCTCTGCTTGATCTTGTACCGATCACGATCGAAGTTGAAGTGCCATTTGATCTTCATCGATCAATCATTGGACAAAGAGGACGTGACGTACGAGAACTCATGGAAACGCATGACGTGCATATTATGCTATCGCCTGCTGAGCAAAAGCTCGACTACATTAAGGCAAGATTCTTTCGATATTATAATTTGATATCAAATTGATATTATATATAACATTCGCTTTTATTATTTATAGATTTCCGGTACGCCTTCTTGTGTGGAGAGCGCAAAGGAAGCGATCCTGGAAAGATGCAAAGTCCTAGAAGCAGGACGTCAAGAAAGGGCACTTAAATCCTTCGAATTAAAGGCAAGTATAATTTTACTTAATTACTTTGTAAAATTCATTAAGTCTCTTTATTCTATACTCCCGTTACAGATCGAAGTCGATCCAGAGTATCATCCAAAGATTATAGGTCGCAAGGGTGCAGTGATCACTAAGATACGCACGGCTCACGATGTACAGATTAATTTTCCTCGTAAGGGTGACCCTGATCAGCATATAATAAAGATCGTTGGCTACGAGAAGAATGCTCACGACGCCAAGGAAGATATTTTAAAGATTGTTAACGAGCTGGTAGGTCTGAATTATCAAGAAGAACAACAAAGAAATATAAATAGAAAATATTCCATGTCTGCCTGCGTAATCCCAAATACAAATACAAGAATCCAAACATGTTTGCTCTTACAGGATGAGCTAACAAGAGAAGAAGTATCTATTGAGGCCGAAGTACACTCAAGATTAATCGGAGCCAGAGGTCGCAACATCCGTCGAATAATGGATGAGTTCAAGGTCGACATTAAATTCCCACGTAAAACCGACGCCGATCCCAACATTGTCACGATCATCGGAGCTGAGGAAAATGTCGCAGATGCCAAAGACTGGCTACTTACCCTCGCGGAGGAATACGTAAGTAGATCAATTTCCCCAGTTGTCAACCTCTTAAAAAATTGCGTCAACAATCACTCAATTCTAATGAATAAACAGATGCAAGACGTCCTGGACAATGTGTCACGCAACAATTTCCGTGCCCCGCAACGCGAGGAAACGCCTCTGGGAGGTTCTGAGAGTGACTCAGGATTTGTAGTCAAGGGTGGTCCTTGGGAGCAACAGCAACGTACCGCCCCGAACACGGCGAGCGTTGAAGAGTTTCCATCGATCGTCGGTTTCGCTGCTCCAGTCGCAGCATCCACCCCGGACGGTCCGTGGGGTGTGAAACGATAAATATGCCATTACCAGTTTATCAATAACGATGGAACACGTAAAGGTATTCTAACAAGGTAACTTTCCTCTGACAAACGATAAAGAAAAAGAAAAAAAAAGAAAAAAAGATGAAAAAGAAAAGTTGAAAAAAAAAAGAAAAAGAAGAAGAGAAGAAAGAAAAATAAGCAACCCTCGACGTATGCCTGTATATATATATATATATATGTTTATCGATGATAAATATATAGGCATATATAATATTATAACATTGGGGACTCGACAATGATTCCCTGCTCCATTACTGACGCTGCTGCATATCGACCTGGCCACTCTCTTTGGACTTTGACGCTGTTTTTGCTCCCCGTACACACGAATGACAATGTTTATACTTACAGTTATAAAATGAAAAGGAACCGATGTCACCGTGTATCTGTAACTGTAACGCATAGCATCGCATCGTATCGGATTTGTAATCGTAATCGTGTGTAATGTTCGTATTCGTTTTATGTTTTGCGTCGATCGAGTGATCGATCGGATCAGTTCGATAACGAAATACCGAAAGCGGAAAAAAGAAAAGAAAGGAAAAGAGATGAGACGAGCATGAGGCGCACGCAACGCCACAATGTCGTTTATCCATTTTCTAGACATTTTTTTTAAATTATTATTTGCTTTCCTTTCACTTGTCAGTCAATACGTTTCACATGCCCTTCAGGTACAGATATATTGTACTTAAGACTGTGGCTTCGTAGGTGATAATCCTTTTTTTTCTCTCTCGTGTATTGTGTATTATATATTCAAATCTAGATACCGCGTAGACCGCATAATGTTTTCTCTCGTTTTCCTTTTTTTTTTTGTTTATTTATTTATAACTCTTGTATATAAATTGCATTTTGTTTGTTTTTTGCTCTCAAGTGCTCGCGCGCGTTTGTTCTGCCTCTACCCTCCCCCTTGTACCCCTCGCGTACTAAACCCTCTCAAACTCTGCGCTAAACCCCATAAGACCCCCCCCCCCTGTCCCTTGATTCTATGGTAGGGAAAATCACGACAGGCAATGATATTCCTTTTTTATTCTGCTTGGGAGGAGGTCAGCAACTGGGTTAATCATTTGTTCTGAAAGATCATTTCAAACGACGAATGTTAACGAGGGGGAAACTATAGAAGCAGAATCAGAATATAGAAATGATATAGAAAAGCAAAAAAAGATATATCCCAGTCTACTGTCCTGAATTCCTTTGTTCCCATCGTCTTTGGGTTTGTCTTTTTTTTTTAAATTGTGCTTATCAAAACGAATCCTTTATTTGGTATGCGTACGTTTAATGGTAGTTTCATCGAGGGAGATCGTACCTCTACTCCTCCCCTGACTCCCCTCCTACTCCCCCCCGGCCGCCAATCCGGGTTTAACTTATACGATTAATATCATGAAGAATTAGGGACACGGGTTTATCTTATATCTCTTATTATTTATTCCTCTTGTTTGTCGGTGTATAACAAACAATGTGCAAGTACGTGCATTTCAACACTGTTTGCGAGGCCAACTAGTTAAGAGGTGAAATAAAAAAAAATGAAGAAAGTGGGAAAAGAAGAGAGAGAGACGAAGGAATGAAAGGGTAAAACATGATGAATGATTAAATGAATTGAGGCGAAGGAACGAACGATTGAAACGACTATAGAATGAAAAGGAAATACTATTCGGTTCAAAGTGCCTTGTCTATTTTCTTTGAGACAGCTCATTTTCAATTGTTGGAGGAATGTGAATACTAGATTTATGTATATGATATTGATAATAACTATATATATATGAATTTATAGATTATATTATTAATTGTGCAACGACGGCTGCCGGCGTTCGTCGCCAATTTGTAGGCGAGGTTCGCGCGGGAATGCCGTCGCCACGGATTCAATTCCGTGAAGTAAATGAAGGAAACTATTATATATCGTGCGAACATAAGCAAGAGAGGAAAAGGCGAAGTAATAATAATAATAAAGAAAAAAAGAATTGAGAGATTTAAAGGGAGGAATACACAATAGCGTTTATCAGGTATACAGATAAAATGTTCACTTATATTTTTTAGATTTACAGCAATTTTTATAAGCCTACTTGGTACGACGACCTACATGTTAATCCCGTGCATGGTTTATTGTATAATGGATATGCGAGCCAGAACTATCCATAAGGTGTTTTGAGAAATATTGCGCTCTTCTTTCGGCCAAAAATCTCATATAGGAATACGCTATGCAACTAAGTACGTATATCCATATTACTCCTAGGCCTTGTTCCGCGTTCGTACGAGCCCCTATTAAACAATGCCAAGGGTTGAAGAGAGAAATAGAAAGAAAAAAGAAATCAATTCCATATCCTAGAACGTCCCCACGTCCCTTTGACCCTGCCCGCCACGTTAAATTTATTCCCAATGTCACGGCAGCCGCAACCTAATTTTTCTAATGAGTTATTATTCTAACGAGTAATACAAAAAATATTGTAATTATAGAATTACTATCCTCTGTACACTTAAGAGAACAATGTCATAATACAAGAAATTCTATCATAATAATATAATTGTGTCAAATATTTGTCTACACTTATTAGTCTGTTAGAAAAAAAAAATTATTAATTTATGATTTTCCGTATTACGTAGAAATGTCAAAGAAGATTTCTTAGGTTTGATTTTTTAAGCTGATGGATAAAGCCATCGTTTGGCTTTATGCTGCTTCGAACATCTTTCACTATTTTATATGCACCTTCGTATGATAAGTCATTTGTAGCCATTAAGTAGGCAATTACTATTGTAGAGGATCGAGAAATGCCTGCATTACAATGAACTAGTATATTTTCATGTAGAGTTTTGTGAATTATGGAAATGCATAGTTTTATCGAATCCAGAATATTGAAGTCTGGTAAATCCAGCATGTCGATGTAATGATAATTGATATCTTGAAACTTTACTGATGGTTCTATACCGAGGCTTAAAACATGCTTTATGGCATGTTCTTTTAGTATTTCTAAATTCGCTACTGGGTCCTGGGAACTAAGGAATAGTCCAGGAATAATTTTTGCAATTTGTAAATCAGGTTTAGTGTCAATGATAAAGGGCAAAACTTGATCGATTTTTATCCTTTGACCATTGACTATTTCATATTTCTCACCAGTTTGATCGGTTATTACAGTTTTGCAAGGTTTAAGGCGCTTCTTCTTTTGTTTGATTAATTCCTGAAGATACATTTTTCAGATACGTCATACCAATGCAGGTATTACTTAATATTACTAACTTATTTTTACAGCTCTTTCGGTTTATTAAATTTAGTTAACTTGACCAAGTGAATCACATAACGTAGCTACACCATAGTACTTAGCTTTCTATGGTGTTACTAATGCACAGACTCTACTAGATTATTTTTTAAATTTATTTTTCTATTCCTTTACTCTATTTCATTGTCCAAATCTACTACAGCACAATTCTCTGGCACTATAGTGCAACGTTTTAATTCCTCTGGATCATACTCCACGTCCGCCAGATACAGTCCACACGCAGGCACTGCTGTAGCACGAGGATTCCAATTTTTGTAGTTTGGTACTTGTACCATTGTTCGCAGATCCTTTTCTGTTATTCGACCTCTTGCCACAGCAAACAATGCACCAACCATTCGACGAACCTGCATGAGAATAAAATGTTATATTAAAATACAGGGCTTACATATTTTATATGCATTTTATTCTAAGAGGAAAACACTTACTTGATTGTACAAAAAAGATTTGCCGTTGACTTTTAAATGATAATAATGGAAATTGTCTACAAATGGACCATCTAATATTAATGGTGCTGATTTTTCAAGCTTGAAATAATTCAAAGTTCGCACGTAACGAATTGGTTTCCGCGATTTTTTGTTTGGAGTAAATGTCTGAAAATCTTTGCGTCCCTTGAACACATCAAGGGCCTTTTGTAACTTTTCTACGTCAAAATCACTGCTTCTGAAAATAATATATATTAATGAGACGTTTTACACATTCTGTAATAATTACAAAAGAATTAATCAATTCTTACCCAATGTGAAATGAACGATCAAGTTCACTTATAGGGAAGCTATTCGATCCAGGTAATTTGTCGACTAAAAATCGGTAAATATAGGTACGCGATTTTGCACAATGCCTTGCATGAAACTCGTGCGTAACAGGTACACAAGATGTAATCCTACAAAAGTGAAGATGCTGAATCATTTTAAATATAGTTATAAATTACACATCGCATCAATACCTAATATCATGACCACAGCGTGTAAAGTATCGATTAGCCCATCTGATCAAGCTGGAAGAATCGTACATTACATCATACTTATTTTGCAACTCAACGTGAGCACTAGAATGCAGCGCATGAACTCCAGCATCAGTTCTATAAAAAATTGTATGTATTCACAGATGATCAAATAAAAAAACCTGACAGAACGTACTCAATTAATATAAAAACACCTGCTAGACACTGTAAGGAAAGGAGGATTTATACTTGCAGGAACAAGTCTTGAAAGAGCAGCCTCTATCGCACCTTGAATGAAATCCACTTGATTAACGTTCTCTCCGATACCATGTTTTTGCATTCCTCTGAAAATGTTAACCCGACATCATTGAATTTTACGTAATCATAGAGTTATTACTAGAAATTATGAATTCTCTCTTAAAATTGCAAATATACCTGTAACGAGTACCAATGTAAGACATGGTCAAAAAGTATCGCACCATTTTTATGTAAAATAACAGACAATAATAATGAATATCTTATATTTGATTTCTATAATAGTTTAGAAGCACATTAACTATTCGGTTTAGATTCTCTATAAATTAAGTCAACACGAATTCTAATACCGGCAATCCGGATAATCCACAGCATTATTGGTTGTTGTTGGTTATGGATACATAACCATACATAACCCACATGCGAAATGGGATAATAGCAAAGATACTAGAAAAAGTGGAGCCAACATTGTAAAACTGCACGTCCGCAGGTCTGGTGAGTAGACTGAAGATGTATATACCAATGTAACCCAATATTTTCTGGAGTAGGTAATATAGTTTCTACGTGCATCTTTATTGTTGCTTTATCAGTATGGAATTATGAACACTCATAAAAAGAACCATGTCAAATGTATAAACAGGAAAATATCTGTATTTTGTACGTTTTTAAATATCTACAGCGGTCATAAACTTTTTCGATATTTTCCTTGAACAAAAACTCTGTACATTGTTAGTTGTTTTCCTCGATTGACTTGAAGTCTTCTATCAATGAGATTTTGCTCTTCAACAAAGCCACTGTTTTCAAATATATCTTTAACCTCCGCTGAAATGGGTAAACATATGTTAGAGGTAAGATGTAATTACACTTAACAGAAGAATTGATGCTTGGTAGAAGATACTAGATTACTGCTTACCTTGTGTAAAAAAATAAACTCTGGTACCATCCCCCCGAGCATAAAAATTCTCTGCAAGGCAACGTCCTTTCTTAAATCGTAATTGAGCCAAGTCATATCTTCCATAATCACGGAACAATACCATTCCACCAGGCTTTAAATATTTATGAATCTGCTTTGCTATGTGACACATTCTGTTTATGGATTTATAAAGAGTTAATAATGCATAGTAATGACAGTTGACTTTGTTGATCAATAAACATGTTTCAAAAATACTAACTTGTCTGGATGAATTGAAGACAGTACAAATATCAATACTACTATATCCAAGCATTCAGGTTCAAATGGCACATTCCATGCATCTTGTGTTGCGTCAAGGACAAATGCTTTACACCTTTAATAATTCAGAATTGTTGAAGAATAAAATATCTTTTAAGAATAATATGTACAATAATGTATGTAATTCTTACCTAGAGGAATCATAACTTGAATTTTCTATAAGAATTTCAATCGCTGTTGAGGAAAAATCACAGCAATACACAAATAAATTAGGATCTGTATTATAAGAAAGTATAGGAAAGACTGTATTCCCTACACCACATCCTATTTCAAATATTCTTGATGGCATAGGCAAAACATTCCTAGGATTCAAAGAATTGTTAGCATCACCTTCTAAAGATGATACACGCAGAGCCTGATCAAGATTCTGTTCAACAATATTAGGTGCCAATTCTGGGAACTCCGTAAAAAGCCAGTGTCTGTCTTTAAAAAATCTAAAAGGAATATATATTTCATTCTTCTTATGAATAATTACTATTATTTGCAATCATCAGCCATTTTAAAAATATACCTGTTCTGATGAATTCCATAGAATTTATCCCAGAAAACATCAGCTTCTTTATCAAATTTTAAAATTTCTTCAGATGAAGCAGTAACTACTGAATTATCTGCAACACGTTGGCGAGCTTCATTTTCCTGTTCTTCGTCCCATTGCACATTATCCCTGTACAATAAAAGCATTCCATTAATTATCAATGAAAAAGTATTTCCCAGCATAAGACATGCGTTTCAATGAAAAAATTATAAAATACAGAAATTACAATAGCATAACAAAAATGTCATTTTGGAATGATTATTCGTACCAGGAGTTAAATTCAAATATTCTTTTTCCATCAATAAGATATCGTGATCCACCAGGTGGTTTTTTGCGGTAACGTGTATGACAATGCCGAGATACATAGGTTAGAAATAAATTTGTGCAAATTTTATTATAAATCTGTGTATAATAATGTAATGCCATACCACGCATTATGCTGAAAGACGTTATCATTGTTAGAAAGGATGCGATTACCAAATTGAGGTCGTTTTCTTTCAACTTGGATTTCGTCGTTTACAGTGGCATCGGCCATGTTGGAATTGATCTAATTGCGATACTACCGCCATCTATCAAAATCTTAGAAACTCACAATGTCAAGGCTCTTGAACTTAAAAACAAGAAAACAAGAAAAAGGGCAAAAACCGCAGTGACATCCACAATGACTCTACTACACAAAAATAACCATTAATAAATTACATTTAATAACCTCTAAGCCCCCAAACAAACCATTCACTAAAGATTTCTTGAGAAAAAGCCTCTAGACTATCAGAGTTCATTGTACTTAGTTCAAGAAAATATGCAATGCGTAAAACTCGGCCTTTATTCCAATCTTTTCTGCCATAAGAGACTCAAGCACCCTCACCCATATTAGTGGCTTCCTTTAACTCAATAAACACATCACACAACGTGTCATATGCTCTACGCTATACATTTCCACCCACGCATTTAGAACATTATAAATAACCAAACAGTTTATAACCGTCCCACGTGAGCGTCGTGCACGATCCAGTCAATCAGAATTCTGATTGACAAAAACGATTAATAACCCCAGTTTAAAGAGGTCGTACGATAGAAATGATATTAAACATACACTTAATATTAATGAATTATGTAGGTTAGAAGGGAAAAGCGTGGGGAAGCGGAAAAGGGTGTGACGCAGACGAGGCTACAAGAAAGCCAAGCCAACGGTTTGCGGAAGTAAGAAAGGATGAGAAAAATGAAAAGGACGATGATCAAATCTCAGCATCGCCATTATAATCTAAGTACGTCGTATTTCTAATCCAAGGATATCAATTGATACATTTATTACTTTTCCAGTCCCCACGTGGATAACGGTCAATCAAATGAATATAAGTAGCACTAAAGTTCATTTCCAAAACTATCGAATTCTCATCTCAACCGAACAAAGATGACTGGCATTATACTTACTGCATCTAAGAAAAGGATTTTTGCAGGAGAGACCTGCCAGTGGATTTCGAGAGAAGACAGGCTCTACTGCAGACGTTGTTCCGCAGGGTGGTTGCCCTCGTCTGCGCTTTGTGGGAAATGCCCGCTCAATAACGCCTCCCTTCTCGCTCTCTTTCTCTCCCTCCCTGAACAACCTCTGTCTCCTCTCTTTCCCCATTCCTGTACCCTCATCCTTCTCCCTTAGTCCCTCTCGTAGTCTCTCTCACCCTGTGCCAGCCGCTTGCACTCCTCTCTCTGGCCCAAAAGGCTTACTAGCCTTCGCCGTCGGCCTGCTGACGACCAGAGTTACCCCCGACAAAAGGTCAATCGTTGCCCCCATATATATACACTGCCAAACTGTATAACTCTCGTTCCACTTCCAGGTCATACGTATTTCTGATCGAACATCGATTAATTCACTTTCAATTGATTTCCAAAATATTCATACAGAACACTGATTGATAGAATTGGAAATATATTTAATTTTCTTCCTAGATTAGGACAATTTGGTTAGGTTAGAACGCAGCTATTACTATAAGCGATAATAGCATTACCATTATAACGGTTTTTGTGTCTGGGATTTCAGGGATGTAAAAACTTCGTATTCTTGACTGCAAATGAAAATGTAAAAAATTCCCATAAATTGATATGTATCAAGTACTAAGCGCAGGAAATTGAGTTATATGCATGATAAATTATTAGATATTCAGCCATATCCTGGGACGGATGATCCTGTGCCTTGTTAGAGCCCTATACCTATATGGACCATAACGCTATGATGAAGATTGGCCGGAAGGAAGATTCGCGATGAGTGCGTTTAACTCTTATACGTAGGGCACATCCGAGTTTCCTGCGCCCTGCACCCAGCGACTATACAACCTGGATCAATAAATACTCTTCTCGTTTTCTAGAAAGGCTTTCCGCACGGGATTATTCCGGCATTGGAGCCAACGGAAATCCACGTAGCCGGTTGACGTCGGTTTCCGTTGGATTTCGTTGTTCAGGGAAGGACAGGTCTTCGTGGAATTAACGTCGTCGACGTTCTGGAGACGAGAGCCATGAAGAATATATCGATTACCTATGTCGGCCGATATACCAACGCAATTAGCTTTATTACGTGAAAACGTTTTCATCTGTCGTCAAAGCCAGTACAGACTTAAGCTTTCTGACCAATAACCAATGTATGCATATAATCCTTATGGCGTCTGACGCTTGTAAAGACAATCTCAAGAAATATGCATCGCTTTCAGTTCACTTCAATTAATTGATTCAACTTATTCAGACTCCTCTATGCTTTTAATTGCTCGTCGATTATAACAGTGTCGTCCTAACCTCTTTTTAATTAATTCGAGACGTCTCGAAGTCTCACAGACGATTTTTAGTCTTCGTCCTCCTCGTTCGTCACTGTACTTCTTACTTCAAGCAGCTTTATTTTTCTCCCTCATTAAATAGACAATCAAATTGCTGTGGCACCTTAAAATAAATATTATTAAACCTGTACAATATTACTCAGTATTTCAATGTATTTGCATAATGCTGGTGAGACCTTGAATACTATATTGAATCGTAACTATGGTTACATGTACATTATTGTTCCACATAGAATTCACAAGTAGGCTTTATTAGTATGAGAAATATCTTACTTTAGAATATTATCAACCCTCTCAACAGAATGGAGAAATTTTATTTTAATAACTATCAATCAATCCTAGTGTATATCCTGATACCAATGTATTAATAGACATATTAAATATCTACTCATACTATAGTATCGAGTATACTAAAATCATTATTCTAATGGAGCATCAAACGGTATAGCATACATCTACGTATGTTGAAGTTAAAGTGGAATGAGGCTAAGTGGCGATAAAAGAAAAACAAATGAGAGGAATAAAAAATAAAGCGTTGTGTCGCTAAGTTACCATCTTGTTGCATACAGGCGTGCTGAGTGAGTATAAATGAGTGAATCGAAGACACCCGGGTGAAGAATATTGACTGTTGACTCGTTGGGATATCCAGAGGGAGGGTCGAGGAAGTTGACGATGCTGTATTGGGAAAAGAAATTCGGCATTAGATTCAGCGAGTGGGACGCGTTATTTCTTACATACGTATTAGCCATAAGTACGAATATAATGCATACCAGGAGGCGAATCAATTATACGGAGGATGGCCATAAGACACGCGATTGACCGCGTGTTCTTGACACCAGAAGATATTATACAGAACCCATCATGATCAGCTTGTCCACCACAACGTGGGTAACAATTCCAGACTGATAATTTTATAGTCAGATATCCTGGTACGTCAATCAATTTGGACACTGTCTACTTGGTACGATTTCAACTTGTTGCTCTGATTTTGTATATAGTGCCATCTGTAAAATTGAATAAAGAAAATAAAAAAGTTTTGTATAATTACAGGCTGTTTAGACAACGTCAAGGATGCTGTAGGTACTGACTCCTGGGTAAAGTCGTTATCGCCATTGCCACGAGTTACAAGTGGTCGAAGGACCACCGAGAATCTAACAGTAGGTGAGATTGGCGAACGTGGGGATATTTTTATTTGGCTCTAGCGTAGGTAGCCCGGGTAAGAGTATATATATGTGTGTGTGCGAGAGAGAGAAAATGACTATGAGGAGGAGAAGGTGCGGAAGGTAGAGGTAGAGGAAGGCAACGGCCTTGACCTTGTCCACGGCCACGCGGAGAGAGACACGCGAGAAAAGACATCGGTCAAAACAAAACCGCTTGCTTTCTTGCCGGTCTCAGGCGCGTCTGCATCGCGCCAGGTACCGCCGACACTTCCACTAGTCTTTCTGCTCCAACTGACAATTACGTAGGTGGATGACCGAGAAAGCCGTCGATTAACGTCCAGAAGTCTCATTATATTCTTGGATTTGGTATACGTTGAGAAGGTATGTTTATTCCTGTCACGCCATTCAACTTTAGATATCCTCGATAAAGGTCAGGACAGCTTTCACCAGCCCCTTGAGCGTATCAGTTTGAATTCCTAATGCTGCAGTATCTCATAGCATTCTGATAAACACATAGGAAAATGTTACGGGGTTAGTCATGAGGCGTCAAACACAGGGCTCAAAGATATCAGTAAATTTTTAAATGAGAAAAAAGCATAAACAAAAATTCTATATACATTTATAATTTGGGTAGATACCTGTTTGTATACTGAAGCAAAAATAAATGTAGGTATTTCATTCTACGTGTGTGTACATATTGACATCCTTCTGAAAGATTTCAGTGTATTCCTGGGTCTCATGCGTATTCTACATCGGACTGCTCCACGTGGATTTGTTTTACACTCTCCAGCGATGGAATGCTGCAAAGCAACTCGAGAGAGCATTCGATCCAGGGTGATCGGCAGGACCGTCGGAGTAAGTTAAGTAAGTAAACTGAGTAGACGATTGAGTCTGTAAATTAGTCAATGACGATGGCGATTCTCTTCCCTTCTGTTTCCACACTTATAAAGCAGAATCGGAGCGATAACCCGATTCGCAAGGACTCCGTTCGGTGGGGATTCTGCTGGCGATGAAAAGGAAAACGAGAAAGAGGAGGAAAAAAAGAACCAAAAAATTGCGCATTCCACGTGATCAATAGGATCTGTGTGTGCGGCGTGACGAGTAGTGCGAGATGGGAAGAGAGGGGAAGAGACACGTTGGTGGTCAGAAAATTTCGAATGATTTTTCTCTTGGCTTCAGAGCGCATTGCCGTAGAGAAGGGCGAGGGTCGTGCGAATATCGAGGGTGAGTGTACAATATCTCTCTCTGTCCGTAGTGGTTGCAGCCGCCGCCGTCGTCGCGACTCGTCATCGTCGCGGTCGTCGTCGTAGTCGTCAGCCGCCGTTATGCGCGCGCGCCCTAGTGCACTTGGCCGTATGCAGTACACACATACGTGTAAAGCAATCACGTAAAACACGTCGCACGACGCGAAGTCTAGGCTCGTGGATACGACCGTCTCATTCTGGAGTACGTAACAGTGGCATAGATCCATCTCGCGAGCCGTCAGCGCGGGGTCTGCCGATTGGCTATGTGTTGAGTGTCTGAAAATCCGTCACGGCCGCCGGAGCCCCATTTTGGTACAGTGGCGCCGCGTAACGGCAACTCCCTTCAGTTTCGGGCAAGATGGGCGAACTTCGCCGGGCAGTAGCTTAGACTCTACCTACAAGACAACACACACCTAATGTTTCCTAACGACAAGTAATTGTACATTATTTATTAAGATCCAATATCTATTTTTGTAACATGCTGTAGTGCCGTGCCACGTTTGTACGATATATAAAGGTGATCCGCGCGCGATAGAGAGCGATAGAAAGAGAGCAAAAAGGAGAGAGATAGAGCGAGAAAGAGAGAGAGTGAGATCGAGCGAGAAACGAGTGAAGCGTAGAGTCCGGGCCGACACGGGGCGACTAGTTAATAAAAAGAAGAAACGTAGGTGGGTTTTCAGTCCGTGCGTTAAACGTAGGCCAGTGGTGAAGTGGTAATCGGGTGAAACGTGAACAGTTCGGTTTCCTGTGAGTGAAAAGTGCACGACACACCCTTCTGACACTCTGCAGTCTGCTGCCTCTTGCTGCTGCTGCTACAGCCGCGGTGCTGCTCTCTTATCCTCGAGAAAGAACCGCGCATACAGCCACGAGCTGTACGTTTATACGCGTGCGGAAAAGCGCACAGAGACACGAACGTGTGCTCTCTTCGCCACTCTGTGCTGTGAATTTTTCTAACTCGTTTGTTCGCCAGTGTCGAACCGATACGTGCGGTTTTTACATTAGCTGAAGAAGAAGGGATACAACACGGTATCCCATCATCGTCATCATCATTATCATCCACTCCCTCAGTAACCCAGCCACCTAGCCAACCACCCACAACCCCGTCGACCGACCAAGCATCCATCACCCTAAAACCACCCTAGGATATTCTTCAAAGTGGGCTAGCAACTGACGTACAATAACGCCCCGGTTCAATTCGTGATTCCTGCAAGACAGAGAAGAACGGTGGTGATATACCTTAAGGATATATACCCAAAGGAATACAACCGGCGGACACACCGGAGCACGCTGTTATTATGTCCGTGAGAATGGAAAACGTAGCCGCGCCGAGGAAGCTCAACTACAAAGTGATGGTAAGGGAACATATCCTCGATCATCCTGAATATTATCAACGCGCTCTCCTTATACATGTGTACTCTTATTCTCTTACGTATTTGCCCATGGCGGATTGGTTTGCATGGGGAACCGGCGTAGTTTGACAGCTTGCCGCGGGGCGTCTGCTGCCCCACCCAGTCTCTCTTTCTCTCCCTCTCCTCTGGCCCTCCTCCTCCTTCACCATCTCCTCCATCTATCTCATTCTCTCTTTTCTCTCACCACCCTCCCGCACTCTCTCTCTCTCTCTCTCTCTCTCTCTCTCTCTCTCTCTCTCTCTCTCTCTCTCTCTCTCTCTCTCCCTGTCTCGCTCTCCTACTTGCGCTCCCACAGTCATCCTATCCCTTGCCAGCTCGCAAACAAGTGCGAATCTCGTTTATCGCTACGATGCTACTGTGTCGCGGCTATACACCTTTCCCGTAGTCCCTAACAAGTATTTCATGCTCGGCTTCCACGATGCGAATACCTTAGGGTACACGCGCAAACCACGTTTTCGCTAGATCCTCCCAATAACCCGCACCCCGGCCATAGACCTTACGACCTCGGCAGAGAAACGCCCTCGGTTTGGTACTCTCTCGTGCCGCTTCTACGTTCACGCCATTTTCACTCACAAAGAGGCAGAGATCCTCTTCCTCGTTCTTGTCCTTCTTGACTTACGTTGCATTCGTCGCTCGCCAATTATTCGCAAACTTTCCCCTGCGTCATTCGACGTTCTGTCGATATGTCCAATGCCGTCTACGTATCTTCAGATTGAAGACGGTGGATGAAATTTTTACGCGGTTTTTATTACCCTTTGTCAACAACCTCTCCCTTTACGCACTTATGCTCGAATGCACTCGTTGTTACATATCTGTATTATGGCGAATCCACCTTGTCGTGACTTGCTGCTGCTTGGAAAATTTTATCCTGTGCGCGCACGTGCGTTACACGCCGTGCGGATATCGTCGGAGCCCTTGCTACTTCTGCTCGCTGCCATTGATATCGTTTCACTTCCTTCTCTCTCTTTCCTATTCGCGACAGACGCCGATTGATCGTTACGTCCAACCTTTTTTTCACTATTACAATGTACGTGCGTGCATTGTTATGCCTATTAGCCTGAAACCCTCTTGCTCTGTTTGCCTTGTTAGCCTTCGTTTACGAGGAATCGTACCGAGTGCCTTGTAGATAAGAAAATGAGTTCGGGGAAAAGTGTACTGTTTGCTTTGAAAATGTCGAAATGCCGATCTGTTGTCGGTAGCTTGCGTTTACCGATTATTGTACACTATTATGCGCGAAAGCATTTGTTTCTTCGTCGTTCCGTGCGGTGACGTCTCGTTCTTGGAAACCTGCGAGTAGACTGAACATACTTTTCGATTAAACGCTTTTATATTTAATACGAACACTTAGCCGCGGGTCTCTTGCGCCAAGTTTTCATTATCGGATATTTTCGAGTATACAGCGTAAAAATTATATTTTTTTTTTAGTGTCAATGCTCGGCCATGTTTCGATCAGGTTATAAGCTATTGACAATAGGCAATAGCTTTCGGTTCCGAAATAAGTTCGCGTAATTACCATTAGCCAAATACAATTGTACTAAAAATTGAATCCCGTAAGAATATTACTTTTCACTCGTATACACACGTGTCACGTGGTATACGGACAAAAAGTATATGTGTATTAAAAAACCACGAGCACGCCGAATCCACCAAATAATTTAAGTAATTAACGTAATACTATACAATTGTTGAAGAGAGATTCACGATTCTCAAAATCGATAGATCGTAACGTTATAATGAAAAAAAAAGATTTCTTTAAGATTGTAAAAAAAAATAGTAAAAATTAAAATCGTGTACAGTCATCCACAATTTATGTCCCATTAAACCTAGCTTATCAGCAGCAATAAAAAGAAGCTAAATAATTTTCTCCGAGCGTGTCATGTCCGACTGCGATAAAATAATCATATTTCCCTCGTGACGAATTTTCATTGCGACAGTACACCCCTCCTTCCGGCATTGGCGACATGCTTATGAATTCTTTATAAAAAATCCTCTGAGATTTGCCGCGATCTGCCCTTTGGATACTTTCCTAAGAGAACAATAAATGAATCAGTGTTTAAGTATGTTATATAGAGAAATATGGGTTTGATGGTAACGTGACTTCTTTTCGTAAGCTAACGATCCCAAGGACTACCCATATTTGAAGAACGTGACCGATCGAGCAATACCGATGTAGACATTGACACGACACAGTTGACGCTTTACAATGGTCACTCGTTTAATAATTTAAATTTACCGCGCATATCACGTATCCCATGCTACGTTTTCAGTTCTGTGGATCAATGGATGTTGGTACTCGCGACACGAGCGAAGAAGCGCAGTCCACGTGGTTGGCAGATTTTGTAAATGGCGACGCGTTACGGCTTTGCCATTTATTCAGGCACGTAACGGTATACGGCAGGCAGTGCTCTCTGCGGCATAGAGTTGTTTTCCGTCGTGTACTAAAAAACAGATATCCGTATAGATTCCGATGCACTGACACAGACCTCGTTTAACCCTCAATTTAATCGTTGGACTCTGCGAGGTTATGTAAAAACTCGATTTCGTATACGAGAATGTTTATAGGACAGAGGCAGCGTTCATTCTCATTTTCTTAGTTGATCTATTTTTAGCAACGAGGAAACTTCTAAGTACCCTCTGTTTGTAACGTATCTTTATTTACCTTGTTACCTAAGTGCCCCGTCTACCTACCTACCTACCTACCTACCTACCCACCTACCTACGTTACCTGACGCTATTGCTTTCTGGCTTCTACTCTGAATATTCGGATAGAGAGACATCCACGACGAATTTACTCTTTGTACGCTATTGTACACTTTAAGTGAACGAACCCTGGAAGATCGCGATAGACGATTATTAATGCTTTGTACGAATTCAGATTGCTGGGAGGTATACTCGATTCACATGTGGCTGTATTGTTAGATTTGAGATACATAATCTAAAAACGAGTACTCATTGCTCGGTTGGTGAACGTGTCTCCGTCTCACGTGGGTTCAGTTGTAAAGAGTTTCGAATGCTTCTCGTGTCTACTTGCATTCGTGTAGACGGGTTGCGGGCGGGGTTGAGCAGCACGTAAGGGGTTATAGGCGATAGCAGAGGGTCTGCAAGGGTCTCGTAAGGAAGGGAGTCACAGGCGGAGAAGCTCAGGCCGAGGATGTATAGCTGGCGCGACTGTGCCGGTTGGGGCTCTGCAAGAATATCGATTATTTGTGGTTGCGGCACGCTGCGTCCGTTTCACTCCAGACGCCGTCCTTCACCGAATTCTCGTTTCTCCTATTTTCATCCTTAAATTCATCATCTCGCTCCTCTTTTCGCCCTCCTTTCTTCCCCGCGAGCGTTTGCCGTCGCGAGGCTGAACCTAACCTAACCTCGCTAGTCCGCTGCGACAACCACCGCACTTTCTCCATTAAATTTAGTTTACCGTTTGCTCGCTTCGTTATGCCTTAATATACTGGGCGTATTTTACTTTACTATTATATGTATCTATATATATATTCTTTCATAAAAGTATTTTCCACTCTTTCACTCCGTAGTTCGTCTCCTAACCTCAAAAATCCTTCTGGCCTCGACTTTTGCCAAGTACTATTTTATCTTTTCAGTATGGCCTAAACAGTGAACTGACGAGAGTCAGGCAGTACAGATGCACGAACAATGACTAATATAAATCCAAGTGTTCCATTTTAATTCCATTTAAAATGTACGGTCTTTAAGATACTCACTGTTGGTATCTGTCGGCTGCGTTGTGCATTGCTTATGGCTCGGCTGTCAGTACACAACTTTATTTCGATCGAATAAGGGTTTAATGATGTGCCGTAAGTGCCGATGCGTGATCGTGAAACGACTGTCCCTGGATACACATAGCGTTTTCCCTGCCGTTACACGTTGTTACGCAACTGACAATAATTTCGGCGAGACGCCTCACGTCGAAAACGACCTCGTGAAAACGACCTTGTTCGTGTCGCAGCGAAATGATTCACCCTGGGGAACTTTACTCCCGCGTGCAACGACATGCGTCATACTCGTTGATCGCATTCCGTCGTGGTTCACGATCGTTTTACAGGCTGTACTGCATGCCCGGTGTGCTCTTCTCGTGACTGCTTGTTGCCTCCCTCCCCCCCTCCGTCTGTCTCCCTTTTGCGCTCGGTACGAGAATCCCGAAGCCCCAAGACAGACGGAAACTCTAGTCGCGACTGATTGTCGCTGTCGTCGCTTCCTATACGGTTTTATCGGCGAATGTCAAAGCGGGTCAAAATGTCAGTGGTTACCGGGCTGGATGGGAAACCGTTATGCAAAGGCGGCTTTATCGGCAGCTCGAACTGCCAGCGGAGTCGTCCGTGTGTAGCCACCGTGTTAGTCAGGCAAACAGACGGGCAGGCCGGCCGGCTACTAGATGTAAGTCTGTTAAGGCCATCTACCGTCATTGGCTCGAGCGCTTCGCGCGTTTGACCAATCACAGGGTTCTACGTGTGCAACGTCATCCGCGAGGGCGCTTTCTATTGGCTTGACGTCACCGTGCGCACACGCCGACGTCATTCACGTTGCCGATAAGGAACCTCGCGTGATTCATTGATGCATTTTACTTGTTTTTCTTTAAGGTTGAATAATACCTGAATAGTTGTGAATATTAGGTGGAATTTATTTACTCGTCGGACCTTTCATCCTTGGAATTGTCTGTACGATTTTGTTGATATTTTTGTGAAGCTCACTCGTCTTGAATATTCGTTCACCGTTAATGGAATATAATGCATTGTTTCTATTGACAATCTTTTTTATTGAACTCTGTGACCATTCCGCTCGATGCACGCCTTTGTACTCTTGACCCGTCATTCAGTTTGCCTGAACTGTCTATTATTTTTCCTTTTGGTCTCTAATCTGCTCTTGCGCGATAAGGTACGGCGTTTGGGACTCATTAGTAATCGTATCCTTTGTTTACTCTGTTACAGGTAAGAGGACCCTCGATGACTCATGCTGATTTTTGACTTATTTACATCCGATAGACATTGTAATCGGTGGATCGTGTTTCCTGATACCTGGTTCCCGTGGTTGGTATGTCAGAAGCGGGTCAAAAGACACCCAAGGAATTTATAGCGGGTCAACAACTCTATATAAGCCATTGGTATATAATGGATGTATAAACGGGAGTGCTACGGACATGCGTGGAAGCATCGTAGGATTAGTGAGCCGGGTGTCTTAATCCTATATACCCCAATCTGGATGATTCGAATGCTCGCCGCATAAACAACTTCAGTAAATTTACGTTCCCACCTATGAATTTACTTAGTCGAACACGTCGTACTTATCGGAGAACCTTGTTAAAGCAAACACGCGCGTTTTCACGGCACGACAAGTGCACGATTGCTACGCCAGTAAAAACAACGTTAAAGTATCAGGAGTCTCGGTTACGGTGCCGTTCGAATTCCCGTATACGGACGGTATTATATTTCCGTTTGACGAATCTTCGAGGGATGATTTTGAGTATATTACAAAAAAAAAAAAAAGTTATCCGAAATTTATCCGAGCGACTCAATCTTGAGCGCAACGAAACGAAAAAAAGCAATGCAGACTTTACTCGTACTCAATTGAGATGAGAAGCGCTCGACGAAGACCGAAGGGTTACGACTGGGACTGTTCTCAGATATTTATCATACCGTTAAGACTCAGACTCGGTTCGCCGGGTATGATAAAAATCATGCAAACTCTACCGACGTAAATTCTTATATTGCATTGGTATCGTTTACTCGATGAAAACGCTAAAAGTTTATATTTCTCGCGAAAGTCGATGGGATTCAACGAACGCTCGAGGTAAGCTCAGCCCAACCTAACCTAAACCCGAACCAGTTCACTTTTATTCGAGTCACCGTCAATTTCACCGTTCGCCGTAGTTACGGCCGTTGGGTATGGCAATAAAAGCGAAGTCAAGCCCGGAGAAATGTCGAGGGAGGAGAAAGAAGAAGAAAAGAGGAAAAGAAAAAGGAAGAACTAAGTGCAGAAGGAAGGATTCTAGGATTAATCGGGGGG